GAAACATGAATCAAGGCAGAATTGTGCCTCTAAGCTGCTCACGATTGAATAGGGAAGCTTGGAGGGTGTGCGCACGCGCTGTGTGGAAGGCAGCCGGTGGGTGGAGGAAGCTCCATGGGGTGGGGCGAGCACGAGGACCTGCAGCTGTGCCCACACCTCAGGCTTCTTGACTGACAAAATGCAAGTTAATAGAGCGATTGCGATTGCCCAAGGCCAGGGCCTGTTCAGGGTTGTCGCTGTATCAAGTACATAAGGAAGGATGACTGGTTCTCCCTAGGCTCGCGGAGGCATCTCCTTGCGGTCAGGCAGGCGTCATGAACCGTGTGTGGCTTTATTTTCCTTACAAGCTATTATGCAACTTAAATCTGCGTTAACATTCTTTTCTCAGATTTTGCCCGTTACAGAGTTTAGCTCATTTCCATTGTGTCCTTTGCTCTCATGTTCAATTCAATTCCTTTGAATTGTCACCAGTCTTTCATGTGTTTACATGTTGTGTATATAAATTTTCTCACTTCCTTCATCTCCATTTTTTGGCTCTTAGTCATGGTATGAGCTGCGTCCCCACGCTGCTGGTTCTCCTCTCCCGCCCATCCCTGCAGCACTGTTTACTCTGCTGCTGCTCCAGCCATTCTCTCTGATTCTCCCGGGCCCCCTCCACCCCATGGCGGCCTCCATCCTGGATGTGGTCTCAGGGGATTGCCTGTGTTGTATCTCATCTCAGTTTCCTCATCTTTCCCCTTCCTTAGCCCTGTCTTGCTGTTAAATAAATAAAATCAGCGTATAGGTGCTGCCACCCATCAGCTGTGGTAAGGGGGTTGGCCAACCTTGGAGGACTCCGGAGATGGCTCTGGAGGAGAGTACATCAACCCACCAAGTAACCAGAAGAAGGGATGGGACTGAGTGAGCTGTGTGGGGAACTTTTACAAAATTAAGAGAGGGCAAAATACGGTAGTGTAAGTAGGAAGAGGAGCACTGTAAGAAAGTCTGGCCCTCGCCAGGCAGTGGCACACACCTGGGATCCTGCACTCGCAGAGGCTGAGGCAGGAAGGTTACAAGTTTGAGTCCTGCCTAGGCAATTTAGCAAGACTCCATATCAAAACAAATAAAAAAGACTGGAAGTGTAGCTTAGCACTCGAGCCTTGCCTAGCATGCATGAAGCCCTGGGTTCAATGTCCAGAACTACAAAAAAAAAAAAGAAAAAAGAAGAGAAAAAAGGGAGGGAGAAGGAAAGCAAACCCAGCCCTTCACTAAATCAGGACAGGGCTCTTCCCTTGTCACTCCAGGGCTCTGCTAGCCTGCTTGGTGTGGCCAGGCTGCATTTTCCTAGTGCTTGTGAGTCTGCAGGAGGACCCCCGCAGACCTGGGTCAGGGTCCAGCGTGCCCCTGACCCCACCTGCTGGCCCGCAGCACACTGTGACCCCCTTGTGGTTCCCTTGTGCTCCAGAGGCCCTATCTTCCTGTTTTTTTCCGAGTCCCTGCACCACGTGTGCCTGAACAGGTGCAGTGCAGCCGTGCAAGTCAGTCCCCAGGTCCTGGGGCAGGGGCGGGATGCGAGGTCACAGAGCAGTGGGAAGGGGCAGGGGAAGTTCATCCCCACACTGGGGGAGTCCTCACTCATCCCATGGTTCACAGTGGGCAAGAGCCACAGTAGGTTGGTTTCTGACGTATTCTCTTGGATATGTTCCCAAAAGATAGTCTTACGATGAAAAGCTGGTTTTCTGGGTAGTGTTGGTGTTTGGGCACGTAAGGGCCTTAATCTCCCTGCGCCTGCCCTGATGGTGCTAACACCTTGCTCTTAGAAACCTAGCCCTGGGGCTGGGGATTTAGCTCAGTGGCATAAGCACCTGCCTTGCAAGCAGGCTGTCCTGAGTTCGATCCCCAGTACCGATAAAAATGAAAAAGACCAAAAAAAAAAAAAAAAAAAAAAAAAAAAAGAAACCTAGCCTTCTGCAAAGCACTGCTCACAAAGAAAGACTTGTGGGTGGCTGGAGGTTCCTGTTAGCAAGCGGAGGAAAGCACTTCTCTCAGGGTGAAGATCTCTTCTGACTGCAGTGAAAAGACTCATTCTTCTATAAGCTTACACACGCATGTTTTTCTTTATTGTGTTTTCATTGGACAAAAGAATAGGTCATTTATGATTAAGGGTTTTTTTATTTTTGTTTGTTTGTTTTTTGCTTTTGGAGATAGGATCTCATTTATAGTTCAGGCTGGCCTTGAACTCACTGTGTAGCCCAGGGCTTACAGAAAACCTCCGGCCTCAGCTTCCTGAGAGTGAGCTGTGATTATAGGCATACCCATTCCCAGCCATCTTATGATTCTGAATATTACATATGTCTTTTCTAAATTATAAAGTACTGGTGGCTTTGTGGAGTGGAAGTAGTTGATAGAAATGTTTATTAAAATAGTAAGATTTTAATATATACAAATAATACTCGGTTTATGGATTACCTACCTGGCAAAAGAGCTACAGAACAAATTTTGATAACATTTGATAAATGAGATGGGAAAAAAAAACACTGGAAAAAAACAGTGGCAACCTGCCCCCATTCTGTGTATTTTGTGCTTTTCACCAGGTCTCTGTGTGTATAACCCTGAGACTGACTACTAGAAGTGTGTTACTGCCATCCCTGGTTATTACTGCAGGAAGTAAAGGCCATGGCCGTGTGCTGGACTCAGTAGAACCCAGACCATGCACACTTCGGTATTCTTTCCTCTGCAGACTGTTCAGATCAGAAGTTTTGTGATCCTGTGATAATGAGAAGTTTAAAGCACTTGAGTGAGAAGTATAGGGTGATTGAGGTTTCACCATCCTACTCACATAAAACCTAAGGAGCTGCCTTTCCTTCAGTGAGTACTGACCAGTTGGGTGCCTGGTGCAGTTCAGAGTCCTGGATGTAGAGTTGAGTACCACAGACCCAGAGCTTGTGTTCTATGCAGGGAGAAGAAGTGATAAAGTCAACAAACAGTAGTGTAACAGCAAGAGCTCTGAAGAAAATAAGGTAGAGAGTGACAGTCTTGGAGGCTGGGTGCGACCGGAATTAGGAGGATCAGAGCAAAGCTCTCTCTGTAGCCTTTGAGCCCAGTCGTCTGAGAAGTGGGGAGGAACTCCCTGCAGGCAGAGGGAGCTGGCAGAGGGGCACTGCAGCCTGAGTCTGTGCCCAGGTAGCTCAGACACCAGGGGCAGCTGTGGCTTAGCTGTAGGCTGGAGGAAAGGAGTGTGTGAGGGTCCTTCTAGGACTGCCGTCCTGGTTCCAGGAATGACTGTTTCACCTGCTGATTTCATGTTAAACGTCCTTTATTAATGGTGTGAGCTTAGACTGCTGATGCTGCATAGATGTCTCTTCTCTGGAGAATAACGGACTTTAGCCTGCTTTTACTTATTTGGAAGTGTTCTTAACCCTTCCTGAGTTGGTGCTCTCATGTGGCCAGCTTAAAGGTTGATAACCATATGTAGACCCCCAGTGTTTACACCAAGAAAATGCATCAGCCCTGAAATCTGGTAGTCTGGAAGCTCATGCAGTATACCACAGCCTCTCCAGGTGGGAGGGCTTTGGATGGAGCTAACATAATATCCTACACAGTGGGCTGCTGAAATGGTTTTCCTGGGGCAGAAACTTAATTTAAATTGTCTAGAGTCTCTGATCCTTCTGCTTTCATTCATGTGAGTTTCTTTAATTTGGGATTTTTTTTTTTTTTTTTTTTTTTTATCGCTACCAGGGATTGAATTCAGGACTGCATGCTTGCAAGGCAGTTGCTTATGCTGTGAGCTAAATCCTCAGCCCCTGGGAATGGTTTGTTACAGGCTTTCAGAGTTTCTTTGTTTCTAGTACTTAGAATATCTATTATGTCATAATTCATCTGAAGTAACCCTGCATGTAATACTCTTAAGCCAAAATGTCCCTTGGGCTTGAAATTACAGGTAAATTAGCACCCTGATCACCATTAAAAGTGAAATCTAGAAGTGGATTTACATAAAATGTGAAGGCCGTGTATAAGTGGAGTCAGGTTTAGTCTGCCCATGTCTCCTTTTGCCGGTTGAACCTCGCATGTCCTGTTTTCACATGTGATCTGTTTGTGAAACTGGGCATGAGGGCGTTGGAAGGTGATTCGTTCCTGGAGAGCATAGGAGGTCATGTAAAATGCTTCTTCAGTGTGGTGTTTGAAGGACATGTGCGTATTAGTATAGCTTGTTTTTTCTCAGAATTCATCAGGGAATCATCTGGCTTAAATCTAAAGAGCATCCATCTAGTTGAGGCTAACGATTTGCTGGTCTAGGAAATTGAGACACCATTTTCATGGTATTGAGCCAAGCGTGTTGCTGGCCAACATATCGTTCTTGCTCTTTCCCTCTATTTTTATAAAATACTAAGTAGAATCTACACAAGAATGCTTTTTAAAATTTTTCTCACTTTACAGTTAGTAACAGAACTCCTCAAAAGAGAATTGCAGATGCTCAGTATTAAGGCATACTTAGCTGTGAGCCAGTGCTTCTGAGGGCAGCCGGTAGGCCGAGACCTTGCGGAGCACAGTGAGACTCACACAGCAGGGCTGTGTGAGAAGCCCTGTCACAGAGTGGGCCAGCAGCTGCAGCCGGCGGACTGTACGGGCCTGCAGAAGTGGGCGGCACAGGTGAATTCTCCTCAGAGGCCATCTCAGACGTTCACCATAGCAAGCAGCCAAGTTTTGATGTTAGCTGTTTTTTCCAGAACATTCTATAAAACTTGGAAATGATGCTACTGGTACTGACACATTTTTTATAACTTAAATATAATTTAATTTAAATATAATATAACTTAAATATAATATAATAACTTAAATATAATATAATTATATTTATTTAATTATAATATAATTTAATTATAATATAATTTAAAAAGTGAATTTCATGCTGGCTGAGGTTCCTTTTTTCATAAATTGCTTAGTTATAATTAAAGGTATGGTAAGTTTTATGTATCACTGCAAAATAATTGATTTCCTAGTTTAACTTTTTTTTCTGGTAGTTTGCCAGGGTTTGGATTCCTGATCCCGAGGAGGTGTGGCGATCAGCAGAGCTGCTGCGTGATTACAAGCCTGGAGATAAAACCCTCCTGCTGCGCCTGGAGGAAGGGAAGGTAAGAGCTGCACTTCAATGCACAGAGTCCAAGTTAAAGGTGCGGGTTTACTGTGACTGCCTTACCCCAGCAGAAGGTAAAAGTCAAGCTAATCTTTTACTTACTAAGGTGATGAGCATGACAAACTCAGTTTTCTTTCCCAATAGAGTTCTCAGTGACATAGATGAGTGAAAATAACAGATACTTCAAAAATCATTATGTGGCACCTCCGTCCCTGTATTCCCATGCTCAGTAGTCTGAGGCAGGAGGATTGCTGTGAGTTTGAGACCATTCTCGGCTAAATAAGAAGTTCAAGGCCAGCCAAGATCCTAGTCTAGAAAAACAAAAAAAGAAGTAAAATAGTTTTTTTTTGTACCAGGGATCAAACTCATGACTTCATGCTTGCCAGGCAGGTGTTTATGCCACTTAGCTAAATCCCCAGCTAAAATAAATATTTTTAAAGACTCAGTTATTTAGGCCTATGGATTTATAATGATTATTGATAAGGCTTATAATCACATCTAATCCTCCTGAAGATATACCTGTTTATATGTTATATTTAGACTAAGGTTACAATTATTTTATCTTAACTAAGCATTGTGTAAGGTGCCTGTCTAATTAAGATTTGATATTTACTGGCAAGCTGATTATTTGAGAAGTGTTTTCTGTGAAGCTGTTATTTACGAAGCGCATCCCAGCTGCCAGGGGAGCTTAGGGCCTGTTGTGCCCGCACCCTGCCCTCCCATGAGGCAGCACATGTCTGCTGAGCCTCATTTAGAACTCAGCCTTTTCAGAATGGGGAACAAATGATATAAAATAAGTTGTAAGAAATGCTCCTATACTGCCACCTCAGTGTAGTGAACATTTTCAGTGTTTTACAAAGCGCTCATACTGCAAATACATGAAAGGCTTTAATACTTTTGTAACTTCTGCTGCAAAACATGCCACACTGCATATTTTTCTGTACCCATTTTAAAAGTTGAACTACTGAATTACATACTAATTTTTGTGTTACTCACATTTTATTTATGTACTTTTGATGAGATCATTGCCAATGCACATATTATTTTTCTTAACTTTATTTTTACATTAAGTCAGTGTCTGTCAGGAGCTGTAAAAACCTGACAGTAAATCACATAGGTTTACAGTCCAATTTTGACTCTGGTGTCTTAGAATCAGCCACTTAGAAAAGACTTTCATGAAGTCTTCTTGAACCACAAAATCATGATGAGCACAAACTGCAGGCATACATGTACCAGGCTGTTCCATGAGAGCCGTCTGAAAGCTTCACAACCCACTCCACCATGACTTGTAATAGAACCTGCATGGATTTGCCATATATCTAGTTTTGCCTAGTCACTTGGTATATCAATATATATTTTCCTAGCTAATCTTTCTGGATAAAGCAATGCAGGATCCAGTGTATCTGGTCTGTTTGTAGCCATGATCGTTTTAACTCTGCAGAGTAACAAATCTGTCCATCCGAGTCAGTAAAAGCTTTCTGGATCTCTGTCAGTTGAACACTTCAAAAAACCAGTGACCCCCCACTAGCACCTGTTTCATCATGAAAATCACGCATGGCTGATGTTCCCTGCATAATTAAGCATTTCTCTGATTAGACGAGCCCTTTCACCAATGTCCTTGATTACAATAGAGCTAGACACAGCCTTTAAGAAATTACAGTCCAGCTGGCTAGCAACAGCTCGTGCCTAGAATGTTTTTCCTGTGCTTGGTGGTCCGTATAACAACCTTTTGGAGGTGTTATTCCTACACACTGGAATAATTCTGAGTTTGTGAGAGGTTATTCTATTACTTCTCTTAATTCTCGAGTCTGTTCTAAAAGCCCTCTGATCTTAGAATAAGAAACATTCCCAGGGTCCTCATGAGACATGTTGTAAACCAGTGTATCTGCGTTTCTTGGCAAATATCTCTTGATAGCGTAGTCACAGCCAAAGCAACGCTTGTTCTTGGATTAAGATTACTTACATCAAGCTGTTGATGATGCCACAACATATCTTGGTCCATTCGTAACTTTAACAATGAATTTGTCTTTAGTTAATTGTTTAAACACTTCGCCTACAGTCTGTCCAACACTTTGTAGGGCCTTCAGATCATTTTCAGACTTTTCATACTGCTTGGTAAATTCTTTTAATTGTTCCCTTAATTCCATCAGCTGTCCATAGATTTCCTTGTGTTCCAGCTGAAATGGTAGCCTTGAAGCATCTTCTCTCTAGGGTCCACTATGGTGAGAATAGTTGTGCCTTTTTATATCACTGCTTGACAGAGAATATCACACTTTTGTAGAAACCTCTGTGATGTTACTTTTCTTTAAAGAATTTGTCTAGCCACTGGAACTGATATAAATACATGAAAAGTTAAATAATCAGGAGAGAGAAGGTGGAGCAGTTACCACAGGTCTGAAAATGTCTGAAGGTAAGTGTATGGTAGTTCTCACCGAGCAGCCAACGGGTGTCGAGGGCTGAGAGGCAGGTGTGGTTTTAACTGCTCTGTGTAGAAACTGTGTCTTCACAGTTTCCTCCCATTCTGTGATTCTTCCCATTGTAAGAGAAGAGGAAGCAGGCTCACCGAGGGAGTTGGCCTGTTATACAGGTATACAGGAGTGGAGCATGGTTTGACCAGGAAATGCGCCTTTGTGACCTGCGCTAGGAGCCACTGTGCTGTACTGTGAGGCCCTTAAGGGCTTTCAATTCCAGAGAAGAAATTCACATCATAGGCTGCTTTATCAGGGAGGGTTTTGACTGTCTTGGAAACTGGATCAACTTTGAATGGGTTTCTTTTGAAGACAGGCTCTTGCTGTGTTGCCTAAAACCTGGGCTCATGCTGTCCTTTTCCTGCGTAGCCGGGACTACAGGGACACACAACCGCAGTGCCTTAAAAGCTAGGTGGGGGCGCAGAGAAAGGGAAAGGGGCAGCCAGGTCCGTGTAGGCTGGAGCAAACTGTGCAGCTGGAGAAGAGCATGCGAGAAGTCAATGGGGCTGAAGGGTGGAAGGCCCTTGGTTCAGCGCACACATGTTAAGGAACTTGCCACAGGGCACCATGCTAAGAGCGGCAAAAGTGAAGTGAGAGATAAACACCTGAGTAGTCTGGTCCACGGTCCAATCGAAACGCACGGTAGACACGGGGTGGAGCGGGGGTTGAGTGGGGAGAGGCTGGGGAGGCTGCATGCTGAGGGGGATGCTGAGAAGGGTGAGGCCGAGCAGCGCTGCTCAGCTCTGTGCTGCGTGCTTGCATTCAGAGCTCCGAAGAAAGTGTGTGGGGACCATACAGGCTGTGAGAGGAGAGGCAAGAACCAAGTTGAGGGAAGCAGATCAGAGAGCTAGGTTCCCACTAAGCCCTGGAGCGTTGCTGGGTTAGTGTCCCTAAGAGCAGTGGCGCTGGACATGTGTTTCGGAGACGACTCTGGGAGGGTAAGGGGAGGGTGGATTTCAGGAATGCAAAGTAGAGGCACTGAGGCAAGTTGGGAAGAGGGCAGGGAAGAACTGGGCCACACAGCACGGCCTTGGATGTCACACTGAGTACACTTCCCCGTTACCTCCCAGTCATCTGCGCTGTGTCACATCAGCAGTGGGAACCTGGGCTGTTTTCTCATGGCATCTTGCACAGCAGCACATGCTTCCTCTCCCTGTACCCACACGCGCTGCCAGTGTAATCATCAATGCTAGGATGGTAATACTGGCATGAAACCAAGACTGCACTGCTGATCCTATTTGGGTCCCACCAGCTTTTCTAATAACTCATTTCTGCTTTGAACCCTAGGTTCCATGCTGTGTCAGTCACCCCCAGTTGATGGCATCTTCTGTCTTTCCTAATCTTAGAGATTTTGAAGAGTCCTTGTCATGAGAACTGTAGGGTGTCCTGTTGTGCAGCTCCCTCAGGATTAGGTGAAGGTGGCCACACTTGGGGAGGCTCGTCGTGGGGGTGATGTGACCTCAGTGCGCCCCATTAGAGGTGCCCCACAGTGCCTTGGTAGCCAGGGTCACTTGGAGGGTGATGTCTGCCGTGTTTTCCCTTGTGGAGCTCCTGTTTTTCCGTGTCCTTAAGAACTGTTGCTGTTTCCTGGGAGACACTGGGAGACTTTGCCCACTAATCTTTCATGGTAATGCCGTTCCTGGGTCTTCCTGGTGACAGGTAGTTCTGTGGGCTTGGAGTGCTACGTCTCCATGTCCCTCCTTCCTTCTGCATCTGTTGGTTGGAATTCTGTGGGGAAGTGTTTTCTTGCCCAGTTATTTATCGATTCAATCACTGTGTAGCATTGTGGGATCAAGAATATTTATTTCATTGCTCATGATTTCCATTCATTCTCTCAGATTGCTCCTGCCTTGGCCATTCACAGCTGTCTTAGATTGGTTCCTTTACCTTCTCGACATTTCCTCATCCCTCATCCTTTTTTTTAAGGCACTTTCTTGTACTGCAAGATAAGATCCCATACTAAAAAAAAAAAAAAATCCGAGATATTGAAGACTTGTGTTTTCTCGCGTAGCACTGGTACTTTTTGTTGGAAGATGGTATTAGCAACCAGATCTGGCCACCAGCTATGTTCATTGCTGTTGGGACAGCACCATTTCTAGAGCTCTTGGCAGACAGATAAGGAATATAAGAACAAATATTAATGTATAGACATGCATATCATGAGTTCATAGTAATTCCTTTTCTGTTGTCTAACATACTCAGCACTACAAAGTTAAGTCTGTTATTCTTCCTTTATTAGTAAATCTTTTTACTTTCCTTGTATACAATATATTTACTTATTTGTTACACACATAAAGTTATTTCAAATTGGTGATCCATATCCATAGAAGCTAGCAATTTGCCAAAGTACTTTGTCTATGTTTTATTTTTATTATTATTATTATTATTATTATTATTATTATTATTTTGTCTTTTTCCTTTTTATCGGTACCGGGGATCGAACTCATGACCGCCTGCTTGCACGGCAGGCACTTATGCCGCTGAGCTAAATCCCCAGCCCCTGTCTATGTTTTATTAATCTTGAACTTTTTTTAAAAATCCAGAAATAAAATGACATGAGCACTTCATAAAAGCAGATTTTTGAAATAGGAGACAGCAAGAAGGATAGACATTACAGATCTACCAACTATCCAAGGGTCATTTTCCTTTTAGAAACTATAGTCTTGTAGAGTCCTAGAGTAAAATAGAGAAGCACGTGGCTTTTTCACTATTAGAAAAGAACATTTGTTTGATAATGTCCAGTGATTACAGAGAAATAGCTTATATCTACTTGAAAGCTAATTCCATAAAGGAAAATTTCCTAAAGATTTTGTGTTGTTTTGAGACAGGGTTTTGCTGTATACTTAAAGCTGGCTTTGAACTCACTGTGGCCCTCCTGCCTCAGCCTTCTGAGTGCTGGAATTACAGGCGTGTGCCATCACGCCCAGCCAAGGTTTTGAGATAGATTGGATGCATGGCTGAGGCATCCCTGGGATCTAAGTATCTTAGAAGGATCCCAGCATTGGTTTTTTCTCTACCCCATTTCCAACTCCTCCTCTCAGACCCTGTGAGAACCCCATCGTCTAGTGAAGACACAGTTCTGGGTTGTTCCTGCCACCCTGGAGTCTCTACCTGGCTGACACCCATGGGGCTAGACCAGGGAAGCCAGGGTGCTCCTGTCACTCAGCTTTGACTCTGTATTTCCATGTTGCCCGGGATAAACATAGTAAGTGAACACAAAGGTGAGCGAGGGAGGGAATGGAAGCACTCGTTTGGAGCCAGAGTGACAGTGGGCAGTGGCACACTGGCGTGTAAGGGTCGGGGCCAGGCAGCCCACAAGGAGGGCCTCAGAGCAGCGAACAGGCACAGGAAGTGTCCGGGGCACGCACATTCTGCTCTTCAATCCTGATCCGAACATTTGATCTTTGTATATATCAGTGGTGGCAAACCTACAGCACGCGTGCCCAGCCAGCTGTTGGTTATCATTGAAAGTTCCAGAGGTTGACCACTGTGGTGCGCATCTTCAGTACCAGCAGAACTGGCTTTTCACAAACTAACATGCCCCTCTCTACCATCACATCGCACTTTATGGGAGCACATATCTGTAATCCCAACATTCAGGAGGCTGAGGCGGGAGAATTGCTGAGTGTGAGGCCAGCCATGAATGAGTTCAAGATGGTCCTAGACCGTATAGCAAAAACCATCCCCCAAAGTGAAAACAATATAAATAAATATTTTATTTTTTTAAATTTGCCCTTTGCTGTTGCCTTAATACATAGTTGGGTGACAATTTCTGTGATTGACTATGTTATAAAGCCATGTTCCTGTGATTTTAAATGCATAGCACATCTTAATGTTTTATCAGAATCTAATGAAAGATATGAAATGTGTTTCCAAAATAGTTCACACTCATGCCTGTAAGTGTACCCACGTGTACGTGCACACACTCATACAAAACATTCATGTTTCAGGGGATTGTTGAGCCTCTGTGGGTTCAGGAGTTTCTGAGGACTTCTCCACATGCCCAGCATTGCCTCTTCCAATGTGTGCCACAGCTTTGTGGGCTAGTCTTTCATTCCATTTACAAACAAAGTGTTTAGTGTACATAACATGCAGGAGACCATGTAAAGAGTGAATACCAGTATTAGGGCTTGGACTCAGGTCAGTCTGACCCTGGAGTCTGTCCGTTTTCTTTTTGGCCATATGAGGCATTGAATCCAGAGCCTTTACTCTGAAGTACATCCCGGCCCTGATTTTATTTGGAGAGAGGGTCTTGCTGAGTCACTAAGTTGTTCGGGCTAGGCTTGTGGTCCTTCTGCCTCAGCCTCCCAGGATACTGAATTACAGGATGCTCCACCTCACCCAGTCGGAGTCTAGCCCTTAGCCTCTCTCACACTGCCTAGGAAGTCTGAGAGAACACTCATTTAAACCCTAAAAGCATCTGGGATAAGAAAGGCCTCGGCTCTAACCTCTCTGTTATGTGAAGGTAAGGTAATGTGTACAGTTACGTGACTGACAGCCGAGCAACAGGTACGAGTGGTCGGTCAGCACAGCCCCAGCGCGTCCTGTCTGTCTGGAGTTGTGGCGGCTGCAGTGCTGCCTTGTCTTTTAGGACCTGGAATACCGTCTGGATCCAAAGACCAAGGAGCTGCCTCACCTGCGCAACCCTGACATCCTGGTGGGTGAGAATGACCTCACGGCCCTCAGCTACCTGCACGAGCCTGCGGTGCTCCACAACCTCCGGGTCCGCTTCATTGACTCCAAACTCATCTACACGTACTGTGGTGAGTGGCATGGCTGTCGCAGAGCGGGAGCCTAGAGATGAGGGGCCCGGGAAGAGCAGGCTATGCTTGGGTTTCCTCAATGCCCAAGCTGCCTGGAGCGCTCAGAAGGCTCTGAGTTTGCGTCCTCCTTCCCAGAACAAAGCAAGCTGGCCTGACTGGGGTCCCCACAGAAACCTATGTGGACTCGAGGTCAGACTCAGCCTTGCGTTCAGCTTAGAGACAGCGCGTGGAGGGCAGGTGCCCAGGACTGACCTTCGGTGCGAGCTGCAGTGGCACATAAGTCCCCTTTCTCCTTGGCACCCAGGCAGGGGGCCGATGGCGCCCAGGCATCCCCTCGGCTCTGCTGCCAGGCCCCTGTGGGCCACGCTGCTGTGAGCTGAAGCTATGTTGGCACCTGTGTTGGGTTCCCTTCCCTGTCTCTGCTTCTCGTGCTCTCTCTCTCTCTCCTTCTTTGTGTCCTTCTTGTCTCTGGCTCTTTTCCTTCTCTGGCATCTTTCTTTTGCTAGTCGCTCTCTCTCTGAAGCTCAGATCTGCCTTTCTGTTCATTTCCATCTGCATTTATTTGCTTGCGATACCATCAGTGCTCTTCAGTCCATAATTACTGCCCCATTTTGAGAAACAGCAGCCTCTTTTTCTTCCCAAAAGAATGTACATCATTTGTGCTGACTTTTCTTTTTCATTACTAAATGAATATTTTTCTCAGTTTTCAGTTTTCTTTAGCTGGGCGTGTTATGCACTCCTGTAATTGCAGAATTCTGGAAGGCTGAGGCAGGAGGCTCACAAGTTGGGATGAATGTGTACAGAGTGCAGGCAGGATTTTGATGGGGCTCAATGGCAATGTGTCTTTTACTATGATTTCTTTTAATTTAAATGTTTATAGTTTTCAGTCACAGCTTATATATTTCTTACTTACCTTACTGTTTGAATTTCCCGTTAGAATATAAGCCCCATGTGAGTAAAGACCTGTCTTTTTTGTTTTCTGTTATGAAACCAGCACTTAAAAAAGACTCAAAATATAGTTGGCGCTGAAACATACTTTGTGAACAACTTTAGTAAAGTAGTACATATGCCTACTATAAAATTTAAGGAAATGCAGAAAAGGATTAAGAAAGAAAATAACTGTATAATTTGCTACCAAAAATAACAAGTGTTGTACTAACACACACCCTTTCTTTTTGTATGTGTTAGATACTTTAAGCAAATATATAGATGATATCAGTTTCTGTATGGTCTTAAAATGTGTTGGAGATAAAGTTTTGCTAAGTTGCCAAGGCTGCCTCGAAATTGTGGCCCTCCTACTCCGGATACCTGGATTACAGGTGTCAGGCTTGTACGTGGCTTGTGTGTGGTGCTGTGTCGCACCTTCCTGTGGTGTTTGGACACCCTTGGAAGTGTCTTCTGGTGGCACCTCAGTCTGTCATGTTTCTATAACAGCATATAGCTGCGTACAGATTCTGTTTCCGTGTCTATTCATTCTTATGAATACCATTATGACAGACATCTTTGTAAAAATAATCCTTTGCATGAACTGTGATGATTTCATTTGAATAATTTTCTAGAATTATGGCTTTTAAATTAAATGTTAATGAAAATATTTAAAATTCTTTCCACATTGTCCTCCAGGTTTTTTTTGGTTGTTGTTTGTTTGATTGGTTTGTCTTGAGACAGGGTCTCACTGGGTAGCACAGGCTGGCCTTGAGGTTGTGGTGACTCTCCTGCTCACCTTCCTGAGCGTGGGGAGCACAGACTGGCCTTGAGCTTGTGGTGACCCTCCTGCTCACCTTACAGAGCATGGGGAGCACAGGCTAGCCTTGAGCTTGTGGTGACCCTCCTGCTCACCTTCCTGAGCATGGGGCACACAGGTTGTACCACCGTTATGGGCCTTTTCCAGTGTTAAATGGTGCTTTGGTCAGGACTTTGTACAATGAGTTCAGAGACAAAAGCTGTGCTGTGTGTTGTGTGTGTGACAGTTTATTAGTTTAATGTCAGCTAAACTGAGATGAAGTTGTGTGCTAATGGCGAACCTTGGTTTGCCTCTTTTGATATTCCCATAGGCACTCCTTGACTCCTTTCTGTTTTGTCCCCTTCCCCCAGGTATAGTCCTGGTGGCTATAAACCCCTATGAGCAGCTGCCTATTTATGGAGAAGATATCATCAACGCATACAGTGGGCAGAACATGGGTGACATGGACCCACACATCTTTGCAGTGGCAGAAGAAGCTTACAAGCAGATGGCCAGGTTGGTGGGAGCGTGCTTTGTTGCTTCATCTCCTGTGACACATTCTTCTCTGTTGAGTCATGGATATTTTAACATGTAGGGCAATTTGTAAGCTTTACTAAATAAGCAGCCTTGAGCAGTTGCTCTCAGATGGCCTGGATTGTTATTGAGAATCTCACATTTATGAACAGATGGCATGGTTTTTTAAAAAAACTGCCTTTGGAATCTCATCCTGAGCCTCTGACCAGACAAGGCCAGATGTTATATTTTGCAGACAGGAGGGTAACATAGTGAAAAGGAAACTTTGAGCTAGAGAATGAAAGCTAAGGCGAAGTGAATCTGGTGGTGATATATATGATAGGGCATCAGAGGTGCTGGGCAGCCTGAGACAGCTTGACGTTAACCACAGGGCCCTAATATTAGAGGATGGAGAACTAGAGGAAGTGAACATCCTTAAGACCAGACTGTGGTCTTCAGAGTGTCATACAGTATAATGTAAAACAGTGAATGCGTAGAAGAATGGCACATATTGGACTCATTTCTCTAGCATACAAAGCAGAACCTGGCATGTTAGAATGTGATATGGGAAATCCTCCAGCAACTTAAGGGGGAAACTTGTGTTGCAGAGATTTTTACTTCTCTTCTCCATACGTACTCAGAGTATGTAAGACCCATGTATGAAAGAGTTTTAGGGTTATGCATGAAAGAGCCCATAAGGCCATTATGCCCTTCCCAGTATTAATGCATACTGATTGCATAGCATAATGGATGTCACCGTGGTGTTCTGTCCTTTGTGTACCTGTGGGGAGTACTGGGGATTGAACCCATGGCCTTCACATTCAGCTACATCCCCAGACCGCTTTTTATGTCTTGTTTTGGGGCAGGGTCTTGCCAGGTTGTCTAGGCTGGGCTCAAATGCAGTTTTTACACAGGAAGGTATAGCTTGTAGTGTGTTGGTGTGGTCAGATTTTCCTTGATTTCCTGTCCCACCCCTCCCTCCCCAGCCAGTTACCTCTTGTTGCTCAGTCACTCACTGTGATTTCTTTTCTTTGAGGCAGGATCTTTCTGTGTGAATCAGGCTGGCCTTGAGCTTACTCTGTGGCCCTGGCTGGCTTCAAACTCTCAACAGTCTTCCTGCTGTAGCCTCCTGAGTGATGGAATTACGCCTGGCTTCCATGTGATTTCTTAACTAAAGTCTGTCTTTTGGCTTTGTGCAGTTTTCTTTTCCAGGCAGTTTTAAAATCTGTGTCACTCACTTATGACATTTGTGTGCCATTCATATGAGTAAATCTGTCCCTGTAGGGTCTGCTGCAACACACTGATAGGCTGTGTCAGCTTAGGCTTACAGTCGGAGTCCATACTGGCTGTGGAATCGTTTCTCACTGCGTTCTTGCCCAGCAGAGGTGTTGTCTTTTCCAGATGTGAGTCCTGGTCTCTCACATTACCCCGGCCCTAGAGCCTCTCATGTTTTCAGGGAGGTGCGAGTGGCTATTGTTCTGCAGCGCTTTCTTTAGCAGACACGAAGCCCAGGCTTGGTGCCAGATACAGAGGTAGCAGAAACACATTAGACAAAGTAGGCAAAATTCCTGCTCCACAAAGGAAAACGCAGTAACGGGTAAAAAGTAACACACAGTTTGCCACCTGTCGGTGAGTGCGCTCTCTGTGGACAGTGCCAAAGATGGATGTGGCTGGATTATGATTGGGAACTGGGTGTGGAGGGGTATAATTGCAACCCCAGTGCTGTGGGAGACTGAGTAAGACTGTAAGTTCAAGGCTAGCCTGGGCAATTTAGCATCACTGTGTCTCAAAATACGATACACTGCAATCCTAGTCCTCTGGGAGCTGAGGCAGAAAGATCGAAAGTTTGAGCCCAGCATGGACAATGAGGTGAAGCCCCATCTCAAAAAAAAAAAAAAAAGCTTCTTCCCAGTGCTGTTCCTGTAGCTCGCTGGCAGGTGTGCAGTAGCTCAGTAATAGAGCACCTGCTCTTGCCTAGCACGTGCGAGGCCGTGACTTAAACCCTCATAGAGAAAAAAAGAACTACAGATCATAAATAAGAACAGTGTGGTATCTATATTACATTTCCTGATTTTAATCAGCATGGTATATGAGAGGGTATCTGGATTTGTAGGAAATACAGTTGAAAAAATGTAAGAGTTAGTTTTGTAGCTTACACGCAAACATTTCAGAAAATATTGGAATTAGAATTTAATAATGCAGATGGACAGTTAATCTGGAAAAACATGTGCAGGAATTCAGTTTGCTATTTTTGTCATTTTCTATAACTATGAAATCATAACAAAAGAATTTCCAGAAATCAGAATGATAACTGAGTCCAAGGCGAGGCCAGGACAGTGGTTAGGTGGTCATGAAGTGGCCCGAGCAGGAAGTAGTCACTAGTTGAGGACATGCGTGGAGATGGTGAGGAGGGGTGGGTTCTGGACATACTGTGCAGGTAGGAACTGGCGAATACTTCCTGCGTGCTGTACAGGACAGAATTGAGGCTGGCTACGTGGGAGTGCTTTGGGCTCTGAGGCTGGGCTCTCCTTCCCGAGTGGAGGACATTGCTGCAGGGTGGGCTCCAGTTTGGCCCTTCACGGTCGCAGTGATAGTCGGCATCATTCCTCACAGCAGAGCCGCACTAGTGTCCTTCTCAGGCAGGCACATGTCCAGCAGCAGCAGCGTCCCCGGGGCCCGTGGCTCCTGCCCTCTCGGAACATGCTCCTTGGAAAGTAACTCCCAAGAGTAGCTCACTTGACTTCCCCAGGGGAGCTCTGTGGCCGCAGCGTCTGCTTTTCTTTTTACATTCCTGCTTCATGTTCTTGCCAGTGACTTCTCACACTGCAGCTGATAGTTCTCTCTTACCTAAGCTTTGGTGTTAAAGCATTGGTTGGTTGCATTTTGCCACATGCCTTGCCAAAGTAACACTCATTAAGAAGGGCACCCAAATGGGCACCCTTAAGAAGGACAAGTTGATTGTCTGGGAGGATATAGTAATAGTATGACCTTGAAAAACTAGAGATTATATTTTTTAAAAGGATAAAATCTCAAAGGAAAATCTAGAAAGTAGAACTCTGGATAAACTTTATATGTATAGAGAAGGACTGGACAGACCAAATGTGTGAAGCTCCTGAGTGACCATACAGGGGAATGGGCTATGGTGTAGTTTCTTTCTCTTTTGTCCTCCCACAGTGGCTGTACTGCCCTGCAGTTGTGTTTTCCCACCGTGCCAGGTCCCTCTGCCTAGTTTCCTTCTTGCCATGCAAGGTGGTTTTCTCCCAGTCACCATGGAAGAGAAAGCCTTTCCTGCTGTACCCTCCGGCTGTCACCTGGTCCCAAGTCCTTCCTCTAAGCTGTCCCAGTGTCCTGGCAGGGCTCTTCGTGTGGGTTATGCCCCGTGGTTTCATAATTGTGAACCTCTCTGTCTTCCTGGGTAGGCTGGCCAGGCTAGAATCTTAGATCTCCCCAGAATGGTTAGCTGCTCTTTGTGTTTGCTGAATGAGTGAAATTCACAGACGTAGAGCTCTGAGTTCCCAGTAGAGCCCTGGAAACACCGCTGACTGAGACAGGTGCGACAGCTCACGCTTGACCCGGGCCAGCTGGGGCTGCAGCCAAGGCCCTGAGAGGACTGCCTGTCAGGAAGGCACCATCATCAGTGCAGGCCCTTGGGACCTAAGAGATTGTGTGGCTGGTATTTTGTATTCTTGCGCTCTGCTCGCTCTTTCCTTGTGCTGTTCACATATGTTGCCTTCTCCTTCCCTGTCTCTACTCAGCGCCCTCACACCAGTCGTCCTACTCTTGTCTGCTTTTCTTTTTCTTTCTTTCTTTCTTTCCTTCCTTCCTTCCTTCCTTCCTTCCTTCTCCTTCCTTCCTTCCTTCCTTCCTTCCTTCCTTCCTTCCTTCTTTTTTTGGTACTAGGGATCAAACTCATGACCTTGCTCTTGCCAGGCAGGCACTTGTGCCGCTGAGCTAAGCCCTCTCCCTAAACTGAAATACATTTTTAAAGACTGCATTGTACTGGCTCTGCAAAGATTTGTTTCCTCCTCTTAAAGGCAAACAAGGGAGTTGAAGATGTCGGTGGGCCAGGCCCCTGAGTTTCAATCTCAAACACCCCTCCAAGAAAAACAAACAATGAATTGTTTTACACTTTTCTCCCTGTAGCTTCTTCTTCAATTGTTTTGACTCCCTTTTTATTTGGGGACCCCCTAGAGGACAAGTATTGCTAGCTCAGTGAAGCTGTTCAAGCCCACCTGAGTATGTGTGGCCTGTCCTGTCCTATGTGCCTGCAAACCTGTGAAAGTCAACCCAGAGTCAGTTTGAATTTTAGATCACTGTGCTTTAGCATTGGAGGAACCTGAGGCTCTGAAAAAACTGTGACCCCAAGAGGCCAGGTGTTGGTCATCTTTCCATTGCAGAGAAAGCCTGAGGTAGTTCCAGAGGAGCCAAGGTCTATTTTGGCCCCAGTGTGGAGGGTTCTGTCCGTCAGTCACCTGTTTGGGGCTGTGACAGGGCAGCAGGTCCCTGCAGAAGTGCAGAGCAAAAGCTGTTCACTGTGACAGCCTGTGCACGGGGGAAGGTGCTGCACACCAGGACCCACTTCTTCCTCCGCCACCCAGCAGTGCCCATGCTGGAGGCTGTGCCCAGAACATGGGCCTGTGGGGGCATTACCCACTGCAGCAGGTGGGATCTGGACTCCTCAGCTTCACTATTGAAGGATACTGCTTCCTGTGGTCAGAAGCTGGGAGCCCAGAACACCACAGAAACAGAAGCAGCAGTAATGTCCCTTAAAATCGCTGGGTTGTGTGGATTCTGGAAAAGCAGATGTGCCTCTGCTGTGTGCCCCACATTGGGGTATGTGTGTGTGCGCACGCGCATGTGCGCACAGATCACTGTGATTTCTTTGAACAAGCCTTAACTCCGTGGCCTTTTCTGTTATTCCCCATGTCACAGGAGAAGGAGAAGGGAGCTTCTGTAGGAGTTTTTAGACAACATATTTTGTCATGAAGATCTGAAATAGGTTTTTGAAAGCCATACAGAGGAGGACAGTGGTTTCCATTGAGCTTTGTTTTCTCTAGCCTCCTATTTGCGGTGGGAAGGGGTGTTGGGAGAAATTCGTCACTGTCGCTGTCACATGGGGTGCATTCACGGCACTGATCTCCTTGGAATCAGGCAGAAGGCAGTCATGGCGATGCCATGCCTCATGGGATGCTGGCATGCCTGCATTGCACATCTCAGTTCTTCTACTTCCCCTGCCTTGCCTCTTCTGAATGTGTCACGGAGGGTAATCCAGACTGCGGATACTGACCTTCGGCTGAGGTACTGAAAAAGTTAAATTCTGAGGATGTTTTAAAAGGATATTCACATCAAAATGAGAACTGTTTCATTAGAGCAATTTATTTTCAAACCAGGCACGAATGAGCAGAGGCGCTAAGTAGAGTGGCAGCTTGGTTCATGAAGGTAATTCTTTCCCTGATTCTGGCTGCAGCTGAACTGCGGGCACGGTACATACTGTGTCCATTTCAGCCTAAAATTCAGAGGAAGAGGTGACGTTCAAGGCATCCCATGAAGCCAAGGGTCACATATGCAAGCTTGGCCCTTCCGAACGAGCCATTCCTTCTCCTGCCACTCCTTCCCCTCCCTTTTTCCTTCTCCCTCTATGTCGGGGTCAAATCTAGAGCTGGCACATGCTAAGCAAGCTGCCTACTGTTCAGCTACGTCCCTGGCCCTTTTATTATTTATTATTTGGAAACAGCGTCTCACTGAGTCACCAGATTTCCTAGGCTGGCCTCAAACTTGTGACCTCCTGCCTCAGCTTCCCGGGGAGTTGGATTAAAGGAATGCCCCACTGTGTCCAGTTTGTAAGCAGTTATTCGTGTCAGGAACCTCATACTTCTGCCCACACTGTTGAGTGTGTAAGCAGCAGGAGCTGCCCGCACCACACAGTGAGCAAGGAGGGAGACGCTGCTGAGGGGAGCCTGGAGTGGGCAGAGTGGCTGTGACCGGTCTTTGTTTTGCAGAGATGAACGGAATCAGTCCATCATCGTGAGTGGAGAATCTGGGGCAGGAAAAACGGTCTCTGCCAAGTATGCCATGCGCTACTTCGCCACTGTGAGTGGCTCTGCGAGCGAGGCCAATGTTGAGGAGAAGGTCCTGGCCTCCAACCCCATCATGGAGGTAAGGTGGCAGCACCCCGGCTTCTTTTCCTGCGGTTTGTCAGGAAGGACTCACCGAGGCCTTCAGAGGCCTGGCTTTCCCAGCCACCAAGATGGCAAGGAAGGCTGGAAGTGCCCTCCACCCAGATGCAGAGGGAATCCGTTTTTGCCCGCTGCCCCACGTCCCAGTCCTGCCCCAGCTGTCTCCTTGGGCACAGGCAGCAAATTCATTTTCAGTTACTGCCTCAGGACTCACCCCATGTTTTCTCCCCTGGAGTGTAACTCACTGTCTCCTGGCCTGGGTCTTCCCTTATCCTCCCAAAGCAAAGGCTCCTCCAGGCCAGGCACAGGTGGGTGCGGGGTGTCTTTGCCCATGATCCTGTTCTGTGTTCAGTCCCGCCTGTTTGGCCATGGTTCAGATGCGCCCTAAAATTTGAATTCTGCACTTAATCTGTGATCTCATGAGCTTTGTTCTTTTCATTTTTGTTAAGTTCATCACATAAGGACAGGTTAGTAAAAGAAATTCAGTAATTCTTCCTGAGGCAGAAAGAACTATGGAAAGGGTGATGTAAAGCATCTTTACAAAGTAGAAATGTGGATGCTAAAGAAATTGGAATTCGATGCATGAGCTAACAAAATGCTTAAAAACCTCTAGTGGGCATTATTTTATTCCTGTCTTTTTCCTCCATCGAGCATATTTATCACCTAAGCGCAGAAGGAGCTGAGCGGCCGGCGCACCTGTGCAGTGATCTGTTCCCGAGGTAATCGTGCCTGGCTTGCAGTGCTGTGTGATGCTCAGAGCAGAGTGCTGTGACCTGCTGCCCTCAGCAGTGCCCTCCAGAGTCACAGGCGTCTCTGCAGGGGTGGAAGGACAGCCACACTGGGGGTGCACTTGGGGGGCAGAAGATGGGGGGTGCGTTCTGGCAGAGTGGGCAAGAAGAGACTGCCATGGGGGCTGAAGGACAGGATGGGGAATTGGAAGCAAATTAAGATTTTGAAAGCATTTACTTATGGACAGAATGGTAGAGACCACCGGTGCTAAGACTGGAAGAAACAGTTTGTTGCCAGTTTTTGATCTTGGGTTAAAAAAACAACAGGGCTCTGCCTCCTACCATTGTTGTTACTGGTTTTGTCACGACAACAAATTCCTAGAATTTGGCAACAGTTCCTCCCATTTAGTCATCTTCTTTTTTGGCAGTACTAGGGGGTTGTTCCCAGGGCCTTCCCACTGAGCTACATCCTCAGTCTTTTTATTTTTTATTTTGAGCCAGGGTCTTGCTAAATTACTAAGTGGCCCAGAGTGGGTTTGAACTTGGAGTCCTCCTGCCTCAGCTCCTCTGCTGAGGCTAAGATTATGTGCTCTTACTACTACGCATGGCCCCAGTCCACTCTTACTGGTAGACTGTCCTCAAGTCTGGATTGTGATAGCATGAGGGAGCCCGAATCTTCCAGACTGTACCTGTGAAATGAGGATTTGAAATTGCCCGGAGGATAACTTAAGTAGCAAATGAACTTTCTAGAATATGCTAAAAGACGAGTGAACCATTTTATTACAGTGTTCTGGGCCTTGTGGCACACATGAATAATCCTTGCTACTCAGGAACACTTTCAAGCTGGAGGCCAGCCTGGCATAGAAATTCTAAGATGTAGCTCCATGCCCTCTGGTTCATTCCTCAGACAAACAGACAAACAACTGCATTGGTTTCCAGCAGCACAAGTCAGAGTTTGTTAAAGGGAATGAGATGAAAACTTTGGAAGGAACAGAGATAGTGCTTTTTTTCTTGTGGTACTGGGGATGCACCCTTACACATTCCAGCAGACACCACCACCGAGCTCCATCCCCAGCCCTTTTTATTTTATTTTGACATAGAGTCTGAGTTTTCCAGGCTGGACTCAAACTTGTGGTGCTCCTGTATCAGCTTCCCGAGTAAGCAGGATTGCAGGTTTGGGCTACTGCACCTGGTTCATACGCTGCTTTTTAATATTCAGCCAAAACGAATTTGTCATGTTTGCCTGGGCAAACAGAAAAGATAAAGGGATCCACAGTGGTTAGGTATTTCTCCCTATTTTTCTTGTTTAATCTGTCTGTAGGAATTTGGATTTAGAAAATTGTGCTAGTTAGAGAAATAATTTTCAAAAGAGTTGTCTCAGATTGAGAGACAAAAATGAAATGAAATACTGGGCTAAAGAATGTCGTCAAAGGATTTACAGTCAGTAGAAGGAAATACTAATGAAATATTGAAGCTGTAGTTGGAAAATCCGTCGGTTTAAATGACCTTTAAGACTGTGTCTCCATATTGGAGCTTTTCACTGTGACAGCAAGAAAAGACCACACGAGGGGGCACACACCATCCCAGCACTGTGGGAGGCTGAGGCAGGACAGTCACAAGTTTGAGCTCATCCTGGGCAACTCAGTGACTTAAGAAGACCCTATCTCAGAATAAAAAAGGGCAGGGGACACAGGCAGTGCCCAGGGAATTCTGCAATACCATGAAAGGTGTGTCCAGGTCCCCGTGGTCTGCGGAAACTCTTCCCTGGGTAGCGTGCGTGCATCAGCTGGTGGCGTGGCCCCATGGCCAGGTCTGCATGTCGCCCTCATCCTCTGCAGAGGCCTCGTGGCAAAGCCTGAGGGAGGCTGCTCTTTCTCTGTTTTATCTCGTGTTTTCTTTATCTCCTGCAAATTTTCATTTGAGATGGGGCACACTGGATCTTAATGGTTCTTTTTTCTCTTCAGCAACCACAACTGAAGATTTTCACCTCCATTTTATGAAGAAAAGTAACTCAGGCAGCATTTCACTAAAATCAGTACAATCCAGCTCATAACATTTTTCCCTTAGCAATTTCTTGCTGATTGAAGTGAAAATAACATTAGTCTCCTGTTAAATATTTCTGGTCATTATTCTTCTCTTTTTAATTCTAGAAAAGTGCTTAAAATGTTCGTCTAGATTGTAGCCTTGACCTCATTATGGTGATACCTGTTCTGCTTCTGAAAGTGAAAATTTCCTGTCCTGGACTGATCACAGATCTGCTGTCGGTTGCCTTACTGCTGTTTTCCCTTCTGATGTTTGTTTTCTTCGTTTAACGATCAACTACTACTTTCACCTCTTCTCCCACTGTGCTTCTGAGATACTAACCTAGTGCAGGCTTTGCTCCCTTGAAAGATGTTAATCTTGTGTGACATTAGCTTCTTAAACATGTAATATAAGTCATAATGTGATTGTTCCCTTTTCTAACTGCAGTTTTTTTTTCTTTTTTTTTTTGCTCTGCCTTAAAAGGAAAAAACTTAGAAGATGTCACCTAGATCAAAAAGAAGACATGCCATTTTAGGTTACATTCTCTAGCAGATATTTTGCACGTTTGATTCATCCATCAAACACTAAACCCAGGTTTTACTTCCTCTGGCTTCTGAAATGGCATTTAAATTGGGAAGATAGTACTAATACTCTTAATAAGCCTCAAGCTTTATTGGTATAAGATAAAAATGTTAGAAACTGGTTTCTAAAAAGTCCGTGAATACTGCAGCAGTATTTTCAGGAAAACTATCTCATTTACATAAGACAGTTTTCCAAGAAATAAAGATCTTGATATGTGGCTGGCAAAACTTGTGCTTTGAGAGCACCCAAATCCACCCATCTTCCCGTGCTGCCCTGAAAGGGTGTGTTTGCGCCTCCGAATGCAGCACGGAAGCTTCCTAACTGAGTCAGGTTGGCTGTTTCTGAAATAACAAAAAGACCAGGAGGACGTTCTGCAAGAGTAACAAGATGAATAAGAACCATTAGTGTGCATCTGTCATGTGCAGTGGGCAAAGCTACACCTGTGCCTGCAGGGCACGATTGGCTCTGTTCCTAATAGAGTCAAAGATAGAGAGTTACATTCTGCTCTGTCCTCTCTGTTCCTGGACAGACTGAAGCATCAGGTCACAGACTAAAATCTCATTTTCTCCTTTGCTTCTTAGTCAATTGGAAATGCTAAAACAACCAGGAATGATAATAGCAGTCGTTTTGGGAAGTATATTGAGATTGGTTTCGATAAGAGATACCGAATCATTGGTGCCAACATGAGGACTTACCTCTTAGAGAAATCTCGAGTAGTGTTCCAGGTAAATTGGGTGCGCACACTGTATTTATACTTGTGTTGGATTATCACATAGCAACAGCACACATGCTTGCTGCTATGGCATGACTTATTTCTAAGTTATCATTATTATTTTGGTGCCGGGACAAACCGTAGACCTTCACACTGATCTACATACCGTGTCTTTTTTTAAAGTTTGAGACAGGGTCTCTGGCTAAGTCATTGGGGAGCCCAGGGTGGGCTCAAACTTGTGATCCTCTTGACTCAGCCTCCCAGAGTGCTAGCATTACAGCTGTGCACCACTACACTGTGGTCAGTCTTTCCATTTTTAAAACTACTAGCTTCTGAGCAGCCAGGCTATGTAACTGTTAAATATGGATGACGGGTTAATGATTTTGTCTATTTCCTACAGATGTTTATTGGAAAGATAAGTTTAAGAAGAGACACTAGTAGTTAGAGTCTTATCTCTCGTCTTTCCCAGTTGATAAAGGGAAGGCATTGACTAGTTTCTTTCCTTGCTACTTTTTCAGAATATGATGTTGTTCAGTTAGAACAGTGAGGGTTAGTGAGCAGACGTAAGGTCCCACTGTGTTGCCCAGGCTGGCAGCAGACTCCAGGGCCCAAGGGACCCTGCTGTCCTGACCATCCCGAGTGGCTGACTGCAGGACTGTGTCACTGTGCCTGGCTGCCAGAGTGACTGTAAGTCCTAAGGTTTACAAGTCATACATAAGTCTTAGGGAATTTGGGGAAGGACAACTTACTTCACCACCCGAGATAATTAAATATTGAATTGTATTTTATGATAGAATCTTCTGATTTTAGAGTAAAATGCAGTAATTGAAAACTCTTCTTATTTCAAAGGCAGAAGAGGAGAGAAACTATCATATCTTCTATCAGCTTTGTGCCTCAGCAAAGTTACCTGAATTTAAAATGCTGCAATTAGGTATGAATGTATCATTGGATTCATTGTGCTATGTTGTTCTCTCTTAGTTTGTTAGTTTCTAAATCTACTTGTTAAAAGGAACTTAGCTTATATTAAAATACTTGTGGCTAAAATGGTTAAAAAGTCTGTGGCTGGATTTCACACAGCTCGAGGTGGGGAGAGACGGAGCAGGGATTGGCCCAGGCTGATGCTCGTTTTGGGTAGCTGATGAGTATGTAGGGGTTTGTCACACTGCTCCCTGCTTCTGTGTATGTTTAAAATTTTCCCTGGTTAGGAAATGAACATTTTAAAGGCCTGTGGGGTTTCTGATGAGAGTGGCATGGGAGAAAATGGTCTTGCCGTGTAGTTTGGAGTTAAACTACTCATTTCTCCAGTTATGATACGTATAAATATTTTACGTCATTATTTGGTTGAGTTTTGTGTTAAAATCTAATTGAAAACATAGGTAGTTAAACTCAAAATGCTGTGTGCTGAAATGTGCTATTGCGGCCTTGGATTTAGCGGGGTGGCGGGCAGAGCTGCTTCACAGGACTGCAGACCTCTCGTCTTCATTTCAGGAGCCGCAGACAGCTTCCATTACACCAAGCAGGGGGGCAGCCCTGTGATCGAAGGGGTGGATGACGCCAGGGAGATGGCTCACACCAGGCAGGCCTGCACACTGCTGGGTAGGTGACCCCTCCGGAGCTGTGGGAGCGGCAGCCTTGCAGCCCACACTGCCCCAAGTGCAGCACTGGGTGGCTGTTCGGCTGGTGCTGGCGGGAGGTGAGAGCAGCTTGTAGAACACATTTAGACCACACCTGGCAGTGGAGGGCTCTAGAGTGGTGCTGCTCACACAGCTTTGTACATATATAAAGACAGTTTAATTACATGCTTAAAATGGGTGAATTTTACACAAAGTGTGGCTTAATAAAGCTATTTTAAAAAACATATTTAAGGCATCAAGGCAAAGAATTCTGGAACAAGACAGTAATTCTTTGTTCAAATTTTTACAAAAGTCAAGAACCTAAAACTAAATGAAATGGTTTCCTTTGTAAGCTCACATTTTTGGGGGGCCTTGTGTATCATTTTTGAGCTCGTTTGTGGCTGAGAAATGTGACCATGCTGGCATGGGACAAACATTGTATTACACATGGTTCCCTGCACAATGGGGAGTCCACTCAGGTGTTACTGTCTTCTTTCTTGGATTTAAAATGTTTCAGGTCTACATGTGAATAAATTAATCTCCAAATTTTAGAGATGAATTATTTTTCTTTAAAACTACAGATTGTTAATTCAAAAATTGTATGTTGGTATTTTGAGGAGTACCCTCAAGTAAGTTAATTTAAAAGTACATTAACAAGATCTATTGCTGATTCATACGCATATTAAACTACTTTACTTCTAGGGATAGATTATAAATTTGGAAAATGTCATAATGTAGGAGGAAAACACTCATTCTAAAAAGTCGAATTGAATTACGCTGTATACAATGATGCATTCGGAAATAGTTTTACATTGCTACCTGGATAAATTCAATCTGATATTCTAGAAGTTCTGACCTCACTGACAAATGAGGCCGGACCAGTAAGACCCTCACATTGCCATACTGCCTGAACCCTCAACCCTGCTCTGCCGCTCGGGGTGGGGTAGGGGGTGCAGGCACGTCCTCCTCAAGCTGGGGCGCGTAGCGGTCTGCATGCTTCTACTCATGGGGTGCTGAAGCCCCTTACATTTGTAGTCTGTAACTGGAAGACTTTAAAATCAGATTTGAAATGGCTGCAGCTTGCATTTGGAGTAGAAATGAAATGTCAGTAACATTAATGAAACGCTAAGAGTGATGGCGAGGACAGTCATTTGTCTAGTGCTCACAGTGTGTCAGGTCGACTGTGTGCATTATCTCATTTAATCTCTACCAGAGCCCTGTGAAATGTTTACTCTCATCCCATATTTCAAGCGAGAGAACAAGCCTAGGTGGTGACGCTGCTTTACAGGGGAGAGCATATTTGTGGCAGAGCCAGGTGGAGCCCAGAGGGGTCACACCTGCAGTCTTTGGTCACCTGTGATGTGTCTCATGTTGTGTCCATGTACACGAGCGTACGGCCAGCACAGTACATTATCATGTGTACAGCGTCTGGCGAGACTGAAGAATTGATTATAGGTTAAAATTAGCTGCTGTCATGGATTAGTTGCTGTTCTGAAATTAATGAAATTAATTGTTCACTTACTCTTTTTGTTCCAGGAATTAGTGAATCTTATCAAATGGGAATTTTTCGAATACTTGCTGGCATCCTTCACTTGGGAAATGTTGGGTTTGTGTCCCGAGATTCAGACAGCTGCACAATACCTGTAAGTTAGAACAAGCTTAATGCAGTAGCAGCTGAATTGTGTTTTCCTTTTGTTGATTCTTCCTAGAAGCAAGAGATTTCATGTCTCTAATGTTGTCAGAAAGATAACTGTCAAAGAGAGATCCAGTGATAATGCTTGAACTGAGTATAAAACATGGAATCTTACTCCTGCTGCAGTGATTGTGTGTGTGTGTGTGTGTGTGTGTGAGAGAGAGAGAGAGAGAGGGAGAGAGAGAGAGAGAGAGAAAAGAGAATTTGGATACATGTCTTATTTCTATAACAGCAGTGGAAGTTTCATGTAATAGATTGGTAAATCAAGAAGGAAAGGTTCATTTGGCCTATGACACAGGTACCAAGAATTGGTAAGTTTATACATTACACTGCGGAAACATAAAGGGATTAAAAGTTATTGAAGAAACTGGTAACACCATTTGCTCCTAGGGAGATGAATGAGATGGCTGGGGTATGTGTGCAAGAAACTGACCTACCCTTTCCACCTTCCTCAATGTGGGACATATGCACCTGTTAGCTATACAAATGTGTAAATGCTTTCCCTCTTCTTTCTCTATATTTGAGTGGATGGGTAGATGAGTGGATGAATTTAGTGACCTTAATGTAAACAGCCGCACAAGATCAGAGACTCATAGGAGTTAGAGCTATAAAGGACCCTATATACTCCACAGCAAGACCCTCTCTGTGACTTCACTTTTGGTGGCCTAGTTACCTGTAGTCAATCTTGGTCTGAAAATATAAATGGAAAAGTCTAGAAATAATTCAGAATTATCCCCAGGAGTGGGATAGTGAGTTGAATGGAATTTCTATTTGTGTGTGTGTGTGTGTATGTGTAATCTTCATACTGATTTCCATAGTGGTTGTACTAGTTTATATTCCCATCAAAAGTGCAGGGAGCCCAAATGCCCATCAACTGATAAATGAATAAGAAAGAGGTAGTTTTTTTAAACAGTGGAGTACTACTCAGCCTGAAAAGATAAGCAAGTAATTTTTAGCTAAATGAATGGACCTTGAGGCCATACTCTTTAAAGGAAATAAGTTGGACACACATGTAAATGTTGCATTGTCTCACTGGTGTGGGAAACAAAGTGTAAATAAGAACCAAAGTGTATAGTAGATATTGTACAATAGAAAGAAATTGTTCAAAAGGAAAGGGGAGGGAGAGGAAGGAAGGAAAAAGGAAAAAATGAGGAAAAAAATATAAATGGAAACAGAGCTTTGTAAGTAAGGAGGGGAAGAGGAGTTGAAGGGAGGGGAATGGTAAAAAAGAAGAACTAAGATACATCGTATCCAGATACAAAGTCCCTATGGTGGATGTGATCATTGTGTATTATCTAAATTATACCAATAAACTTAATTAAAAAGTGAAAAAAAATGCAAAGAGAGATCTTTTTCCCCTGTATCCTTGCCAGTATTCATTGTGTTTTTTAAATTCTTGATGATAGCCATGTGTGTAATCTGAAAAATGCATGAATGAGTAAACTAAAGGAGAGATGACGGGAAACTAGGCAGCAGACTTTTGGAGATGAGGAAGAGTATGGGGCGGGGGGAGGGAGAAAGGGTTACTGTGATACAAAATGGTCAAAGTATGATAAATCTGTATATCAGTTTTCCCAAATGAACCTCATCGTTCTGAATTACTTGCATTAATTTGAAAAAGTGGAGAATCGAGTTCAAAAAGGATGGATGAATGAGTCAACAGAGGGATAGAAGGGAGGAAGGGTAGATGAATAATGGGTTTTAAGTGGCATGCCACTCTGAGAAGCCTAAGGAATTCTCATGCTGTCCTTCCACAGTGTACTTTAGTTGTCCCATTGTATTATTAGTTGTTGATTGTACTGCACCAAATTTATACATTAAACTTAAGATAGATACATGCCTGGAAGGAAACGGACACACTGTGTAGCTGCAGTATCTGGCATCCCCTGGGCATGCTGGGCTGCAAACCCTGTGATCAGAGGCCACTGCTAGACTGGCGAGACATAGAAGAGTGTTTGTGATCAGCTCCAGCTTCCGGCTCAGCCTCTCTCCCTACTTCTCACACTGCACATGCCAGCCAGTGACATGACAAGGCATGTCTGTCTCCTGCTTTTGCTTAGATCCTCATTTGCCTCTCTTCCCTGGCCAGTTCTTCCTTGTAACTTGGACATACCTTCCCCCTGTGTTTTCCTTTATTGCAGCTTAAATCTCATTGCCCCAGAAAAGTCTATCTTGCTTGTGTTACCTCCTAGAATTTGAGGTCATTGTAGCGGCACCAGAATATTTATGTTATTGTTTTTAGGGCTTTTTAAAAATTCAGTTCATTCGTGGTTGCCTTTTTCTCTGGATCTGTAGCCCCTGGTGTACAAGCATATTCCTTTGTCCTTTAAGAAAAGAATGTGTCCCCTGCTTTTTCTGACTGTAGTATTCTTGTAATATGTTAGACACACGAGACATCATATAATATAAAATTAATGACTTCATGATTTAAAGAGAAATACTGTAAATGATTACTCAAAGGGCCAAGAGCTAGATGGAGGGGTCTTACAGGGGACATGATGCTCATAATTCCTTTTTGGATAATTTATATTTTTCCTAAGTCATGAAACCTAGTTTTAGATACAAAATCTGCCCTCCCTTTGACTTCCTACTGACAATTTTAAAAAAAGATAGAATGATAATTCTAATTTAAGCTCTGACTTCTTCTAATGAAATATTACTACCTTATAGGCAGCTTTTTTGATATATAGTCACATATACCCATTTAAATGGTTTTAAGTATGCAATTAAATGGTTTTTATTGTTTTCACAGATATGTATAACCATATGATAGCACAGTCAATTTAAAATATTTTCATTATCTCAGAAACTATGCCCTTTAGCTATTGCACCTCTTTCCCCCACTTACTCACCACCAAACAACCATGAATCTGATCTTGGTTGTTCTGTAGCTTCAGTGCTTGGGAATACTGATTGGACCTTTGCAAAAGGCTGTTGAAAAGGTTATAAGAAAAGAATGGAACTAATTAATTGAGGAAATGCCTCCTCTTGATGGTGATATGCTGGACTATTGCAGTCTACTAGTCTATGAAAGATTTGCAGAAATTATTGATCATATTAACAGAGAGCTCCTTACCCATCCGGCCTTAGTTGGAAAGGTGTGTGACCATGTGGAAGAGACTGAGGCCTGCTTGAAGGAAGTGCAAAAGAATGCTTGATTACAAAATAAAATTCCCAAAGTAAATGAAGAATAAGAGGAATGCTCACAGAATGCAGAGGAAGAGGCCAAAGAAATTAGAGTAAGGAAAGAAGAGAAAAGGGGAGATACAGAAGGCCTGTCTGGGAGGTGCAGTCTGTGTGTAATGGGGGTCCCTGAAGCAGAGGACAAAGCAAATGAAGCCGAGGCGACACTTAGAGAAGAAGACTTGCAGAGTTGAAGAATGAAGTAAGTCTGCAGATGAGGAAGGTTCACAGGGCACCTCTAAAATTTAATGAGAAGCAAGCAACACCTAGGCATATCCTTGTGACCTTTTTTAAATTTCAAAGGTAAAGAAAATGTTTTGCAAGATTCCAGACAGAGACAGCAGGTTACTTATAAAGGAACAAAAGTCAGACTGACCTCAGATTTTTCTCTTAGAATTCTAAATGCCAAAAGGCAATAGAACAACATTTACAGGGTTTTAAGGGAAAATAATTTTGAACCAAGAATTATGTACCCTGCCAGGTTAGTATTTATATATGAAGGCCACTAAAAGACACTCTCAGATACCAAAGGGTTTAAGAAAGTGTATCGACCAAGAACCTTCTCTGAAAATTTTGCTAATTGATTTACTACAGCCAACAGAATAGGGAGATATGGAACATTTGATGATCAAACTAGTGAAGAACATGGAGCTCAAAATTATTACATATCGGAAAGTAAACTTAAATGCAAAATAGATTTGTAATCTGGATGTAAAATTCTGCTGTTAGTTTTAAATTATCAAAATGCATATCAAATAGTATAAATAAATGTCATTTTATTTTTTCCATGTAATATAAACTTGGATGTTGTTAAGCCAAATGTATTTAAATAGAAGTGCTCTGTCACAGTGGTGAGAACAAGTGCACAGGAGACATACCAAGTATTCATCTGACAGAACTGGAGAACGACGCAGTTCTAATGCCTTTAAAAAGCTAACAAGTTCATAATGTTAATGTTAGTAATATAAGGAGAAAATTTCCAAAGCACTGGTTGGAGAGGGGTGAGTATGTTTGAAATTAATAAGATCCAGATTGAACTTTAAAAAAAAATGAATCTCTGATTTACCTGCATTTGTATAAAACAAAGGTTAAAAGGTTTAAAGGTAATAGACATTCTTTAGGTCATAGAAGTGGAGATGTCAAAAACTATAATACACTACAATTTTGTTTTGTTTTTGTTTTTATGTGTGTGTGTTTGTTTTTTGTACCAGGGATCGAACTCACACCTCACGCTTACCAGTCAAATGCTTGAGCCACTGAGCTAAATCCCCAGCATCTACACTATATTTTTGTTATGCAAAAATAAGGATGTTGTAAGAAATTTCACATTTAAGAGATTATGTGGTATTTAGGCAATATTTTTTCAATATTTTTATATAAATGATACCTTACTATTGTAAACTGATATAAATACATATATTTTAAAATATATTCAAAATTAGTGGTTTCATGTACTTAAAATTCATTGAGTAGTTCTTCAATTAAAAAGATTATATGTAGCAAAAATAAAAGAATATGGTACCTGCCTCTATAGAGCTACCTATTCTAGACATTTCATGTAAGTTGAATCATCTAATGTGTGGTCTTTCAAAGTCCATCAGTCTGTCACACTTCATTCTCTTTTTGATGGCTGAATAATAATTCAGTGTGTGTTGGTGTGTGTGTGTGCATGTGTGTTGGTGTGTAGATGTTAGACTGCTTGTTTTAGTTACAGGGGTTGTGCCGGGCTGTTTGTGTTGGTGAAAGTGCTGCCGTGTCTCTGGAACGATGACTTGCAAGAGGGCGTGGAAAGGTGGAAGGCTGGCCGAGTCAGTCAAGGGATGAGGGTGTCAGAAACAGAGGTTCCAGTGCCAGCTCTGCCATCAATTTTTTGATCTTGTAATTTTTGACAAATGTATGTTCTTTTAGTTCTCACTATGATGTTCACCTTGTCTGTTTCCCAAGATGTTACCAGATTCAACTGATTCACATGGACAGTGTCAAAAAATCTATACTACTATGGGTTAAGTGAGTGTTGTCAAATACTTGCTCACTCAGGCTCATGGGAAACTTTATAGGGGTGTAGGGGTATTTAAGTCATCGAAGACATTGTAAGCCAAGGGCATCCAACCTTTTGGCTGACCTGGTCTGTGTTCAGTGAAGACGAATTTGTCTTGGGCCACACCTAAAATACATAACACAGTCAGTGTATAGAAAGCTTCCCTGGTTTTTATCATAACTTTTAAAATAGAGCACAGGATAAACACAAATCTAGTAGGGTGTTGGCCTTGTTTGTGGGAACACATGTCTTACTGTTTGGTGTGATAGAAACAGTTACAGTGCAGGTGAGTTTTCCAGGTGCTCATCACAATTTTTTTAAACATATTTTACTCTCTGTGTGCGTCATCCTTGAAAATGGTTGTTCACAAATGTACTTGCTGCCGTGCTCACTTCAGCAGCACAAATGCTACATTCTGAGCGATGCAGAGAAGGTCAGCATGGCCCCTGCCAACAGGAACCTGAAAACAGGCAGGAGTAGCCGTCCTAATCTCAGACAAAACAGGCTTCAAGCCAGACGGATTAGAAGAGGCAATGAAAGTCACTGTCTGGGGGTAAAGGGGACAATTCCACAGGAAGGGGTAACAGTTACAATCGTGTGTGTGCGCTGCAAGCCAGAGCACGTGAGTTTATGACAGGTCAGATAAACATCAGCACACTTAGGGTAGGGGACTTCAGTACGCCACTGTCACAGATAGATCAGCCAGACAAAATGTCAACCAGAAATGTGAAAGTTAGGCCACACCTTCAAACAACAACAGCAACAGATGTTTTTTTTAGCAGCACATGGCGACTTTGTCCAAAGTAGACCATACTAGCCCATGAAGCATGCTTGGGTAAATGCCAAAGGATTGATGTTGTCCATGCGTATCATCATAGTGCACTGAGACCAGAAATCAGTCATAAAAGGAAACACAGACATGGAAACACACAGAAGGTAAACAGTATACTCTTGAATAATAAGTGGGTCGCAGAAGAAATCAGTTATAAAAGTCAAATGATAATGTCAGTCCAGCATATCAGAACCTATGGGGCACAATCAGAGCATTCTGACAAAAGAAGTTTATAGCTGTGGAGCCTGGCTCAGAGAAACAGAACGAGCCCAGTTAAGTAACTTCATGGTGTACCCCTCAACATCCAAGAAAAATACGAACAGTTGAAATCCAAAAGTAGTACAAGGAAGGAAATTATAAAGATCAGAACAAAAATGAATGAAACTGATACTGAAGTAAATACAAAAAGCAGTGAGTTGAAGAACTTTGAAAAATAAATAAGATAGTCAAACCCCTACATTCACCAAAAAAAAGGAAAGAACCATATCAATGCAATTAGAAATGCAAAAGGTAAAAATCACAACAGACACTGCCAAAATCCAGTAGATAACTGCTTCATAAACCTACACTTGAATAAATTGGAGAATCCAGGAGAAGTGGAAAGTTTCCTTGATCCATATGAATTCCCAGAACTAAACCCAGAAGATAAAAGAATCCTGAATAATACACTGAAAGGCAGTGAAACTGAAACAGTAACAAAAAAACACCAACTAAGAAAGCCCAGGAACTGAGGTGTACTGCTGCTCTTCAAGAACGTCAGGGAAAATCATTTAATGCCAGTACTCCACATATTCTTTAATGGAATTGGAAGGGAAGTATTCCCAAAGTTACTGCTGGAGGCTAGCATTGCCCTATTGCCATACCAGGTAAGAGCCCATCTAAAAAAGAACATTTAATGAACATAGAGATAATACTTATATTTAATGAATGTAATAATGTTCAGCAGGATACTGGCAAGCAATACAAAAAATCATCAAAAAGATTATACATTGCAAGGGATACAGCTCAGCAGCACAGCACCTGCCTGGCAAGCAGAAGGTGGTGAGTTCAGCCCCAGTACCCCAAAACAAACCATCATGACCAAGTAGGCCCCATTGTGAGGATGGCTTAACTTATGCAAATCAGTAAATGTAATACATCACGTAAACAGTAGCAAGGACAAAAATTGCATGACCATCTTCATAAACAGAAAAAGCTTTTGACAAAAATGGAACCTGTAGGCCAGGGATTTATCTCAGCAGCGTAAGTGCCTGCCTGTCAAGCACAAGGTCATGAGTTCGATCCTGGTACCAAAACAAAAACAAAAAAATGGAACATGTACTCATCATAAAATGCCTGAAAAAAAATAGTGGTAAAAAGACCTCATCACAAGCTGATAAAAGCCATTTATAACTAATACTACTATAACTACTAGCCAGGATCATACTAAATGGTGAAAGCTGATTTCTCTACAGTGTTGGGAAAAGACAGGGATGTCCACTCTCACCACCCCTGTTTAATGTGGCACTCAAAATACTAGCCGGAGCAGTCAGCAGGACCACACTGACTTCATGGTTATACCTTGACAGTCATCTTGTGTGACGGTTTGAAGTTCCTCTCCTTACCAGCCATTACCAGCATGCTACCAATAACTATGCCGAAACATTGACCAAGGCCATGGAAAGTTGCTTTCCTGTAATTTTTACTGCTTCATACACATCAGGAGGTGTAGTCTTGCCTGTTAATGGCACCAAAGAAGTCATTGCTTCAGTGACACTGTGTTATCAGTCATTAACAAAAATGGCAAGTGGAGCCATGTTTGCAGCATTAAACACTTCCGTGTTCATTGATCATCAGAGCATAAAATTTGAAGTTAGCACCCTTATCCCTCAGATCTTCTTTCAATAGATGTTCCTGTTTCTTCATTTCACCTGCTTACAGTCTGGCGAGACAAACTGACTTTAGAAAAACCTTGGTTTCTATCAGGACAAATTGTATCTGCCGTGTCTCCCAAACATTGTTTGACAGACTCACCATTGATAATGGTTTTGATGTCTTTTGCAGTCAGATTTGCTACCATGTAGCTAGCTTTTATAAGAGTTCTTCTGAGATGCAAGTAAGGTTTTTCTTTGCGGTGACAGACTTTTTTTAGTTATGCTATTTTGTCTGTGAAACATGCCTTGATATGCATCGTTTGGCAGTATGTGTTTGCATATAACTTTCTTTTCACATTACAATCTTTGAAACCTGGCACGCTTATACTACAAATTAAGCATAGTGCCTAATTTGTCTTGACAGAAAGTATTCATCTGTCCATTTTTTATTGAACACTTAATGTTTTTCATTTTGGGGGTTCTGTTTTCTTTCTTTTTTTTTTTTTTTTTTTTTTTTGTCTTTTTGAGACAGGGTCTCTCTATGCAGTTCAGGCTGACCTTGAGCTCACTTTGTAGCCTAGCCTGGTCTTGAACTCACAATGATCTTCCTGCCTCAGCCTCCGAGTGCTGAGATCACAGGTGTGAGCCACTGTGCCTAGCTGGGTTCCGTTTTCTTTTGACCACCTTTTTTTTTTTTTTTTTAGTATTGGCAGTGTTGTATATGTAGTTGTAACAATATCTTGAGCAAAATTTGATACATTTTAATACTTACACCAAGTTGCTAAAAACTATTTTAATTTACTAAAGTTTTAAATGAAATCACCTGTTTAATAATTAAGAAAATTTACTTTTTATTAATAATTAGTAATAAATGCCTGTCTTCACAGCACACATAGCTGGGCAGGTTGAGATACCATGATTGATAGTTGCTCATTGAGCTACAGAGCACACTCAGTGTCTGATACATTTTTTGTTGTTACCTGTATAATTTATGCTTGAGCACCTTGCAATCAGGTCATGAAGAACAATGTTAGAGTCCCATAATCATGTTAAAAGTGCATGCTTTTGTGGGGCATCATGTGGCCCTGCTCTGCAGGGTGGCCTGCTGATGGCTCAGCTGTCAGGTTTCCTGCTGAGGACTCGCAGCTGCTCCCCACTCCTTGGAGGACAAAGGAGGATAAAGACTGCCCATGCCTCTGCCACTCTCTGTGGCTTCCTGACGCTTTTTCTCCCTCAGTCTTGACCCCTCCTATTGCCAGTTCCCTTCCTGCTGGAGACTTTTTGCAGCGTCTCCCTTCCTCTGTTCAGAGAGCTGGTTCCCTGTTTGGCCTGGTGGCACCTTCCACCCCTTCAGATCTCAGTTCTGTTTCTCAGGGCGGCTGTCTCCTGCCCGTGGGTAGAGTAGGCACCGCTCTCATGGACTTACAGTGTCCTTCTGTGTGATACCTTGCATTTTAGGGAGGAGTCAGTCCCCCCAGGGACTGTGAACTGTAGCTGGGGAAGCCTCTGGTCTTTTTGTTTGTTGGCATGTAATGGACACTCAATGAATGTTTTTGATTAGTTGACTTTCTGAATGAATGTGCTCTAAGAGATTCACAAATACATTTTTGTAGAAGCAAGGATAAACCTTAAAGAAGGTGGCAGAGTACTCCCTGAACTCAGTTTAGATGGAGGTTGTGATTATCATCATTGATCAGGCTTGAGTGATCTTGGTATTTCAGGGAAGAAATTGTTTCATTTGTTACCTCTTTGCTGCCATTTCCAGAAAGTTCTTCTTTGATCTGCCCCTTCTGTTTTAACAGCCCAAGCATGAACCTCTCAGCGTCTTCTGTGACCTCATGGGTGTGGAATATGAGGAGATGTGCCACTGGCTCTGCCATCGAAAGCTGGCCACTGCCACGGAGACGTACATCAAGCCCATTTCCAAGCTGCAGGCCACAAACGCCCGAGATGCGTTGGCCAAACACATCTACGCCAAGCTCTTTGGCTGGATCGTGGGCCACGTCAATCAGGCTCTGCATTCTGCTGTCAAGCAGCACTCTTTCATTGGAGTGCTGGACATCTATGGGTAAGTATGTTTGTCTTTGGGCTAGCGGTGGGCTTTCTTCACACAGGGAACCAGTGACTCTGTGTTGCATTTAATTTTGTCTCCTGCTGGTGAGGAGGAGGATAGTTCAGGAGTACCTTGATGATGGGGTAGAACTGCTTGTCGCTTAATATTAAAACCAAATATATATCTCAAGTCTAGAGCTAATTTACCAAGCTAGTGAGTAGAATTAATGGGTTTTCCAACTTGTACGTGGCCAGTTACCTCTGAATTTCTACAGATCTATCTTGCTCGCCCCTTTGCCTTCTCCGGATGCCCTGCCTTACTTGTAAGGCCTCCCTGTATGTTGTGTTTGTTTGGTCCTTGTTGTTTGTTCCCTGCCTTAGTTTCCTAAAGAACCTCCGATAGCTCCATTTCTGTTTTCCCTCTATGTATGAGTAACCTTGTGAGTCCGTCAGTTGAGATGAGCAGTAGCTTTATTTCAGTGTTGTTGTTCCCCACCTCAGGATGAAATATGCTCCAAAACTGTCAGTGCCAAAACAAAACAGCAAACCCCTGAACAACAGCAGCAAAAGCCTCCTTGTGCCTAGCATCTCTGCATGCTTTGCCTTCTGGCTGGTTGTCATTAGACACAAAGTCCATGTTTTTGACTTAGGAACTTTTATCACATTTTTCTTCCTAATGAAGAAATGAGTTTTTTTTAAAAAGATACTTGTTTTTTTTCTCCCCTCCCCATCTTATTTTTGATTTTACAGGTTCGAAACATTTGAAATAAATAGTTTTGAACAGTTTTGCATAAATTATGCAAATGAAAAACTACAGCAACAATTCAACATGGTAAGAATTTTCTTCCTTGAATGATACTCTGACTTAAATTATTGAGTTCCTAGTCTTTGTTTAAAGCCTGTTCTCTGAAATGGAGTCCTGAAATACAGGGGTTTAGAATAGCCAAACTGCTAAGGAACTGATGATTAATAATAGTGCAACATTAGAAGAATGTTTGATGGCCCAGGAGAATTTAGAGCTGTCCCCTGTCTGAGAATCGTGAGAATTTAGGCACACAGGTTTCGAGGGGCTGACTCTGTTGGGTGGAGGCACGAGGGAATGAGGCTGTGAGCACAGGTGTGTCCCTCGGTGTGCTAGCCTGACACAGACTGGCTGTGCAGGTCCCACCACCTGCATGCTGTGTGAGCTGATGTTAGAGCTAAACGTCCACATCAGAGCCATACCTAGTCCTTCTTCTAGTAGTCTACTATTTGCCGCGGCAGTGGGAGTGGGAGTTATTTTGTAAGTGGCTCCTACAAGGTGGTAATAGCAGATAATCTAGGGGGCTCCCCTCACTGGGAGACCTGAAGGGTTTAAAGATAAGGGACAGCAGAGAGTAATAGTGAAGGGCGCAGGCCCGGAGGGGAATTGCTTGACCTGGAATCCCACTCTGCAGAGATTATCCAGGGAACTCAGGTCAGGTTAACTAATCAGAATTCAACTTCCTCATCTTTGAGATGGACACTCTAGTGGTGCCTAGCTCGTGTGCATCTGTGGGTGAGCACAGTGCTCATCACCTGCTAGGCACAGTTCTGTGTGTGACCTTGGGTGTTTATTAGTAGGGATGAGAGGGGCACTGACCATGAGCCCTGCATAGGAAGTGGAAGATAGAAGAGAAGAGAGCTGAAGGCCTGAAAAGTACCCTTCCTCCCTTCACTGTGAGAGGCAGCCCACAGTTAAAGATGCCACTGGAGGTGAAAAAATAATAAAAAACCAAAGCTACCTAAAAGTAGTCACATTGGGAAGCTAGCAAAGGATCACTGGAGAGATGGTCTGTGCAAATTTAGCCTCATGTGGCTTACCAGAAAATCGACAGAGTTTCAAACTGATCAGCTAGAAAGCAGCTGATCAGTATATTCTTTAGAAATGTATTGATAAATACCTGGAGAAGTATCTAAGATAATTAACAGTTTTTGCCTCTAGGGAGTGATTTGGGATTGGGGAGGAAGGGAATAAAAGTTATAAAAACTTTTTGAAGCATTTGATACTTAGAAAACCATTGCATATACTTTGATAAAAATTTGAATCATCTTTAAAAGTTAAACTGCTTAACAGATGCAGTAATGTAGAGATAACCTTAAAGACCTTAGGCTTATGACTATTTCCATAATAATAAAATTGGTGTATTTTTATCTCTGCATAAAGAATATTAACAACCTACGGAAACCCAGTCGAGCACTCTCGTTTCTCAGGGTTTCTGAATTGGGTAACGTTTCAGTCAGTGCACCTGAGGATGACTGCAGACTCTGGAGCCGGTGCTAGCCGTGGAGGGCCTGGCCCGTCAGTCACTCTCACGGCACCCTGCATGTCTGCCGTGGGTTGTTCTTAGAGTCGTTTCTCTTTCCTGCTACGTGGCCCGTTTCTCCTGCTCTCCTTGCGCACGCCTCCCTGCCCTGCACCTCGGCTTCTCTCTGTACACTGGTTCCACTCCCTCACTGTCGGTGGTGGGTTCTTCCTTCTGGTCTCCGGGTGTTTCCTGTCTGTCTGCTTCATTGCTCACTGCAGATGTTCTGTGAAGCCAGCAGAGCAGGGCTTGCAATCCTCTTCCTGTCCTCGTAACTCGCGCGGCTGCCACTCGCATTGGTTTCTTTCAGCTTCAGCTCCCACTGCTAATCACTTAATTATTTCCTTGTTTTTTGACTCAATAAGGGAGAAAGCAACCCTGATTAATCCTACTCGTGTTTTCATCAGCGCTGCCAGCAGAGGAGGGCCCCATGTCCCACAGCAGGCCTAGGGAGCTGACCACGTAGGAGCTCACGGAGGAGAACTGGCTGCAAGGGCTGCTCCCTGGGCTGGCCCTGCAGGTGGGGCAGAGGCATCAAGAGCACTGTGACTGGCATGCCACTGTTTGGAGGTGCTGCTGGGTGGGCCAAGGGTCTCTTACCACACCGAACCTCGTGCCCACATTCTTTGACACCCCTGGATTTTCCAAACGAGATGTAAAGCTGTGTGTGAGAGAAAAGCTCTATTTGAAGTCTAGCACAGGGCTTCTGGTACCAATGTACAGACTGCATATAAATTAGAAACATTTTTTAAAAGATAACTCATTAGTTAGGAAGATGTTGGTGCCATCAGTTAGGGCATCATGCTAACATATGGTGCCCTATTTGCCTTCTCATTAATGAAAAGAACAGAAGAAACCTGCTAATTAGCCTGATACAAATATTCACATGGATGGCCAGTTCTCTGCACATGCTGCAGATGAGTGGAGGGTGGCACTGTGGTAAGCATAGAATGAAGTAAGCTTCCAGGTGCGGGAGGAGAAGATGCGTCAGAAACCTGTCATCTGAGTTGCACGGGGCTTGGATCTCAGACACATCTCCCTGGAGACAGGTCACCTGAGAGAGCCAAAGGAGATACGAGAGAGTGAGAAAGCAAGCAAGCCCTGGGGATCGTGGAGTGGCCATCAGCAGGGCAGAGCTGAGAGGTTTGGTATCCACAAGTGGACCCGACCTGTGTCCTGAAGCCCGAGCTGTGGCCCTAGCTGGGCTGCTTTCCATCTGCACCACTTGCTTACACCTGTCGCCAGAGCTGGGATCACACAGCCCTCTCACGGGAAGCCGCCTTAAAGAGCGAGATGAGCTCTTCTGTCAGTTCAGCGCATTTTCCTTTGGAGTGTTAGTTTGTAATCTCACTCCCTGTGATTATTTTATTTCTATTCTTCCACTGGCCTCCCTCTGCATGAGGAGCAGTGGCTGACACATAGCACATGGTCCACTCACACTGATGAGAGGCAGGATATACATGGTGACGGAGGCTGTTGGCAGAAATAGCAGCAGTAAGGCTTGTAGCTGCTTGCAGTGTTGTATGTAGAATTTAGGAAAGCAGAAAGTGTAGATTCCGTGACTGAGGGGAGTGATGAGGAGGAGGATGAGCAGGAGATCGGCCACCCTGTCCTAGGCGTATGTGCTCTGGCCCCACCGGCCTAGGAGCAGGACTTTCTTGCGCTGCAGACATTACCTGTGCTGTCAGGAGGCCTTGAGGGCTCTGTGCAGCTGCTCCAGGTTCCTCAGGCACACCTGGGCCACCTGCTGGTAGCAGGTCCCACACAGGAATTTAGGAAGCTGCGACACAGGGTGCAGTTTAGAATAAACATGATCTTGATGACTGCTGCACTTACCAGCTGTTTACAGCACTTCCATGCCTGAGTTCTCCTGTTCACAGGAACCCTGTGGAGCAGGTCTTCACCATGTAGTTCATATTTGCCTTTCCTGTGTGTAAATACTGCTGCTCCTGTGAGCTCATTGTTGCTAGGAGCCAGGGGCTATCTCTAATTATATTGGTATTCTCTTATAGAAGTATTATTTATTGACCAAACTCTTTATGATAATCCAATAATGACTGCTGGGTTTTTTGTTTATTTCAGCATGTCTTCAAATTGGAACAAGAGGAATACATGAAGGAACAGATTCCATGGACACTCATAGATTTTTACGATAATCAGCCCTGTATCAACCTTATAGAGTCTAAACTGGGCATTCTAGATTTGCTGGATGAGGAATGTAAGGTATGATTGTCTGGGGTGCCTAGTGGACCAGAGTAGAAGTATTAAGGTCAGAGGTAATCCTGTAGAATCACCCATACACTGCACAAGGCCATTGTGACAACAGCTGGGAGTTCCTCTGACTTTCGTTCTGAGGGGACCTAGACCTCAGGTACTCTCCTCAGTGAAGCTCGGAGAATGTCTCTTTTCTTTTTAGCTAATTATAATTATGTGAGAAATTGACATTAAATTGCTACCAGTTTTTATGACTTTTGTTAGCAGTTTGCTAGCGTTCAGTCCTTTTTGGTTGGTGGTAGAATATATGAGAAAGCCAGGCGTGGCAGCACATGGTAATCCTGGCTGCTTGGGAGACTGAGGCAAGAGAATCTCAAGCTCAGAGCCAGCCCTGGCACTCCCTGAGTTTAATCTGCAGTGCTATACAAAGGAAAAAAAGCAAAAGAGAAAAATGCAGGAAGTTGTTCTAAATGGCTGTAATTTTTCACTTCACCAGTTATTCCTCTTTATTACCAACATCTGATAGAATGCGGTTTTAGCTTTCATATTTGAAGATGCAGTATGTTGGGGAAAATCTTGGATCCCCAGCTTTTTACCAACTGACCATTTTGAGGTAGATAACCCATCCATTGCCTTAATCTTTCTTTTGTTTTTGTGCAGTAATTACAACTTATCACAGGTCGATCCCAGGTTGATCCTTCTGAGCATCTAGATATTTCCAACATTAAGAATGCATGTAGGGACCAGGGATGTAGCTCAGCAGCATGGCGTCTGCCTGGCAAGTGCAAGGTCCGCAGTGCAATTCCCCCCAAAAAAAAAAAAAAAAAAAAAGAATGCATGTCCTAAAATGGTGCTTACCTCATGTGAAACTTTTAAAACATGCAAAGTAAAAGTAGTATCTGATTATCAAATGGGCAAGTTTAAACCTGATCCCTTTCATTTGATAATAATGAATATTGCACATATGCAGTGATTAGAGTTGATAAGATTTATGTTAACATACTTAGGAGAAAATTTGACATTTGTCAGAATCATAAATGCATATCTTTTTATCCAAGAATGGGACTGCTATAATTTCAGCTATGAATATACTTGCAAAAGTATGCAGGGTGTGTATGTAGAAGAAAACCTTGGCAATTATTGTGATAACAAAAAGTCAGTGACAACTTAGTGGCCATAAATAAGTGACTATTACTGTCAAGAAGAAAAATCACCAAGATTATACAGAATGAGCGCATCACACATATGCCTTGAAAGACAGGAAAGCACAGTGAGGTTGGAACATGGCAAGGAGGTGACCCGTACTTTCTGAATTACGGGTCTCCTTCACTCTGTGTAGTGTTCCCTTTATTTCATAAAAAATTTAAAATATATCATGGCTTTGATACTCCACTTTTAACATGCGAGCCCTTTGTTATTTTAAAAACATTAAATATTTATTTGACGGCTCCAGGTAGAGACAGATCAGATCACCTGAAGACTGGCTGGGCCGCCCGTGAGAAGGGCTGGCACGCTCTGCAACAGCAGCAGCAGGGTTTTGTCCTATAACAGAGGAGTATAGAAGGAAGGGCTTTCCAAACTGCCTGTGTGAGTTGTCAGACAAAGGGAAACGTGGTCTCTTGGTGGCTGGTACGCCGGGAGTGTTTCACTATTCTGCTTTTTTTCTTTCTTTTTCTCTCTGTGTAGATGCCTAAAGGAACAGATGACACTTGGGCACAAAAATTGTACAACACACATTTGAACAAATGTGCACTCTTTGAAAAGCCCCGTCTGTCAAACAAAGCTTTCATCATCCAGCATTTTGCTGACAAAGTAAGGAGCTTTATATCTTTTTTCTTTTTGAATACTTAAATTATTGAGGGGAAAAAGCAATAGGAAGTGTCGTAGTCAGGGGTTGTACACAGAGAACAATTAGGATCAAGGCATGGAGTTTATAATATTTTTATAATGGTCACTGGGAGTTAACACAGGAAAATGCAAGAAATCTATCCGCAACACCAAAGACATATATTATTTAGTCAAGAGCCTAAACCCCACAGCAATGTCCCACATGAGTTCAGATAAAAATCCAGAGCTCCGGATAATGCCTCCCACGAGTCCAACTGGAGGTCCAGAGCCCACAAGAAAGATTCATGTCAGTCTCTTTTACGGATCCGTGCCGGGAAGTCCCAAAGGTCAGCGGTGGAAGCCAGAAAGTCCATGCTAGCAGGGTGAAGGAGCTGTGCTGGTGGGATGAGGGTTCTATGACAGAGCTGAGAAGTCATTCTCAAAACAAAGACCAGGGCTGTCCTGAAAAGCACCACAGCCATCCTCAGTGACATGGAGGCCTCGAGCTCCTCCTCCGACAAGCACAGTCGGGTACGTGCCAGGAAGCAGCATGACAAGTTCATTCTGGAGACCAAGCAGCACACGTCTTCCCCTCCAGAGCCAGGAAGCAGTGCTCGATGTGAGGACCAGAGCTTTTCCAGGAGAACCAACAGCTCAGACAGCAACTCATAGGAGAACCCACAATGCCTCCTTAACACCTCAACCCTCCCTTCTTCTCCACCTATTTATCCTGGCAACTTTCCTCAGGAGGAGCATCTTCGCTCAATGCCATGTTGATGTAATCCAGCTGGCGTTAAGTTGACCACCAGTTCCTAATCCATAATAGGAAGCATCATCATGAGGAGCATCATGAGGAGCATCATCATGGTCACTGGTGCTTGCGTCCCTCAAGGCTGTATGGAAAACCAGTCTTCAGTGTTTGGCTTCTTGGTTTTCTCTTTCTTTGCCTTACATTTTGTTGTAATGTACATGAAATAAATACAGATCTACACTTTTCTGTCCATAACTGACATCCAGGAAGCACTGAAAACCAAGTCTTTTCATAACTCATTAGCAGCTAAACTTGATCTCTGATTTGAATTAATATGAAAAGCATAGTCTTTATCACAGTTAAGGTATTTCCTTAATATTCCTGTTTGATTAGAGATGGCTGCCTTAGACTCTGCCAGAGCATTAAATTCTTGAATTTCTGAGTTCTAAAGTGTAGTCTACTCTTAGGGTTTCAGAATAGTGACTGTGGATGTGTCACCTTCTGTCCTGACTCACCATGATGACATGCTGTGTCATGTGTTCTGTGGTCTGCTTTGTTGTAGGGTAGGCTTTGAGGTGAGCTTCCTGGGGGTGCCTTTCAGGGACTGAGAACTTCCTGAGTCTGCATTGGTCCTGGCAGGAAATATAGCAGTGACCTAAGGCCACCAGCGTGTTTGGAGTGTGGGGTGTAGAGCTCCTTGAGTGGCGTTGGCTTCTGAAGTTGCTGGGGTTTGGGAAGAAAAAGAGTCCTTTCTGAAAGAGTCCTGCTGTACCAAATCGTATTTCCCCAGCGGTGTTAGCTGCCCCCAGCAGCCAGTGTTTGTTCCGGCTGGCCCTCTTAACTATGATGGAGAGGCTCCTTAGAGCAGGTAACAGTGACACTGTCACTCTTCCCCAGAAGAATGGTTTCGGGGGAGTTTCACTCTAGTTAACATACCTCTTTCCCACAACTATTACTGATGATAACAGAAACCACTGGGGATAACACTTTGCTAAGAGCTAGTTGTACAGCTGAGCTAATAAATATCTTACTTTTGGTTTTTTTTTTATAAGTCCACTGCAAACTCAACTAATAAATACCTTGTTGGTGATGATAGTAATATCTGTTTAAAAGTTTTATCAGTTAAGTATATTTCTCCATGTGCTTTCAGGTGGAATATCAGTGTGAAGGCTTTCTTGAAAAGAATAAAGACACCGTTTTTGAAGAACAAATTCAAGTTCTTAAGTCAAGCAAGGTAACAGTGGATAGACTTACTGTAATTAGGCTGTATTCCATAAAACGTTAATTACTCCTGCATTAGCTTTTTAACAAAAATGATTTTTTTTTCTAGCAAAATCAATGTTAGTTACAGCTTGTAATTTATCTGCGTGTCAGGTTCTGTTCTCAGTGCTTTGCAATGTTAGCACGTCTAGCCTTTACAGTGAGGGGCCCTGCTATTCATTTACAGCGGAGGCACAGAGGCTTCATGGCAGAGCTTCCAGGCCACGTGAAAAACCAGGTGGCCATGCTCATCTGCTCTTCGCCCCTGTGTAGTGTGGCCTTCCGTGGTGTGTGCAGGCCCTGCCTCCTCGGTGTGCCTGCTTGCTCTTGTCCGTGGGTGGTACGGCACGGGGAAGGGCTCTGCTGCCCGAGCTGCAGGGTGTATAAAGCGGGCAGCCTCATTGACCCTAGCCCAGGTTGGCTGCTCTCTGAGCCATTGCTCACGGGTCAGACATGGTACTGGAACCCCGCCCTCTGGTGGGAAGGAGATTCCAGAGGGCAGGGAATTTCAATGGTCATATCACATTGTTGGTGGATCCCCACCCCGCCTGTGACCTTCATCTGACGAAGACAGGAGGGGTTCACATTCATCCTGCAGGGAGCAAACCAGGAGACCAGGGAGTTTGGTAAATACTCAAAAATTAATCAGGAAAGCATAAATCTCCATGTAGATTCTTGCAGATGACTGACTGGCATTCTGTGTTTTTCTAGTTCATTCTAAGAGAACCTTTATAATTTAAATGGGATAGAATATAAACATCCCGACTTGTTTTTGAAGAAAAACTTTTACTTTCAGTCATTTTGATAACATAAACATCAAATAAAGACCGCCTTTAACTATCAGAAATTAATGTGCCATTCTGTCTGTAGAAAAAGTATTTTTTTTTAAGCTAACAAGCCCTGAGCATTAACACTTTATAGCTTTCAGGATTGATGTCCTTGTGTCTTAGTGTTCTTAACGAAAAAACAAAAATAATCACACAGAATTTCAAAACAACAATAGCAGATTAACAATGTTTAATCTATTATGTGTTATCTTCAAAGCAGTTCTTCAGATTACAAGATGCAGGCATAAAAATGATCAAACTATAAAAGCACAAAGTTCTTTTTGATGAGCTAACAGCTTAGTGCCTGTCTTTTAGTGTTACTCCCTCGATGAGCTTACTCACTGTGACTGTGGATAGGGATGTGAACCATGAGAGTCTCCTCCTGGTATCTGCCAGTATAACCGAGCTTCCACAGGCAGAGGTCTTGTCCTGGTGCACCCTTAGCACTCTCGTCTTTGCCGGGCCTTTGTTTTCTGTTGTGCCGGTTCGACCTGGGGCTGGTGTGTGATCTACCCATCACTGCTTCATGGCCTCCCTCGCTCCCAGCTTTGTGGAAACCCAGCCTAGGGACACAGGCACTGTAATCGTTCTGCCTCCAGTTGAAAGCACGCGTAACATGTGTTGACTTGTTCTCATGGAAGGACCAGTTGTTTAACACTTGTTTTACATGTTTTGAATACAGTTCTTGTAGTGCAGTATGAAGTCGGTCTGTGTCTCTCTGGCTTGTTTTGTTTGGAGCAGTGCTGGTAGCCACATGGACACACCTTCTGGGAATTGAAAACTGAAACGAGGCAGGCCAGAGGGAGGCTCAGTGCATGTGGTGGAAACTCGGTGGCCCTTAAAGCTTGATGGTGTTGAAGCCTGAACCTCGATAAGGTTCCCTCCAGGAGCACCTGGGTAGAGCAGGCGTAGAGCTAAAGCCAGAGGCCCAGACAACCTGCGGGCATGATCAGAGCCTGGCGGAGGGGCCAGGAGCGAGGTCCGAGGAGAACAGCTTGTCAGGAAGCAGGATGCCGCCTCAAAGAAAGATCACATAGTGGTTTCTGACTCAGGAATTTAAAACGTATGCTTTGTTTTGCTTTTGCAGTACTGGAGAGTGAGCCCAGGGCCTTCTCACCAAGTATATTCCTAAGTTGTTTTAATTTTTGAGAGAGGGTCCTACTAAGTTGCCCTGGCTGGGCTCAATCTTGCACTCCTCCTGCCTCTGCCTCCCTCAGTGTTGAGAGTACAGACATATGTCCCCATGCCTGGCTCACTTACTTATTTTTTTTTATCGGTACCAAGGATCAAACTCACAACTGCCTGCTTACAAGGCAGGCGCTTATGCCGCTGAGCTAAATCCCCAGCCCCACTTACTTATTTTTTAAAAGAAAAATCTACGCAGAGAATTTTAAATTTATAATCTCTGTGAAGAAGTGCCCCCCCCCCCATAAGTACACTGAACACTGGAAAGGAAGCCGTTTTCTAGCAAGGTTGTACGGTTATTCAGTTAAATTGTAGCAGCTCCTGTTAAGTGTGGTTTGGCAGCTCAGCACTTATGGCTTTTTCACCCAAAACAGAGAACAAAGTTTGGGTGCATGCTGATGCTGAGTCTGAGCCTGCCATTTGTTTGGGAATAGGGTTGCAGGGAAGAGTCCTGGGTACCTTGGCGTTGCGGCCCTGAGTGGAGTCTCCAGGTCAGGTCTTCTCTGGAGCATGACTGTGATGCTGTAACAGGAGAGTGGTAAAATAGCTCTTCTTTTTAGCCAGCAAAGCCAAAATAGATTATTGACATCCTTTGTTTTTTTCTGTTTTGAATTTGGAATGTAATTTCTTGAGTCCTGTATTGAAAGTGAAGAGCAGGATGGGTGTGTGGGTACAGGAGTTACAGATGGGGCTTTGCACATGTGGCGAAATACAAAAGCACACAGCACACACGTTCCCGAGCCAAGGGACATGCATGTGTGTTGGGTGCTCACCCTGTGATTGCACGGAATCCATGTCGCTGCCTGGCAGGCAGAGAGCGTGGCACCAGCTGTCACGAGCTCAAGAAGACTCCAGACTTTGTTCACAATCTGGTTTCCACCGAATGCTTATCACTTGCATCCCATCATAAAAGTTTTAAAAAGTCTGCTTCAGTGAGTAAACGATCATCATTTTTTTGGAGATAAAAATTAATTCTTTGTAGTTTGAAAAGAAAATGTGTTTGAACATATATTGCTAATTATTTCTCTTTTTCCTTCTCCTCCTCCTCCTCTTCACTCTTCCTTCTCTTCTTTCTCTCCCTCCTTTTCTTCCTCCTCCTCCTTCTCCTCGTCCTCCTCATCTTTCTCCCCTCTCTCCTTCCTCTCCTTCTTCCTTTTCTTGATGAGACAGGGTCTTGCTGTGTAGTTTAGGCTGGCCTTGAACTCATTGTGTAGCCCATGCTGGTCTTCAGCTTGCAGTGATCCTCCTGCCTCAGCCTCTCAAGTGATGGAATTACAGGCACCACCATGCCTGGCATTTTGCTGATTTCTTAAAGCGAAGAATACATTCATTTGTTCAGTGAGCAACCATTGATATGTTACACATATCATGAATTATTTCCTAAAGTACATTATGAATGATATATGTGTTAATAACCAGTGAAATCACAGTGAAATGAAATCTCATTGCAAGATACCTGCTCCCCACTTTATAGCTGTGGGGCCAAAACCAGAGCCTTGTGCAGCTGCTCTGCCACTGGACTACATCCCCTGCCCTCAGTGAAAGAGCTCCTGTAAGAAAATACAGCTTTTTCTGGAAATATTCTGAGATTATTAGATAAATAATAGAGAGTTGTAAATATAACTTCATTTATACAAAGGATTGATTTATTTTTTCTTTCACAGTACTGGGTATTGAGCCCTAAACCTTTTAATTTTTAATTTTGAGACAGTGTCTTACTAAGTTGCCCTGGTTGTGCATGATTGATTTTATTTGTATAGAATTGGCATTGTTGTAAAGCTATGCTCATATATCAAGATATTCCTGTGAGGGGATTAATTTTAAGTCTCTTTTATTCCATAAAATTTCTCCCAACAATATTGACCAATACTGTCCACCTACCTAATACCAGGTAGTCTTTTATTGTGTGGTAGAAACCAAAAATTACTTATAGGTATTATGTAAAAGTTCTAACAAACAATAAGATCAACTTTTGTTTTTGTTTCTCCTTTTTTCCCCTATGCAAATTTTTGTTTTGTTTTGTTCTGTTCTGGTTTTTTTTGTTTGAGACAAGGTCTCACTGTGTAGCCCAGGCTGCCCTTGCACTCACAGTGATCCTTCTGCCGCAGCCTCCTGAGTGCAAGAATTATAAGCATGTACCACCACGCCTGGCTGTTTTCTTAAGAATTATTAATCAGTGATTGTTTTCAATCTCATACCCCTGAGAACTTGTTTCCGAACTTGTTCCCGATGCCCTGTTGCTGAAGTTTCAGCGGCACTTTTGAGTTAGAGCCCAGCGCTGGGATTATTGGATGGAGCTGGGAGGCAGACCTCTCGAGAGAGCACTGGGTAAGTAGTGTGCAGACCCAGGCTGCTCTTCCCTTCACCCAATGACAGAACTCTGTGGTAGTAAAGAGAGGAGAGAGGACATTCATTTAATATTTCGCTTATAAAACACCACACTTCACAACCAGTCGTTTAGAGTGGCTGTTTCCTGTGGGGTAGGCTTTCAAGTCTGGGTGCAGCATTTTTTCTTCAAAGATGTTGTGGAATTGCTGACTTTCCTGCCATACTTCTGTGATGTTTGCTTTTTATTTCTCACATTTTTGGCCTCTAAACCAGACACCAGGACGTGGCTGTGCCAGGCTCCTGGAGGAAGGAGTCACCGTTGTGGTCCCCATCTTTCCTCTCCGACAGAGGTTTACTTTTGGCTGTGTTTAATGTTATGTTTTTTGCTGTCTCGGATGCAGTTTAAGATGCTACCGGAACTTTTTCAAGATGATGAGAAGGCCATCAGCCCAACCTCAGCCACACCCTCAGGGCGCACACCTCTCAGCCGTGTTCCTTCAAAGCCCACCAAGGGCAGACCAGGCCAGCTGACCAAAGAGCACAAGAAGACGGTAGGGCACCAGGTGCGTGGGAGTCGCTGCGAGCCCTGCCCTGCGGGTGCTGGAGGTCTCCCCAGCAGGGTCTCTGGATGAAGCGCAGGCCTTCTCTCTGCCACCCTAGACCTCACCTGGACAGTGTGCTCCACCGCTGGTTCTTCCTCATCTCCTGTCTCAGCCCACTGCTTCTTTGGTCTGTTCTCTAGCTATTCTGTCTATTTCTGCAGAGCATCAGTCAGCTCCATCAGTGCAAGATACACCCATTCCCCATCCATGTCTCCTGCCTGTGGGAGTGGGAGCCGTTCTGCATGTGCTCAGCGTCTGAACGTGCAGGGCGTGTGGAGGGGCGACCCTGTGCACAGCGTGGACAGGAGCAGGCCCAGGCCGTCCCTCCTAGTACCTCTTTCTGGCCGTCCTTGCCCACTCTCCAGGCATTCTTTGTATTCTTTTAAGACACCTACTACCTTTTGCAGGTCTAACAGTAAAATTCCCACTCGACCTGATTAAATGGCCTTAGTATTCTCAAAGGAGTTGTACTGCGAGAGACACGCGGCTGAGCTCACACAGGGATGCTGCAGAAACCCTATACATCCTGACAGAGATCATCCCTATACATCCCGCCCAGACCCAGAGCCAGTCCAAGGCTGGGGGAGGTGTAGGGAGGTGGCACGTTCAGTGGAGCAAGTGTGTGCATGTGGCGCAGTGGGTGTGGGAGCCCTGTGTCCCTGTCCCTGTGCGGTAGCAGCCTCCTCCTGTAGCGGGGCGGGGCCATGGCAGCAGTCGTCCAGCGCCTGCCGCAGAAGGAGCTTCTGACACTTTCCTAGCTACTTTACAGCATTTGTCATCCACAGTCGGCCTGCAGTGCTGTAGAACATTAGAGATGGTGCCTCTTACCCAGTTGCACCCATTAACCATTGTCTCTGTTTCTCCCTCCCTTGTATGTTCCTTTATTCTTTTTTTAAAATGCGACCTTTGGGTCCCTTTCTGTCCTTTTCTGTGCAGTTCCGTAACTCCCTCCACCTGCTCATGGAGACCCTCAATGCTACCACTCCTCATTACGTGCGCTGTATCAAGCCAAATGACTTCAAGTTTCCGTTCACGTAAGTTTTCCTCTGCTGAGGAAAAAGTGCTCACATTCGTAGGATGCCAGATCCACATACGGGAAGACGTTGGGTAAATCTCCACATCTTGTTGAGGAGAATACTAATTAGTAGACTCTTAAGGTTTCACTTCCTTCTTGAGAATGTGATTCACAGTTAGCCTTTTGAGACTGGAAAAGTTGAGACTTTAACCAAGCATGTCTGGTTCTTTCTTCTATTTTGAGACTATCTCAGTTCAGGGTCTTTTAATTGGACATAGTTAAAGCCAGAGCTGGCTGAGATGGCGCTGCTTTGGCAGAGGTTTGTCTGATATTTTTCACTTGTTCAAGCCATCAGAGAATACCTACTTTACCAGTGTCCTCTTCAAATAACACATGTGAGAATGAATATTTCTGGAGGTTTTTTGTCTTCCTCCAAAGCAGAACTATTTCTCTAATTTTAAAATTAATACATTACAATCTGGGTATGGTGATGTACCTGTAATCCCAGCACTCAGGAAGTTGAAGCAGGAGCATCCCATGAGTTTGAGGCTAGCTTGGGCAATACAGTGAGTTCTTGGCCAGCCTGAATTACATAGGGAGACCCTGTCTCAAAAACAAAACAAAACAAACTTAGTATATTACATTTTGAAAATAATCTTCAGGAAAGATAGACTACTATATAAATAAATGAAAAAGTATCTGACATACCCAGAAAGATAGACAACTGGTGTTACCTGGCATAGAACCTTCTTGAATAACCAGCATCTCTTCCTTCTGCTTTTCTTGTGCATGTGTGCATGTTGTGTGTGTTTGTTAGACAAAGGGAAAGAGGTTGACAAGGAGAGGGGAAAGCCTATCAAAAGCCAGGGTGTCATGCTGTAATTGCTGCTTTCTCTCTGCTTTTAACTTAGCAGATTTTTGTGCATACATCCTGTGTTAGTACATAAAGCTGCATGTCCTCATTTTAGTAGCCACGGTGCAGCCTGTGGTACAGATGTGCATCATTTGTGTAAATTGTTCCCTGTTGGTAATTACGTAGGTTGTTCCAGCAATACTAAAACAAGTATCTTTTGCCAAACATTTTGCTTCTGTTTCCCTAGAGAATGCTTTTGAGAAGTGGAGTTTGTGTGTGTGGTTTGTTCTTTCACATGGACATATGCATTGAGATACCATGCTGCACCCCATAAACACAGAATAGTGTTACATTCCGGTTTAGAATTTCGAGACCATGCCTGTGTACTCAAGGTTGTGGTGGCTCCTGCTGCACATGTCCTAGTGTCTCCTGCCCCCTGCCCATCCTCCTCTCTGGAGATGCTGCCTTGGACTGGAGGGCAGTTCTGGTAGACAGCAGACCTGTCCTGGACAAGCCTGCTGTGGAGGAAGTAAGGAGGTCACCACCTGGAAGCCTGACCTGTGGGAGGACAGCACAGGAGAAGGTGTGGGCAGATTGCTCGGAGGTTAACCGCAGGAGTAGCCTGGGATCCTCTGGCCGGAAGGAGCTATCTGTAGTTCTTCTTCTAGCGTAGTTTTAACGTAAAGATGCATTTACCTAGAGTGAAGTAAATACTGTATATAAGATAACAGGGAGGTGTTTTCACTGATGTGGATACTGTGAGGGTCAGTGTGTGTGCAGTAAGTTGCCTTTAGAGCACCCGACAGTTTTCACGAGTAACTCAGTGGAGCATATTTACCATGCCCTCCTGTTAGAGAAGTCTCCAGCTGGCCAAGCTTCACCCAGGGCCTTGATCACATGTGCTAATGAGCGCAGAGGACCGTGAGTCCGGCCACCCATGCTCTGCGTCTGGGCAAAGTGCAGAGAGCTCCCCTGGCTGTGTTAGAGTGTGTAGCAGGCTTTCCTCTGACTTACGGCACTCGACCCACAGGAGTGTTTCCTGCTCGTTTTTTTGCTAATAGTCTCCTCCCACTCTTGCATAGAGTTTGCCATTTTGATTGAGCTCTAGCTTTTGAGTGCTTTCTTCTCTAACGTGTCTACTTGGTTCGTCACAAAAGAACTGAACCTTGCCTGAGAACGGTGGCTGCACTTGGCCTTCATGGACTGATGGCTTGTTTTCACCTGTAGGTTCGACGAGAAGAGGGCAGTGCAGCAGCTGAGAGCGTGCGGGGTCCTGGAGACCATCCGGATCAGTGCAGCGGGGTTCCCCTCACGGTGAGCCTGGAGGTCTTCCCGCGTAAGGCAGCACCCTAGAGGCAGAGCCCAGTTCTTTAAGGTGATGCGGTTTGTTTTCTATAGGTGGACTTACCAAGAATTTTTCAGCCGCTATCGTGTGCTAATGAAGCAGAAAGACGTGCTGGGTGACCGGAAGCAGACATGCAAGAAGGTGTTAGAGAAGCTAATCCTGGTGAGAAAGACTTTCACTCCCTTTGTATGAACAGAGACAGTTCTGACTGAGAAAGCCCTGGACTTGGTTTAGCATGTCCTCCTCCAGATGATTCGAGGGCAGCTGAAGGAAGAGGCTCACTGTCAGGGTGCCGGGGCCAGTGGGGGAGCAGAAAGGACAGGCTATACCCAGACTTGAGACTGTAACTTCCTACATGTGGGAGAAGACAGGCCAGGGAACTAGAATCAAGAGAGACAACTGGACACAGTGTGCCTTTCCAAGGGCTGTGTGAAGGAGATGCGCCTCCATGCTCATGTGAGCAAGATGGGAAACCCTGGCAGGTCAGAGCCATGGCCACCTGCGGGAGGAGGATCAACATGATAAGAGGGGTTCTGAGTCAGGCCTTGAAGCATGGATGACTGTGGAAAAGTGGGAGAAAAGTATTTTAGGAGTACCAAGGTGTGAAAAGTAGGAAAGCACAGGATTTTCTAAAACAAACCCTCAGTGAAGGAGCCTTTTGCAGCCTGAGGTATGCTCGTGGCAGTAGAGAAGTGCTGATGAGACAGAGGTCGGTGCTGTCCCTGAGCACACCAGGCTGAGGAGTCCTCACCAGTAGGGTAGCAGCATTGCCAGAGGCTGCCACGCACAGTTGCAGCATTTCTGACTCAGAGGGCCTGAGAGGGCCCCGCAATCTGTATTTCTAACAAAACAGTCACTGATAGGGAGGGTTTAAGATTCATAGTTTTTGAAGAGACACTTTTACTTAACAACAGTCCACATGGATTATTTCGATTTGAGGTTGTTATCAGAATTACTGATCATTAACTAAGTATAATTTCTCAGTGTTAATCTTTTTATCTTTGAGATAAAAGTGTTAATCTCTTTTATCTTTGAGATAGCCACAGCCTCGTTCTGAGTAGTGCTTTGCAAAGTCCAGCACTGAGACTCCTCCTCCTGGCTTCCCCACTGCGGAACCTGATGGAGGTGCAGGGGAGGATCTGCAGGATGAGACAGGGCCATAGCTGAGCAGGGCTGGGCGATGGGAGGACACTTCCTCGCGGCATTCCTTAATAACGGCATTGAATGCGTTTAGACTTTTTTTAGATATACGTGGAAGTTTCTGGTTATCTGGTTTCACGTTCAAGATGGGAGGTATCTAGGTACAGTAAAAAGTAACTTTCTCTTTTTTCTTAGCATTTTAGATCAGAGCAGAGGTCATTATACATAAATTCCACTCTTCTTTTGATGTGAAAATGGTTAATAATTTGCATGCTTCTAGATAAGGCAAGTCACCCAAAATAATATCCTTAACTGTATTTACTGTTCAGCTTTGCTTAGACTTAAGTCAGTGAATAACATAAATGATTATACTCTGTGAAAGGAGTTTGAAGTTTGTAGAATTTTAAACCCATTGATATATCTTCATTTGTTTTCAGATACTGTAGAAGCGAAGAGACAGCTCTTTAGAAACTTAACTCAATGTGCATTCTGAGTGGCTTTGTTTGCCTTTCTTGTTTTTAACCTCTGTCCCTGTGCGTGTGTCCTGACTCCTCCTCACATGGTGCTTTGTCCCTTCAGCTTGCTCACGGAGTTACAGCCTGGGTCAGTCAGAGGGCGATCAGCATCTCCATTTCCCTGAGGTGTTTAAAACACAAACAAGCCAATAGTAGCTGCCTTAACCCACACCAAGTTTCGGGCCTCAGATAATAATTCCAGGTAGAATAATTCTGGAAAATAACTCTTAAACTATGGTTTTCCTTAAAATCCCTTCTATATACTCAACTTGCCTTTGATCACAAATCTGGCTCCATTAGCTAATTGTGATTTAGCCCAAGTTTTAGAAAATAGATTCGGCCCTTTACTGATTCTGCTTTTAGATATATTTTTCTCTTTTACTTTTTCTTTGTATGGTCTGTTTCTGAAATACAAATTTTTCCTAACATAGGACAAGGACAAATACCAGTTTGGTAAGACAAAGATCTTCTTCCGTGCCGGTCAAGTGGCCTACCTGGAAAAACTGAGGGCAGACAAGCTGCGGGCCGCCTGCATCCGGATCCAGAAGACGATCCGGGGCTGGCTGCTGAGGAAGAAGTTCCTGCGTATGCGAAGGGCGGCCGTGACCATGCAGAGATTTGTGCGCGGCTACCAGGCCCGCTGGTAGGTCTCCGGCTGAAGCAGGATGACCCCGACCTGAGCAGACAGAGTCTCGCTCCTTCTTATGAGGGGCACAAAACGAACTCAATAAGACAGTTACATAAAACTTAGCCTTATGAATGATTGAGGTTCATCCTCAAAAATACAAACTTACAGATTGCTGCCGGCTGTCCTCACAAGTTTTACATTCTACTTTTTTTTTTTTTTTTGTCTTTTTCCTTTTTTATCGGTACTGGGGATCGAACTCACAACTGCCTGCTTACAAGGCAGGCGCTTATGCCGTAGAGCTAAATCCCCAGCCCCATTTTTACATTCCACTTCTGAAAGGAGCTGAAAGATGACCTGTGTAAACTAAATTGTCAGGAGTGTGAGCTAGCTGACAGTGAGTGCTTTCAGAAGCAGTTGGCTAATAAGGCCTGGAAAAGAATTACCCTCCCACGTGATTATATATTAGGGCAGTTTTAATTCAAATGCGAGTAAAAATTAATTAATGATGAGGAACTCATACTCAGACAAGTTCAAGGAAAAGAAGGCATACGCCCAGTAGCTCTAACAAAGCCTGCTGTAGAGAGGGTAGCGCATTCTGGGCTCATAGCTTTGCTCACTTCATTGTAAAATCTACCATCTGGGATGTCTCTCTTTACAGAGCTCCCAAAGGGTTGGATGAGACAGTGAATGCAAAGATGCTTTAGGGAGACCGCTGCAAATTGCTGCAGTATGAGTAAATAGAATGTTAGTGCACGGGGCACATTTTTAGAATCGTGTGCTAGAGGTGCTGCTCACACCCACGCCACTGACACTGTCCTTTCCCAGTCTTCTGATCACTGACCTGTGTTTCCCTGGCCAGCTATGCCAAGTTCCTGCGCAGGACCAAGGCGGCCACTGTCATTCAGAAGTACTGGCGCATGTATGTGGTCCGCCGGAGGTACAAGACAAGACGAGCTGCCACGATTGTCCTCCAGGCATGTTTGCGAGGCTACCTGGCCAGAAATAGGTATCACAAGGTGAGGCATAGGTTTAACTGTGTTTGTCTATTCCATTAAATGAATCGAGTTCCTTGACTGTACAGAGGACCACAGGAACTGGTGTCAGTGTAAGAGCTAAATAAAGAAAACCAACAATTGAAGTGTATTCTAAAATCCTTAATAATTATATTTTTAGAAAGATGATAGAAAAAGAGAATTTACCTTCTTTTTCCCCCCTTGTCAGTGTCATTTGAAAAACGTAAGTGGTAGCTGGGTGTGGTGACACATACCTGTATTTTCAGCACTTGGGAGGCTGAGGCAGAAGATTGTCACAAGTTCAAGGCCACCCTGGGCTATATAGTGAGACTCTGTCTCAAAAAAAAAAAAAAAAGACAAAAAAATAAGTGAATGTATAAGGAAAACCTCCATTTAATTATTTAACAACAGAAACTTATTTTCTACTTTTCTGGAGGCCAAAAGTCCTTTTCCTGTTCTCTTCATGGTTCCAGAAGTTTATACCTGTATTCCCATGGAAAGGTTACTGGAATCCTGACCAGTTAATTCCAGTTTTTCACCTGCAGTGCAACCCACAGTGACAGTAAAGACACTAGGGTACATTTACAGTTACAGGCAGCCTAGGGGTCCAGAGTCTGGTCCAGATGAGGGTCCATGGAACAAAGGCCTCCGTCTGGGGCCGTACCCAGAATTGATTCGTGAAGATGGGAGTGGCTAAGTGACAGAATGGTGAGAATCGGGATCATGTGAGCTGAGCTGGCTGGGTGTCAAAAAGCACCTGTGCAGTAGGCAAAGAAAAGGGTGTGCAGAGCCCAATCTGCATGACCTGCTGAGGTAGCAGGTAACATTTGGGGGCAGGTGCTTCTGCTCCGACATGCAAACTTTTCCTGCCTTGGGAAGTCATAGCCTCTTATCTGAGGCTCGAACCCATTTGGCAGTCCTGGAGCTTTTGCTCTGCCATCACGCTGAGCTCAACCTTTTAGAGAGAGACACAGGTGAGGAAACAGGGCTGTCACTTGACTTCAAAGATTACACATCAGCACCTCAGCCAGCCGTGTTTACATTGCTTAGAGCCAGTTGAAGGGAAAGGGAAAAACTTGGCCAGGTCTGTATGTATCAGTACATGGAAACAGGGCCCGGTTTAGCTAAGGTCGAGGGCTCTTCATTCAAGGAGAGCCCGGTGGTCTTCTGTATGAGATCCTTGTCCCAGACAGTGAAGTTGAATGTGGTGCCACACACCTGTGATCTCAGCACTCTTGGAGGCTGGGGCAGGCAAATCACAAGTTCAAGCCTAGCCTACGCAACTTAGTGACTCATCAGGACCCTGTCTCAAAATGTACAGTCTGGGGTGTAGATCAGTTCAAAGGCCCTGGATTTGATCCCCAGTACTACAGAGAGTAGGGGCTGAGGGAGGAAATGGGGAACTATACTAGAATGGTATTTCCCAATACGTGGCATACAAGAATGTCGGCCTGTTTTTGAGGAAGTGACACATTTAGTGCCATATGTTGGCCTGCCTTGCCACCCCCATGTCCTGCAGCCCAGTGAGATGACCCCTCGTTGAGGATGCTGCAGGACCCTCTCATTAGCACAGAGTTGTTCCAACATGTCTGATTCCATCCATTTTTTTTCAGAAATCATGCACCGATAAGCAACCTTATTTTTACGATTCTTTCTCTTTGGTGACCTGGTGTCTTTTACTTATACCCAGCTTCTGAGTGTGTGCTCTGCTTATAATCATACTTGCACCATGACTGTGACACACATTATTACTTTTCTCAGTCACCTTTCAAATCACTTATAGTGTTATGCCTCTGTATTTCTGTGGTGTGTACAATCCTACTAGTACGCTGGTGATCCAGCTTTTGTGACGTCCCTTCAGGTAACCCCGTTTTCTGGCTGATGGAGGTTGACAGGGATGAGCCTTGTTATTCCTCACTCTGTCTGCCCTTGGCCTTCTCTGCAGATGCTTCGAGAGCACAAGGCTGTCATCATTCAGAAGTGGGTCCGGGGCTGGCTGGCCCGCACCCACTACCGGCGGTGCCTGCAGGCTATTGTCTACCTTCAGTGCTGTTTCCGGCGGATGATGGCCAAACGGGAGCTGAAGAAGCTCAAAATTGAAGCACGCTCCGTGGAACGCTATAAGAAGCTGCACATTGGCATGGAGAACAAGATTATGCAGTTGCAGCGCAAAGTTGATGAGCAGGTATATTGGGGCAAGAAGCCCAGAAGTGGAGCAGGCCTGCAGAAGCCACTGGGATTATTTCTAGTATTGCCACCCCTGGCTTTTCCCTTCAGCCATAGGAAAAAAAATAATGGCAGGCATGAGCCCAGAAATGGTGTTGTACTTGGAGGCTGGATTGCAACTGCAAGGGCTAAGGAGGAATTTATCTTTTAAAACACACTGACCTAAACCACCTTTAGACCTTTATGACCAAGAGTCTTATCATACTTTGTGCTCAGCAGAGCTTTTTTCCCTCTTATTTGCATGCAGGGTAATACTCTTCTTTCAGATGAGCTGTTTAGCACCGAAGTAGCAAAAGAAGCAGGAAGGTGCCCATGCTTCCGAGAAGCGCAGTTTAAGCAGGGATAAAAATTTGGCTGTTCAGCAGTACTTAGTAATAATTCAGCACCTGTAAGTGGTATGAAGCTAATTGTATAAGGGCTAAATATAGCAAACAAGGCAGCAAAATGAAATAGGATTTATCAAGTTTTCTGAATGAGTGAAGTGATTTTGGACTTAGTAAACATAGAGATTTGTAAGAAACTTGTGATTTTTGTCCATTTTATCATTCTTACACATCATTTAGCTAGTACATGTTTTTAGTAGCATGCCAGTCTGTATTCAAAAGCAAATACATACCCCCTATTTCTGATGGGCAAGACTTTCCTATGTAACTATACTTGTAGTTACAAGACAATCACATCTGTGTTACACATCATGTTAAACACAGGTATGTTACTGTGATGTGTACGCCCGCACCGTGCCCATCTACGTCATGCACAGGGGGATGTGCCGTCAGCTTGGCCTGATCTGTGCAGACCAAAGTTGGTTTTAATAGCAGGTATACTGTAAATATTCCAGTATTATAAATTTGGTGAGATACTACAACAGTGCTATGAGGATATAGCACAAATCTGGTTTATAAACTTGGTTTTCTCACCAAAAACATTTACTATTCACATTATAAATGCATATCTGCTTATCATTGCTCATGTGTATGTGTTTAAAGAATAAAGACTACAAATGCCTCATGGAGAAACTGACCAGTCTGGAAGGAACGTACAACTCTGAGACAGAGAAACTACGAAGTGACTTAGAACGCCTCCAGCTAAGCGAGGAGGAAGCCAAGGTCGCCACTGGCCGGGTGCTCAGCCTGCAGGAAGAGCTTGCCCGGCTGCAGAAAGACTTGGAGCAAACTCAGTCAGAGAAGAAGTCCATCGAAGAACGGGCAGACAGATACAAACAAGAAACTGAGCAGGTAGGAACTGACGTCCTTGCCCTTCTACTGACCCAAAGTCTCGTGCTGCTGCCTTGACCTGTCCGCGTGACTGGACATCGGCCTGAGTCGAGGTAGGCGTACGATTCACATTGCCATTTCCCAGCTGTTGCTCCCACAGGATCCACGGTAGGTCTTAGGGTGGAGTCTTCTGGCTGCGGTGAGAACAGAGCTAAAGGACTATTTTAAGTACAATACAGAAGAGCCAGCCATGATGTCACAGCTTGGAATCGCAGGGCTCTGGGAGGTGGAGGCTGGAGGGTCGCAAGTTTGAACCTAGTCTGGTAACTTATCAACTAAGTAAAAGCCAGGGTCAAACAAATCTCAGGAGGAGCTCAGATGCAGCCCAGTGTGAAGACCTAGGGTTCTGTCTCCAGTACCCCCACATACACGCAGTAAGAGTGGCTAAGTACCTTTCCTGTTCATCTGTTTTCTGGTGCTTTAACTGAATTCCAGGGTGGGCAGCTTATGAACCAAGCATGTCTGCCTGCAGTTCTGGGACCTACAATTAAGGCTGTGAGGAAGCCCAAGTGAGAGACACCTGTGTAGTGGTGGCAGCTATGCAGACAGAGGCCCCCAAACCTCACTGACTGATGAGTGCTTCCCGGCAGCAAACTCTGCTCACTCCTGCCAAAGCTCACTAAGCACAGAGAACAAAGTTTCTGTAGTGGGGAGATGTGATCAGCCCTAAACGTGCTTGGCATGAGACTCACTGGAAAGAGTCACGACTGTCTAGCCCCGTGTCAACCTCGCCGCTGGAAGGCATCGGATGTGCTTCTGTGGTGTTGGCAGTGAGCGCCACATCCCAGCAGCACAGCCCAGTGACCACCCTCCAGGGGTTCGGGGGCAGGGCGGAGTGCCCCGGGCATCTGTAGGGGGCCCGGATTGCGGGCGTGAAATAGCTGTGCTGCTCTGTGATGTCATTCTAACGCAGTGAGCTTGTCCTGGCATTGCAGTGTGTACTCAAAGGGATGCCCTGGGGTGCTTGGAGTCTCCTTCACTCTCGTGAGTCTCCACAGTCCCTAGGGGTGTTGAGGACCCTCTGCTCTGCACAGTCGGGAGCCTTTTGGCAAGCGCCTTCCTCTTCAGAACCAATTCCCTGCCCTTCTGTCTGGTAAACTGGCATCTGTGAGCAGAGACAGAATCCTCCTTTTTTTTTTTTTATTTGTCATCTCTGCCCTCAAGAAGTTGGCTGTCAGGCATTACTGTTAGTTCTGTTGCTGGGGTGTGGCGATGTGTCAGGGTGCAGACATTTTCACTGTGGTGGCTGGCTTCCTGGCTGGGAAAACGACAGGAAGTCCCAAAGTCACACAGAGCTGGTTCTGAGCCCAGCGTGCACAGCAGAATCTGCAATAGAGTTTTTACAAGCTGACTTAGCTCTGGCTGAGTGTCGGTGGTTTTTGATAAGCACCCAGGTCAGTGTCACACAGCCCTGGCCAGAGCAGCTGCTCTGGAGAGCCCCCCGAGGACGTGGGCTTTATGCTAAGAGTGATGTGAAGTCCACGCCAGTGCAGGGCAGGGGACCAGGCAGCCCCAGGGGCGCGTGCTGGACTGACTGCTGGGGTACAGTGCTCTTCCCTGTTCCATGGTGACAGTCCTCTTTGTGTCTGTGAGTGTCCCACGAGAGCTTTGCCTCACCTTTCTCTTCATTAGCAGCTTGCATCTAGAGAGTTTGTGGAACTTCAGCTGAGAGAGAAATTCACACTTTATTCAGCAAAGGCACACATTTTGTTCCAAAGGTGAACTAAGTAAATTATGTACTTTGAAAGTTACTGTTGGTTTCTGTTTTTGCTGCCTGGGAATTCTTATCCAATCAGAAATAAGAAAGTCAGGTTTTTTTAAATTGTGGTGAAATATATGTGACATAACATTTGCCATTTTCACTGTAATTAAGCGTAACAAATTCTGTGACAGTAAGAACACTGACATTGAGGTAAGGATAATACTTACTTAAACATGGAGTAAAAAACTCACACTTGCAAGACTTTCACAGGCAGATGAAAAGGAAATTCTCTCTTTCAAGCCAGACAGCAGGGACCATCATAAGGTCTTCAGCAAGCTTCCCAAACGAAAAGCTCTCATGTTCTCTGTAAGTGCCTGACCTTTGAACTGTGGCTGATGGGGACTTTATGTTACGGCAGGAAGAAGGTGACTGCGCTGCTTGAGAGCAGTTTTACTGGGTGCCAGGCAATTGCTCAGTGTTTAGGGTATAAAGTAAAGCGACCACCGTCACCATGCTTGTGCCCCAGGAATTTCTGGCCCACTCGGGAGGGCAGAAAACCATTTCTAGAGGCCACTGTAACAAGACTGGTACAACAGCCAGCAGCAGCCCCAGACAGGACCTGAGATAGGAAGCTGTCGGGAGTGTGGTCATCACCCTTGGCATTCGGGCGTCCTCTGTCTCCTGCGGCCTTCTCAGTCTGTGCTCCCATTTCATAGCTGGTGTCAAATCTGAAGGAGGAAAACACTTTGCTGAAGCAGGAGAAAGAGTCCCTCAATCACTTTATCATGGAGCAGGCCAAGGAGATAACAGGTAAGATTCGTGGGTACAACAAGTTACATCCCTCCCAAAGTTTTACAAGTCACACTGATATTTGTGCAGTTCCAACACTGGATGTTTTAAAATGTTGAATCTGTCATTGGTAAATTTACAAAGTTACAATCAAGCATAGTGGCACGAGCCTGTAATCCTGGCATTCTGGGAGACCAGGGTGGGAGGATCACAAGTTTGAACCTCGCTTGAGCAATTTAAGACACTTGTAGGACCTTGTCTCAAAGGAAAAAGTTTTAAGGGGCTGGGGTGTAGCTCAGTGTGGAGGCCCTGCCTTCAACCCTCATTACCATAAACAGGCAGAGTTGCAAGTGGCAGGAGTGTCAGGGGTTTGTTGTACGAGGAATTGAACTCATGGCCTCATGCTTGCCAGGCAGGCCCTGTGCTCCCAAGTTGTGTCCCTGGCTAAAAGCATCAAATATTTTGGTTGAGTGAGTGGATTTGTAAGCCTGGCTGTGTACCCATGTGAACTCCTCAGTTAGTGTCACAAGTAACTTTTACAAAGTTAGCTTGTTTATCAGTGTGGCTTGTAGAATTCCTATTGATTTAGTAAACATAATTGTGCTAAAAACCTTTGTAGAGATGTGTACTATTTGTTTTTAAACTGATGTAATTGTCCACACTTATGAGTAAGGTACAGTAATTTGTACCTGTGTGCAGTGTGCAGTGATCAAATCAGGGTAGCATTTCCGTCTCCTCATTGATCTTTTCTGTGTAGGGGGAACTATCAGGCTCTTCTAGTTAGTTCTAAAGACATCATTAATTCTCACAGACCCGCTGTGCCGTGAACATCGGAACTATTCCTCTCCCTAAACTGTAATCTGGTATGTGCCGTCTAACCACCCCCCACCCCTTCCCCAGCTCTAGTCACCACTGTTTCACTCTCTTCTTATATCAGACTGACTTTTTTTTAGCATCCACAAATAAGTGAGAATATTTGTTTTTCTGAGCCTGGGTTTGTATTTATTTTTTGCTGAAAAGAAATGAATATTATTTTCAGGTCATTTAGTCTTTGCTACCAATCTAAAATAAAAAATTAGCTGTGGATTTTGCTAAGCAGCATAGCACCTGCCTAGTAAGCAGAAGGTCCTGAGTTTAATCCCTAATATAAAAATCCTCAAGAAAATAGCAAACAATTAAAATTAAAATAAAATCTTGCAAATAGAGAACTCAGTTGTATGGACATTCTATTTGCTGTTTCTAGGGGTAGAGGAGAATGGTTATAACTTACAGAAAATTAGTATATGTATTAGACATTAGTTTATTAACAATAGTCACCTACTCAGTTGTTTTATGTACTACAGCCTTTGATCTTTTGATCTACTAGTTTATTATACTGGCTCCAGAACATGCCAGATAAACTTCCTCCAGCTGTTCTCTAGTAGCTGATTATTTCTATCTTGAACATGTTTTTGTAGCCTATATGTCCTTGATACTCTCCACAGACCATAGTGGTCCTAAAAGTTAAATCCTGTGAGAGACTGGAAGCCACAGCTGCCACCTGTAGCGCTACCTTGTTGTGCATGCCCCCTCTCTCCTCAGAAACAATGGAGAAGAAGCTGGTAGAAGAAACAAAGCAACTGGAGCTCGACCTGAACGATGAGAGGCTGAGATACCAGAACCTTCTGAATGAGTTCAGCCGCCTGGAAGAACGCTATGATGACCTCAGGGAGGAGATGGCCCTAATGGCGGTGAGTTGGTACCTTCCCTGTTTTAAACACACACAGAAGTAAACAGACTCAGGAAAGGGCCTCTGTGTACTCTGGTCCCCATCACGCAGCCCCAGAGCAGCCTCCTGCGCCTGCCCCGTCCAGCCCCATCCCATGGGCTGTATCGATTCCCAGGGAACCCCAGAAGGTGTGGGACTTCATTCGTAAGTTCTCCAGAAGAGCAGATACCTCCTGTAAAGACTGAACCTAAGGTAGTACAGAAACATCAGGACAGCAGGACTTTGTTGTATATACTGAATGTGTCAGTCTTAAATTTGCATATAAAGCAAACATTTACATCATTATTTCCCCCACTGGGTTTTATTATAATTCCCAAGGTAAATTCCTACAAGAAGGAAAGTTAGCTTCTATTTGAAATAAAGTATCTTTTTCAGGACTGTGCTATCTATGGCCGTGTGGTTTTTGCACCTGGAACAGTTCTACTTATCAGGAAACACGCCCTAGCTCTCTTATTCCTTATGATGTGCCTCAGGACTGCTTGTATCATTGAAAGCTCTAAACATTCACCATCTCTGCCCTTGAAGTATCAATCTTAAATAACCAGGTGGTGTGAAAGGCCAGAAATGTGCTCAAATACCTCTTAGAGAAAGCAAAGGAACTCAGTGTCTGGGGTACAGTGTTCACTTCAGATTTGGTTTTCACTTGGACCTTCTTGACCAAGTTCTTTAAAATGTGATGCTTAAAAAGTCAAAACAAAAGAGGTTGTATAACATAAAAGACTTCTCATCCCTGTACAGATGAGAAAATCTAGTCTAAAAGGGAAATGTAAATCCCACATTGGGCTGCTATTTCAGGCAGACTTCTGTGTGACAGAGAGGCTGAAGCACGAGCTGTCAGCGTAGCCTGCACAGCCGGCAGGTGAAGAGCCCTGCTGAGCCATGTCCTCCTTGTTCTCCATCCGTCCGTGTGGCAGTTGCCCCATGGGAACCTCCTTCCCTCACACTGTCAACCGTAGCTTGCACACTCCCCAGATTTGATTCCCAGGGTGCATTAACTTACTCTTGTACTAGGCAACTCTGCTACCCTTGCAGTGAGCCAGTGTTTTAGTTAGAGTTACAGCTAAGCTTTGCCTCCCACTGGGTATTTTTGAGGCCATGGTTCCCTGAAATGTTAATAAGTAGCATTGGAAAACAAAAATGATTCTGGGGTCAGATAAATATGTTAATCTAAACAGACTTTTTTTCTACAGAATTTCTTAATTTTTTTAACAGCACATACCTTGTGAATTAAAGTGAGAGAAGCAGTGTTATGTATATCATTCTCTGAGCATATTCTGGGATATCTGTAAGGTCTCAGGACTCTCTAGAAAGGCCACCCCCTCCTGCCGTGTGTTTGGTCCCAGCAGTGCTCCCAAGGGTGGCTTAGATGCTTGGTGTCTAGGTTCTCAGCCCTTCTTCCTCACCCCTGTATGCCTGTGACTCACCCATGTATGCCTCTGGCCTCCTGGGTCACAGAATGATCAGAGAAAGGAAGAAGCAGAGAAAGGAGGATCAGAGGTTGCTAGCTTACAGCTCAGCTCTTAGATAGAAAGGTTAGATCACCTTTCTATCTCCAGATGTAATCAAGATTGTTGTCTTTGCAGGGAACCTTTGCCAAAAAGTTGCAAAGAATTTTTAAAAAATCTGCCTTTCTAATGTAGAACAGCTAACATTAATAGTACTTTCCTATTTTAATGCTCTGGTAGAACTTTGCAGCTAACAGATGGTGACATGGCTAATACTGTATCTGTTCTGCAGTGGAGCGCTCAGTGCTGCAGCTGAGAGCTAGAGGTGCATTTTGCAGTAAACGGGCTTTTTCAGAAGAACAGGGGAAAGGCAGGGGATCTAGTAGAGTGAGGGACTTCCCATAATCTGTGTCATACATGGGCTTCTCAGAGGACACTGACGAGTTAACAGTGTCCCTGGTTCCCAGGACCCAGGGTGATCAGCCTTAGTATGAGAAGGCCATAAAATTTGGCTCCAAAAACATTCAGCCGCCCAGTGTTTGTAGACATGAGAGGCAGTGGTGACGAGATGATCTAGGACTAATGAGCTGACAGTGAAGTAGAGAGTGGCAGGGGAATTAGGGTTGGAGAAACATCTAGAGATACTTCCTGCTCTAGCAGGAACCGAGCGGCTCCACAGGGGGACTCCTGGTGTTGGCAAGGGGAATATACAGGTGCCGCAGGGGTTTGGGGAAAACGGCCGAGGAACACAATGAGCTCGTATGTGTCCTTGTCATTGAATAACCTATGAACAGGGAAACGGGGCTCTGAAAACTTGGAGAACTGAAAGGTCACTGTCAAGGAAGTTGTCGAATTAAAATGTGACGCAGGTTCTTAATAATGGCGGTAGGAGTGGTTAGGAGCGATCTAGTGCAGTCACATGCCAGGACTCCACTACGTGCCACCCGTGCTCCATGTTGTCATGTGTAAGCCCCACAGGACAGACACCATATTTCTTTGTAATGATGAAGTGGGGCCCAGTGAGGCTGGGAGGGGAAAAGCGGCCGAACTAGGAGTCTTACCAGCCTCCAGTGTCAGACCCACAGCACTCACACACTGCCCTGGGCCCAGAAGTGACTGTGAATAACCACAGCAGGGCCAGGCTTGCAGTCAGTGTGCCCCACACGTTCAACCCTGGTCTCAGCCCAGGGAACCAGAACCGGAAAGCAGTGTGCTTCCTTCAGACTTTAAGTTCTCCTTGTGTAGTGACAGATCCACTTGGGATAGATGAGGAGCTTACTGTTTTGTTTGTTTTTTCCCGGTCCTAGGCATAGAACCCATGACCTTACATGTGCTAGGCAAGCACTCTACCCAGCTATATCCCCAGCCCTTACCCATTTTAAACAAATTCATTAAAAATTGCCGTCCTGGGGGTCCACAGACCCACCTGTTTTTCTTTATGATGCAGGAAGTTTATTAAATATCATCCCATACAACTGTAGGCTTTTGCAGGGAAGAGGGCTTTTGTAAGCGCTCTTAAAAGAGTAAATATGCCTTTGCCACAATGATTCTCCCTTTTCTTGCACACTTCTGCCTCTGGATTTGCGGTGGTTTCTGGATTTTCTTCAGGGATTCCTTATGCATTAGATACAAGTTGGGCAGGCCTGGGACTGTACCTGTTTGCCTTTCTATTCCATGTGAGCTTTCTAAGCATGGATTTTGTAGTTGTCACATGACATAGAAGTCTCACCTGGGCTCCCAAATAACCCAGGGGTCTAGAGAGATTTCTTAGGACAGCATCCTTGCCTTGTGCCCATTCTTCTCACAGCCTCCTCCAGAGATAGTGAGCAGTAGTGAGCAGCAGTGTAGCAGACTCATTTACCACGCAGTACAATGGTCATGCATATTGTTGAATAATTTTCTGAACTCTCTATTAAAATTTAGTACCGGGAATCAAACTCAGGACCTTGCACCTGCCCAGCAGGTGCTGTGCTGCTAGTTATAACCCAGCCCCTCTGTTAAGTTTTGTTTGATCATAACATAAAAGTCATTGCATGGTCAGAGTGTGCTGCCCTGGTGTGATCAACCACTCAAAACTTTAAAGACCCAAAGGGGACTTTCTAATAATCACAGATAATTTTCCACCAAGCAGTCAGTTTTGTACGTATTGCCCTTTTCTGCTGGTCCTGCCGTTTGTACAGACTTGGTCAGGAAAACACGGGACAAATCACTTGGGTATTAGCACAGGTCTGTGAGGGTAAGAAACAGACCAGGGTAGATGGGAAGGCACTTTGGGATTGTCCCTGCTTAAATTGTGTCATATGATTTATACCTGGGTTACTTGCCTTGCAGACTGTGTCTAAGCCTGGACACAAAAGAACAGACTCCACCCACAGCAGCAATGAATCAGAATATACCTTTAGCTCCGAGATTGCAGAAACCGAGGATGTTCCATCGAGGGCCGAGGTACATGTTAGGCGTCTGTCCCTCACAGTAGGATGTGAACATGTCGTGGTTGGTAGGCAACAATTCAATGAGTGACCTGTCGGTGATTGGTCACTGTGTAGGTACACAGCGCATGTGGTTCTGAGCATTGCGCAGAGAAGTGGGGTTTGGGTGCCAGGAATTGCATGTGCGAACCGCAGCCCACATTCCAGTTGTTAATATAGTTTTGATGGGGAGTTACTTTTAGAATTCCTTTTTACACCTTCACATGTTCACAGAAAATATGGGATATTCAGAATTTATTTCAGACTGATTCTTTTAAAAGTAATTGTTTTAAAAGTGATTTAAGTAATTCTGTTGACTGACATTCAGGTTTGTGCCAGTTTTTTTGCAATTACAAAAATGCTCCAGTGGATACCTTTTTCTGGGAATCACTACTAAACATTGATTTTTCTAGCATAAAGAGTATGCATTTAAATTTTAATGAAATAGCTAAGTTGCTCTTTTCATAGGTTTACTTCTTGTGTCCAACAGAATCAGAGAGTCACTGTTAGTAACACGGGGCATTTATCTTTTCAGTCTTTGCCACCTCATGAGGGAGAAGCAATACCTGTGTTTAGTTTGCATTTCTCCAGCGTTTAGTGAGGAAGAGCATGTGCGTGTGTGTGTGTGTGCGTGTGTGTGTGTGCATGTGCATGTCTTTTCCTCAGGTGTCGACACCCCCTCTGTGGTGCTCCTGTCCCTTCTTTCCCCATGGCGTGGTCTCCTGGCTGGCCTCAACTCTTGTGGTTTCTGGGGTTTAGGAGCTGAGCGAGAAGAAGGTGCCCCTGGACATGTCCCTGTTCCTCAAGCTCCAGAAGCGGGTCACAGAGCTGGAGCAGGAGAAGCAGGTGATGCAGGACGAGCTGGACCGCAAGGAAGAGCAGATGCTGCGCAGCAAGGCCAAGGTGCGCTCGCCCGCCTGCCCACCTATGCGACAGCTGCCTGGGGAGCCTTTCTCGCCCCTGTAATCACAGCTGTGCTTTTACTTGGTAGAATAGTTAAAGCAGTGAGGGCTGACCCTTCCGCACTGTTTGTGTAGAACAAGTAACTGTCCTAAGAGTAAAAGTGTGGCAAAATACAGTTTTTCCTCTTATTGTTTCCCCAGGAAGAAGAAAGACCACAAATCAGAGGTGCAGAACTGGAGTACGAGTCCCTCAAGGTAATGGAAAGGTTCTGGCCAGGACTTTGACTGGTTTTGCAAGAGACCCTGTCTTTCTCAGAGGAGCCGCTGAGATGAGGATTTCCCCAGACGCCCAGCTAAAGCTTTCTTAGCACTGTTTCTAGCCTGCATGGCTTCCTTTCGTAAATTGTGTTTCAGTCAGACCAGAGTCCTGGCTTTGGGGCCAAAAGTAGTTGCTGCCATTTGACGGTACAGTAACCTGGGCTCAGCTGCCATCAAAATCTGATTGGCAGTGGGGGACAGGCCAGAGGCCGGGCAGCAGCCTGCTCCGTGGACCTTCTCCCACCTTGTGTGCACAGGACACAGAAGATCTTCTCTGTGCTATGATCAAAGCCCAGTGTCAGCAAAGCCTTGTGCCTCGGCTACAGGATCAGTTTTACCCGGAAATCTGTCAGGAATGCACATATTCAGGCCCCACTGCTGGGCCTATGAAAGCAGTAGGGCCTAGTGCCCCGAGTCTTCATAAGAGCTCAAGGCGATTCCACTGCACACGAAAGACTGGAAACCTGTGGCAGCACAGAGGCCACACAGTAAAAGCTGTGTTTTCTCTGCACAGATGGGCTGTACAAATCTGGCTGTGGTGTGGGAGCTGAGGGCGGTGGGGCGCCTCACCTTCACAAGTAACTGAGCAGTTCAGGAAAGAAATGGTTGCATTTTCCTTGACTAGAAAGAAATGAATTTTTAGGAGTTTTGGTGTATCTCAAAAGTCCTAGTATGGTGCTGCAAACCCAAGATAGTTTCTCTTGGAAGAAACTAGAGTGTCTCACTTCTCCTGCTATCACCTGTGTCATGCTCCCTGAGTCACCATGGTGCCTTTCTAAGGTAGACTCATATACCTGTCTGCTTGGGTGTTTCCCAGCTGGTGCCTTTTGACACTGTTTTGGTGTCACTGCCATTCTGTTCTGGGCTCTGGCTGCCATATGGGGAGAGGGCTGGCTGGAGGGCACAAAGGTCCCTTTTTCCTTTGGAGCAGTTGCAGGAGGCAGCACTCAATCTGTTTTCCCATTCCCAAGACTCTACCACCAGCTTCCCAAGTGTGCCACACAGGAAAGAAGTTAGGAAATGCATTACATATTGTCACAGAAACACTGGAGGAAACTTTATCAATTTAAGTGGTGCAATAGTTTTTTTAAAAACTGTAAGTTAAAAGCCCAAAATGTGAGTAGTCTTTTCATTGTGTATTCCAGAAGAGATAGGAAGCCACTACAAGGCAACTCAGGGTCTCAGCCGTCTGGCTCACTGCTGGACACATCCTGACCCTGGACACTTGACCTTGCCCAGTGTTTACCTGCACACAACCTGGGTTCCTTAGTGCTGGCTGACCCCAGCCCCAGGGGAACGGGCATTTTCTCTGGGCCTGTGAGTGCTCCTAAGAAGACTGGAATTCATTTGACTCTCGAATTGGGTTGATGATGCAAACTGCCATTAGCCTTGGTCAGTTCCTCTTGGTGCCACACGCCCTTTGTGTGCAGGGCAGTCCCAGCAGAGTGAGGAAGCCACTCCCCGCAGAGTTCTGGAATCTTCTTCCAGCAGAACTCCTGCACATAGGGAAGTTGATCTTCCAGTGGGAAGTGAAAGTGACAGCAGTGGACTCTTCTGTATCTCGTCATTCAGCGTCAAGAACTGGAGTCAGAAAACAAAAAACTGAAAAATGAGCTGAATGAGTTACGCAAGTCCCTTAGTGAGAAGAGCGCCCCAGAAGTGACTGCTCCAGGTGCGCCTGCCTACCGCGTCCTCATGGAGCAGCTGACCTCTGTGAGCGAGGAGCTGGACGTCCGCAAGGAGGAGGTCCTCATCCTGAGGTCCCAGCTGGTGAGCCAGAAGGAGGCTGTGCAGCCCAAGGTGAGTGCGGTGCATGGCTGCATGGGCTTGGGATCGGCCTCGCTTCTCACCTTTCCTCCTGACCTGAGGCAGCCGACTCATAGGAACCTGTGCATTCGCACTGGGGGCTCCGTGGGATTTTTAAACATTGCAGTGTTGTCTCAACTGGGATGGTTCAGAGGAGCACTCTCCATTTTGGCTGGGCCATGCAGGTGTCACCTGCTTCAGGATACACTCTGGTGGTCCCCAAAGCCTGGCGCTGCAGCTAGACCTGGAGAAGCAAGGCTGTACTTATTTGTTCTGCAGACTGTTAGACGAGGAGAGGGGGTCAAAGAGAAGAGAGGAGGGAATCAGAGAAGGTCATAGGGTTATGGCCGAAGTAGACATGCCACAGTGAAACCCAGTACTCTGTGAAATGTAACATATGTATGTGTGATACATAGTTACAGATTGCCCAAAAAATGAAGGGTTCCTACCTGTTTTCTTAGATGACAAACTGATAGTCTTTCTGTATTATTCACAAATAATAATTGTGTACATTTGAGAAAAAACTGCAGGGAAGGAAAACTGAAGCAAGTGGCATACCAAGCTAGTAGTGCATGGAATTTTGATGTCACCATGCACCCTCCTGCCTCTGATGGCCTGGCCCTGTCTAGCCAAGGTCCCTGCTTGGCCAGCTCCCAGGTTATACATGGCATAGCCCTTGTCCCGTAGACATTGAACAACACACTAATGAGACTTAAGACGGCCCAGGGATATTCGTCCTACCTAGTTTCCAGTTCACAGGGTGATACTAAGCAGTGCCTGAAGAACAGCCAGGTCAGGTTTGTCTGCTCCACGTCCAGAGTGAGGGAAGTTTTGCCTGGACCAAGGTTCCCCCTTGGGTGTGACCAGCACTCTCACAGACCTATGATAAAAGTTTGCCCAGGCTCTTACTAGGAGGACCATTCTCTGAGGTGCCCAGGACTGTTATAAAATCCAAATACCAAATCCAATCAAGAAAGAATTGCAAGTGTTTGTCCCTGAGAAATAGAAGGCACCGTCACATAAGTGCAGATTAATGTCCATTATATTCCAGTTTCATGAATGTTAATTTATTTATAGGCTTAGGTTTAGGAAAAACAATTCATGGTTGTTTTTCAGCTTTTATCTTGTTACATAACAGGGTTCATTGATGAAATTTATTCATGAAACTAAAGATTTTGTTTTCTCCATTTGTGCTTGCTAACTTGTGATTTTCAGGATGACAAGGTAATTATCGAGTTTTTCAATTTTTATTTTATTTATTAAGTAATTTTGTTTCAGCCTTTGGTTTACAGAACTCTCTAGTATATGCAGTTGATACTTTCTGATTACCAAGTCTAATTTGTTATATATAGGTTAATTTTCTATTTGACTTCTGTCCTCTTTTGAAGTCAATGGGACAAACAGTGGCTGCCCTGGGTGCCAGTCTGTAGCACTGAGTTCTCCATGGCTTCTAGCTCGTCTCAACACTCTGACTTGCCACAGTAGTTATGGGTGCCACCGGCCAGATGGGCGGAAGCCCTCCCCTGAGGGCACTTGCCAGGGTGCAGGCACTCCTGATGCCCTACTGTGAGCTGACGTTTGTTGGCCATGGTGGGCAAGAAGGAGCTGGGAAGCTGAGTGCCCTTATTTCCCAGTGCTGAGTCTCCCTGCATGCAGCTCCGTGGCTGGGACAGGAATGGATCCTGATAAGGTTTCAAAGTCAGATTTCTCTACCAAATCATTTTTTGTGTCTAATTTTGGCAGTGCTGGAGACAGGAGCCAAGGCCTTGTGCATGTTAGGCAAGCACCTGCCACTGAGCTACATCCGCAGCCCTTTGCATTTAACACAAGGTCTTGCTGGTTGCTGAGGCCGGCCTTAGAATTGCAGCCTTTCTGCCTCATCCCACCAGGTCGCTGGTGTAACAGGCATACACTGTGAAACCTGGCTGTCTTACATCTTCTTTTCAGCTACTGGGTGAAAGATCCTTTTGGGATTTCCATACATGCCGCAATGTGCGGTACTTCAGAGCTTCTGGTCTCTGACTTGGGAGAAACGAGCACCCAAACCCTGAGCAGTGAGCCAGGAATTTTCAGACACCTTGGTCCAAGCCCAAATGCACCCCGTCGCCACATCTTAGCTAGAGAGGCAAAAACCAGCCGCTTAGTCCCTGGGAGAACAGCATGTAGAGAAGCCTGCTTTCTTCCCTCTTGCGAGCTGATTAGATCGTTTCCTAGTTTTCGAAAGCTCAAAGCCACTCTCTGTGCCCTCAGATCCTAGAGCAGGTAGGGGGCATTATCTAATACAGAAACTCGGGTCTTCAAAAGATAACCAATGGGTCTTAGAAATTAGAGAATCGCCCTTTGTGGAGTAGAAAGATGGATTTTCCTTTCACAGAAATAAAATTCTCTAAACTATGTTCTGAATATTTATAAAACATAGCTAAAGAAATGTTATATGTGGCGTTTATGAAAAAGATCTTTTAAAATTTAGCAAAACATAGCTGTTAATAACTATCAGGCTATATTTGGTCATCTTAAAGGGTGCATTTATAGACAACAGAAAGACAGCAATAGAGCTGTGGGAGTTTTGTTTATACACACTGAATCAGAATAAGCATGCTAATTGCCATCAGAGTTATCTTAGAACTTGTATCTAAGATCACGATGGGCTGTGAAATTCATCCCATCCTGACTGCCCAACAGATGCAGGCTAAAGGATCAGGAGAGCAGGATGCTGTTGGGTTCTAACGTGAGTTACCCTTTAGAGAATGCCCGGCTCTAAAGAGACAGAAGGTACCCAGAGAGAAGACAGGTTTTGAAACTAAAGTGATTGTTAGACAAATTAGACCAAAAGGATGAAAAATAAATTTTAAAAATGTTGTAGCAAAACTATTGGCAAAAGTTTTTCCTATATCAAATCATTAGCAATTCTGCACTGTCTGATGTTTATCTCAAAAGCTTGCATGCTGTGCTATGCTGTCACAGAAGGAAAAAGAAATAACAACAGATGGTGATCCTAAAAAGAATCTAGATCTGTCACATTTGGATTATTATAAGATGTGAAGGGAAATGCTTTTACTTTTGCTAAAGCATGTCACTTGAAAACTCTTTCCTTTGTACTGTTTTTAATGAAAAATGGGCTTTTCAAACTTTCTGTGTTTAATTGGGTATTTGTTTCATTGTAACTGCTCAGAAAGTAGTAGAAAGAACAGTGGTGTTCTTTCCCTTAAATTGTTGCCTGTTGCTTTCCCAATGCTCTGTCTCCGGGCATGAGCCTTTTTCACATAACACAGGTGACTGCGGGCCCATCTGCTGTTGTCCTCACACACCAAGGTCCTCGGCCTCCTGCACCTTTGTGGTTAGAACGAGGCACCCTCAGGAGGGGCGCCACACATGAAGGAGGCTCCCATGCATTGCAGTGTGGAGAGGGTGGCCCTGCACCCCCACAGGGAGAGGCCTGTGTTCCTGTGGACCAAGGCCCATGCATTGAGCCTTCATGTGGAAATATGTCCTTTTACCTTGTAGAACACAATGACAGATGCCACAATACTTTTGGAAGATGTGCAGAAAATGAAAGATAAAGGTGAAATTGCACAAGCATATATAGGTTTGAAAGAAACAAACAGGTAGGTTATTCTTTTTTTGTTGGTTTCAGCTTAATTGTATTGCTGTTTATTCTTTAAGCCAGCCTAGTACCCAGTAAGTCAGCATCTGTATTCATTGCGGTATTAGACATCAGCTGAGCTGCAGAGAGACTCCAGTCCCCAGTGTCATCCCAGTAAAACCCCACTTCTAGGATTAGGGAGTTTCGTGAGTAGTGTTCCATGGATGAAGGGAGGATTATCCTTGTATATTTAGGGGCTTAGCTTTGAGGTGCCATAGTGAGCAGGGAGGAGCACAGAAGCACAGTTCCAGAGCTCGCACCATCAGCATGGGGACAGTCAGGGTTGGCGTCCATAAATACTTCACTAACTGAAGATGGTCGCCATGCAGAAAGTACGACTTTCCATGTCTGCTTTTCTGGGAAATGGTAGAGCACTCATAGCAGTATTTGGTCAAACTAAAATTTTAACTTTTGAATGTAAACTAACAGCATCGCTCTACATCTAAGAACGTGTTACTGTGAAAGAGCTGTTCCGCACTCCTCTGCCACCACTTGGCCATTCGGTCACCAGGGAGGCAGGGGCATCAGCTCCTAGCCAGGCCCTGTGCCGTGCGCTGGAAACGCACAGCCGGGTGGACAGCCAGGTAGATGCAGTCTGGGCCTCATGGGTGACTAGCTGCCAGGCAGCCAGCCAGGTGGGCTTAGTGGCTGCCTGCCATTGCAGGGTCTTCAGTCGGGGGGGGGGGGTCGTGAGGGGATGTGAATGTTACGGAGCTAGCCCTGGATGTTACAGTAGGTGGGGGCTGTGGCAGAGCCAGATTGAAAATACGAAGACCAGTGAGAGGCTTTCCCGTAATCTGGGGCCTGGCTGTGGCAGGTGGGGCTGAGAAGTGGGGTACTCCGAGAGATACGCAGGAAGACGTGGGCACAAGCCTTGTGGCAGCTTGCCAGGGGGGCGAGGGCTGGGGGCCATTTCTACAGCATGAGCAGGCGCAGAACGGCTCCAGGGACGCACATGCCTGCGCATGGGCCGGAGATGTGCAGGGAGCAAACCCAGTGGTGGCTGAGTGCTAGGCCTGTGGCCACAGAGGGTGTGGGCTGAGGTCCACGCTTTAAAATGTCCGAGTCCCATAAAACAGTTGAAACTGCGAAACAGGCGCACTCTCAGGGGAGGCAGTAGGTGGAAAATAGAAGCAAGTTCGCTCAAACTTGTGTTCTGTAAATGATGCTAGAATAGAATGCTGGGCTCCTCCTGGGCGGGCGCTACTCCTCAACCTCCATCTCCCTCAGTGTGGGTGTGCCAGACTTGGGGGCCTGGGCCAGAGTTTAGCAGGCACTCAGAAAATACTATGTTTAAGAGCCAAGCGTGGTAGCCCATGCCTGTGATCCCAGCACTCCGGAGGCTGAGGCAGGAGGATCATTGTGAGTTCGAGACCAGCCTGGGCTATAAGCTCAAGGCCTGCCTGAGCTGCATAGGGAGACCCTGCCAAGAAAGAAAGAAAGAAACAGAGAGAGAGAGAGAGAGAGAGAGAGAGAGAGAGAGAGAGAGAAAATACTGTGTTTATGAAAACTGTTGTCAGCTCTCCCATTGCTATTAATTACACTACTTGTAGTAAAATGTAACAGCTCAATACTAAAGGCAGTTTCTCCAAATCTTAAAATTTTTAAATACTGGGAACTTTAGATGCATTCTTATTTATGTTACTTCTGTAAGAACTTTTTAAATGAGAAGTCAGATCTTGGGAAGCTAAAAAGAGTTTGCTCCTCAGAAGACACGAACCCCACTTTGAATCACCGGGAACGCTGGCGGAGGCGGCAGCAGCCCGAGCCGTCACACCCTCCGAGTCTCACCCTGACCTGGGCCTAACCCTGATGCACAGGGTTAGAGACAGAGCCTCTCGTGCTTTCTCAGTCATTTCTCATTTTTTCTGGAAAAGCATTGTACTCTAATTTCTATTTACATAACATGATGTCACATAAGCATCTTAAACAAGTCATCGGAATGATGCCCTGGCCATGTCCCGTCGTGAGTAGGTGGTAGACAGACTCCTGTTCGCCTCCTAAGACCCTGAACGCCGGTGCTGCTCCTGGCCGTCACCGTCTCACTGCCACCCTGTGGCCTTTGTGTCTGTTGTTTTCCTTTACATGGAGACCATCCGCTCTGGATTGCCGTGAGTTGAATGAGGACGGAGAGCTGTGGCTGGTTTATGAAGGGCTAAAACAAGCCAACAGGTTATTTTTGTTTCCTCTAATGGAATGTCATTCGTGTGCTGCTCTCCTTACTAACAGTGGCCTCCTGCCCTGAACTCTTGATTCTCTGCATTAGTTCCTTTCCTCAGTAACTTACTTTCATAAAAGCAGGAACACTTGCAAGTCAGGAAATGTGTTACACTGCACCAGCAGAACCAGAGACAAAAGTCATGATCATGTCAGTAGATACAGAGGAAGCTTCGATAAAGTCCAGCGCCCATTCATGATAAAAACCCTACAGGAAATCGGACCAGATGGTCTTTACCTCAATCTGATAAAAGCTTTCTATGACAAACCAACAGCCAGCATCATACAAAACGGACAAAAGCTAAAAGCTTTCACTCTAAAATCAGGTACAAGATGAGGGTGTCCACTGTCTCCATGCCTACTCAGTGCAGTTCAGCCAAACGCCTTCTTAAACCCTTGTCTACTAACAGATGCCAGGAAGGCCAAGACTGGGTAATGGTGAATACAAGAATTACTTCCCTAAGAAATGTGCTGTCAAGAGGTTTTGAATACCTAAAAATTGCAAGTACCTCTCTCTAGAAAGCTGATAGGAAAACACCCAGAGCACAGACTACAGAGATGGGTGCCGAGGCTCATTCCCGAGCCAGCAGCTACTTGTTTGTACTGAAGGTCCCTCAGCAGGTTCATGTGCCAATGCCAGGCAGCATGGATTTTCTCTCTTTTTTTTTTTTTTGTCTTTTTAAAACAGGGTCTTGCTGTGCGGTTCAAACTGGCCTTGAGCTCACTTTGTAGCCCAGGCTGGTCTTGAACTTGCAATGATCCTCCTGCCTCAGCCTCCCCAGTGCTGGGATTACAGACGTGAGCCACCACACCTGGCTTCTTCCTTGCACATATCATATTGCTAAGAGCAGTGTCACATGTATTATGTGGCAGTCTGTGTGGCTGTCACAAAATTCAGATAGAAAAGTCAGTTTTGCTTGTATGTTGACAGTGCAGGAAATCTACCAAACCCCCCATTCCATATTTTTAAGGGAGAGAGCAAAATTAAAGCAGTGGCTTCTTCCAGGAGAGACTCATCTGCTTGTGATGTTTGTGTTTTAAAAACTCCACTTTAGTGATTAATACAAGAAATACTTAACGTACTGTTTGTTCAAGGGTCTTCTGCTTGTTCTGCTTTGTTTAAACTGCTATCATTAACTTTACAGCGTTATTGGCTTAGACTCTTAAAATTGCATAATCATCAGAATATTTCTAATCTGCTCTTAACAGTTTGCTTGCATCAATAATTTCACCCAGCAGTTGGCAACCAAAGCAATTAGAATAAAGGAATGATTTTCTTTCTTCATGCTGGCTAATTCCCAGCTGTGTCTTTGTTTAGTGTCTGGAAAAGGAAAAGGAATGAGGGTAAGAGCGGGTGCGTGGCGAGAGGAAGCCCCACCGAGCCCCGGGACCTCACTGCCAGTACCCTGGTCTGCCATGAGCACAGCTGGCTGCTTGTTCCAGGGAGTGAATGTCGCTCTGTCCTGTTACTCTGTGCTAAAGCCAGTATCATTACGTTCCTTACTGAAGTGTCAGGTTATAGGGAACGGGGAGATATATATGACAGAACTGTCTGAGATCGGGTAAATTCGTGTGCATTCCATTGTGACACTTCAGCTCTTCTGTCCTGCAGAGGTAAGAGTAGGGTATAAACATGGGACCGTGTTCTCACCCTGTCCCGGGAATTAGTAACCGCCTTCCTCGAAAGCAGATTTTATTAAATGGGAGTTGATGGTCTTGCTCTTTATCGTGCAGTTATTTTGGGGCAGTGATACTGCCTTTGCCAACTTAAATGCTAGTTGGTAAATATAACAGGCCAGACTAGATTTATGTCTTTGAATTTTTTTAAAGCCTTCATTTTCAAAAGAACTGAAGCCTGTACATTTCTCAGGGACCTCAGAACTGCATACCCTTTAGACAGATGCAGATGCAAGAGTATCTGTCTGCATCTCTGGCCCCAAGTTGAGTTTCTTGACTTTGACCAAGTCAGAAAATGTGTGAGTACTGCTTTTCCTCCTCTAGCAAGGGAGCATGAGGCCTCGCACCCGCTAGGCAGGGATGTGGGGTCCTTTCCCCTTCTTATCGGTGTGCTCCCCCGCAGGCTCCTGGAGTCCCAGCTGCAGTCGCAGAAGAGGAGCCACGAGAATGAGGCCGAGGCCCTCCGAGGGGAGATCCAGAGCCTGAAAGAGGAGAATAACCGGCAGCAGCAGCTGCTGGCCCAGAACCTGCAGCTGCCCCCAGAGGCCCGCATCGAGGCCAGCCTGCAGCATGAGATCACGCGGCTGACCAACGAGAACCTGGTGAGCAGGGTGTGGCCGCTGGGCTGCAGGTTTCTTGGTGGCTGGTGCTCTGTTCCACACTTCCCACCCTCCACTCTGGCCCAGGCAGGAAGGGGAATGGGAGCAGGTGGTCTGAAGGCTCTCCAGGGCACTGCAGAGGGCCTCAACCCCTGCTGGGCTTCTGTGGGCTCCAGACCCAGGCGACCCAGTCCCTTCTTCAGCTCTGCCTCCTCCGTGGGTTTCTCACGTAATTATCACAACAGAGACTGGGGACAACTGTTTGCATTTGGTCCCTAGGCAGCCACTGAGGCCAGACCACCCTCTGCCCCTTGGAGAGGGAGGGTTACCTTTGAGGCAGCACACTGAGCAAGGGCTTTGGTTGACACTGGTAAGACACGGGGTGGACACTTTTACTCATCAGGCAGAGCTTAGACCATAAATGAGGATTTTTTTTTCCTTTGCCAGATTCTGAACACTGGCATGAAGTCTCTTTTTTCCTTTTCTTTGTTTCGTGTTTGTTTTATTTTGTTGAGACAGGGTCTCACTGTGCAATTCAGCCTGGCCTTGAGCTCACTTTGTAGCCCAGGCTGGTCTTAAACTTGCAGTGATCTTCCTGCCTCAGCCTCCCAAGTGCTGGGATTACAGGCACATACCATCATGTCCTGCTCTTTTATTTTTTTTTAACCAAAATTTTTTCTAAGCTCTTTCTTTCTCAGTTACATAACAACCCTTATTATAGATTTGTAGTTTGAAAAATTTTTCAAGTTTTACAGATATATTTGCTGCAGTGAATATCACCAAATAATTATAATTCTATATGTCTATGTAACTAACATCTATAATGTAGGAATAGCCTGCTGATTTTCAGAAAAGTTGTTTGGTACTATTCATGATTTATGTCTTTTTTATGTTAAGATTCTTAATGACCTATAATAAGGTAGTTGGAAATTTTCTGAAGATTTAACAATGAGAATCATCCGTCTGTTATTCTGTCAGTGATGACTGATACCCAAGTAGTTTGCTTGGTCAGTCGTTTGAGCATGTTTCCTGTGGGCTGGAAGTGAAGCCCATGGTGTTCTATTCCCAGTCATCTTTCTGTGCCGGGCTCCACGATAGGGGTGGAAGCGAGGAGGGGGTGGGCATTTGAACTATTTCCAATTGACTATGATTCTTCTGAATCATAAATACTTTTGGAATGGTGTTTCATTACGTAAGCATATGTTGCTGCTTTAATTAAACTAACAATGCTTTGATGACTAAGAATTGCCCAGCAGCCTGAATCATATAACATTAACTGGTCATGTGCAGACTCTGTGCCCATAAGTAATTGTGTGGAGCACCAGGCGCTGGTGCGTCTCTGGAGCACAGACGTTTCTGGGTGGTGTTTCCCAGGACTAGGTGACGAGCACCTCCCCTGCAGCGAGCCTGTGGTTTGCACGCTGTCATCAGTTCCCATAGCTAACATGGAAGTAGGGTAGTCCCCACATGCTGAGGTGGAAGAGTCTGGTTCAGGAGTTTGAGTTTAGAGAACCCTTTACAGAGCAGCTGCTTCTCCTGCCATTACACTGACTGCTAATTCAAAAGCATGGGTCCAAACTTCAGACACGAAGTGGTGGACTCTCCAAACTCCTGCGGTTCCTCAGTGTGCACGGTGCTTTCCTTGGGAGGCACTCAGGGAGATTTGAGAGCTGCCCAGATCTTAGTGTTCCTGGAGATTTTGCCTTGCATAACATCCACCGCCCACCCACCCAGCACAGGCATGGCAGGTTTTCTCCCCCTGCCCAGCAGGCTCCCACACCGCCTCTTCAGTGAGGGCAGGCGCAGCAGTGCCAGCTTTGCCACCTGCACCAGGCCGCTGGCAGCCAGCAGAGCAGGCAGCACCTGGAGTCGGGTGGAGGCTGAGTCCTAAGTGACAGCTGGTCTAGAACGTAGATAGCCACGCTGTGCACCAGCTGAGTGGCAGTGTCCTGGCTGGCACCTGCTTCCTCTGAGGGTGCAAAAAACACTTGTAGCTGTAAAGCCTCTATTCTAGAAAAGGAAGGCAATGGTAGGTGACAAATCAGAGCCTTTGAGTAGGTAATCTCATTGTTTATGTTTCTAAATATTTGTATTTGATTTTGCTGAGAGGTTGCTTTCCCTCAAAGACAGGAGAAAACAAACATCCATTGTGCCTGTTTTTTCAGTATTTTGAGGAATTATATGCAGATGACCCTAAGAAGTATCAGTCATACCGGATTTCACTTTACAGACGGATGATTGTATGTAAACCAGCGCTTCCCTTCTCTTAATCCTCCCGCTCTTCCTCGCCCTCTATAACTGAAGAGCACACTGCTGCCTGCCCCCCACCAAGGAGTTTCCAAAAGTTCACAAAACCCTTCTCACAGCTGTTTCAGCCAGCGTGTGGCCTCTGCCAGTGCCCTCCTCCATTATCACGCGTGGTTTGTTGTTAACACCGGGCTTACAGTGTGATGGAAGCAAATGTGTCTGAAAGATTAGCTAAAACCCTTCCTAAGAAACTGTTCTGTCAAATCTCAGGGCTGGCGTCTGGGTCCACAGGCCTGTGCCAGGGGGTGACGAGTGCTTTGTTTGAAGCACTGTCCTCCCCACACCCTGAGGGGCAGCACAGACGGCCTGATTCCCCTCCTGTGACCCCGGCCTGCGCTTGTCCACTACCCCGAAGAATGGCGTTAGGTGTGCCCATTGTCCACAACAGTCCTTCATCAGTCGGTAGTCACAGACCCCCACTTGGGCTTTCTGCGCCGGCACTCCTGATGGCCCCTTTTCTCTCTGTGTAAGAGCCAAGTTCCATGGGTGACTTACACAGCTACTATTTTAGTGCTCCACACAAGAGCAGACCACTCTTGATCCTGGCTCTGATTATTTTCTCAGCTTGCCTTTTAAATCCTAAAACTTGTTTTCTTAGGCTTCAAAGTGAAGGTTAGCATCTTGGTGAGCACGTCTCACAGAGACCGTGCTTCAAGTGTGAGTGTCAGTGCCACTTGTGTCCAGCCACCCTCAGAGCTTCCCACAAAGCATTTGCTGCTTTCATCAGAATTCACTTTTGCCCAGTCCCCCTTTATGAAAGAAACTGTTTCGCTGGGGGAGCAGTGGCTCCCATGCATTCAGTGGTTTTGCCCGTGTAGCCGCTGGAAAGGCCTCCAGTCCGCCTCTGCCCATCACACTGTGAAGGACGGTTTAGCTGCATTGTGCGATTTACCTTTGGCTTTCCTCCCAGCTGTCCCCCGCCTGCCAGTTTTACTAGGTGGTGACTCCACCGCAAGCTTTTCTGGAGCTTTTGTGTAAAACTAACAATGATGTTTCTGCAGTGCTGTGTCACCTTTCCCTTGGCGCATTTCAGAAGGCCTGTTTTGAACTTTCTGTGTGTTTCTCATTTGGATCTGCAGGATTTGATGGAACAACTGGAAAAACAGGATAAGACTGTCCGGAAACTGAAAAAACAGCTCAAAGTATTTGCGAAAAAAATTGGCGAGCTAGAAGGTATTTAAATGTGTTTTTCTGACAGTTGCTAAATACTAGTTTGTGTTGCTAGTGGCTTAATAGAGGTTTACATGGGAGTGTTAGGAGTAACAAAGGGACTTCCAGCAAGCCCAGCTTCTGCAAGGTAGACATTTTCATTTCTAGGTGAAGGAAAATGTTCTTTCCTAGTAATAGCAAATTTCAAAGGGGGACACTCATTCAGCTAACATCGGAGGTGCATCTCCTGTAAGCTGTGTACTGGTTGTGGCATGGCAGGTAGGACCATGGACTCTGGAGACCTGCTTCTTAGTGTCAAATCCTAACTCTTCCCTTATTAACTCTATGGTGCTGGGTAAGTTTCTGAACCTTTCTCTGCCTCAGTTTTTCCACCTGTCAAATGGGAAGGATTAGTGTCAGCTGTGGGTCACAAACACTGAGTTAATACACTTAGAATCATCCCTCACAAGGTAAATACTAAGTGCAACTTAGTTGTTAGAAAAAGAATTGAGATCCAACAGGGGAAAATAAAGAATATGCAGGTCAGTTGAATATGATAGTTTTCAAGAATATCAATGAAATAAATGTTTTTAAAAACATACACTTTAAATAGAAGTATGTCAGTAAATTGAGATGTTTTCAGTTCCTTAAATAATCTGTAATATTTTTAGTTATTTAACATTTAAATTTGTTCTCAAAACTTCCAAAAAAAGAAAACTTAGGTGTTAGTAGTAGCCATCCTTATTAAAGATCCTCAAAGAACTCACAGCCTAATGGAGGAAAAAAGTGAAATAAATACAAATGTGAACTAAGGTACAGAAGAGTGAGAGTGTTAAAGGTCTCGTGACTTCTGTATGATGGCAGGAAGGCCCCTTGAGAAACTCTCGAGGTCAGCAGGTATAGTTGTCACACACGAGCACAATGTGTCTCCCGGCTCATTTTGAGTTCCTGCTGACGTGAGGTGGTGCCAGGCTCCTGCCAGACCTGGGCTTTCCCAGCACTCTTCTCACTGCTCCAGACGTTGCAGGGCTCCGTCCCAGAGCTGGCACTGCCTTCAGATGTGTACCGCTCAGCTGGCCACCACCTTAGTTTGTGACATCTCTCTGCGTGGTCCTTGCTTGACTCCAGCAGGAGGGCTCCGGTCCCTGGGGACCTTCAGAGTACTCTTGTGACCAAGCACAGCACACCACTCCAGCATCCCTTCCACTGTGGCCTGCCAAAATGCTGTGGTTTCTTTGAGGCCAGAGTCACATGAGTCACCTCTCCCTGTCACCTGGACGGACCTCCAGGCACTCCATCTGGCCCTCCTCTGGCCTTTGTCCTGTCATATTTTAGCAGTTTTCCCACTTGAATTGCTGACTTCCATAACAGACTGTGAGCTTAGGAATACTTCTCATTTTTCCTGATTTTTATGGCATTTAGTAATGTGTCTGGCTATCATAACCCTTCCGTAAATGTCGAGTGAGCAAATTTCAGAAATATTTAGCATGTGTACTATGGAGAGCAGATTGCTCCTTGGGTACAAACATTCAGCAGTATTTGTTCACAGATCAGAGAGTCACTTTGGTTTTTTTTTGTTTTGTTTTGTTTTGAGACAGGGTCTTGCTATGCAGTTCAGACTGGCCTTGAGCTCACTTTGTAGCCCAGGCTGGTCTTGAACTCACAACGATCCTCCTGCCTCAGCCTCTCCAATGCTGGGATTACAGGCGTGAGCCACCACGCCTGGCTCAGAAAGTCACTTTGCAGCCACATTTTATATCTAACCCTGCAGCACTGCATGCTTCATGTATATACTGTTAAACTTCCTGAACGTCCAGATCACACATGTGCACAGCCTTGAGGATTGGCAGAACTCAAAACTGTTCTTTGCAGAAAACTTTCTGTAGTTAACTGTATATATTAGGATAGTTGCACAATAGAGCATTCACTTAAAAACTGACTTAAAGGCTGTAACTTGTACGATTAGTACTTGTTCATTTGCTGATGGCTCCTTTGACATGCATTAGTAATCTAGATAAGTAGAAAGGCTGTTTATTTGAAGTTTTAAATAACTTATTCAATATTATTTTTCTTTTATTATATTTTTGAATTGAAGAGATACATTATATTTCAAGATTCAGAAAACAACCTTATCAGTTAAACTGTCCTGCCAGCTGCTGGGGTAGAAGTAGCATTTGAGAAGCAACTGCTAGGTTAAATCAAAGGAAGGAAAAGATGTAACAGTTCTTAAGAAAGGTTGTGTGTGAGCGATAACCTGAGAGGCAGAGAAACGCACTCCAGGCTAGGCTCTGCCTGAGGGGTGCCCTGCCGTGGTGCAGGTGGGTGTGGGGGCCACCAGCTGCCCTGCGCCTCTCCCCTGCCCGAGCTCCCGGGGTATAGGAAGTGACAGTGACGTCATGCAGTGAGCCCTTTCTGTAAAGCAGTTTACCCTCCTGTTTCTTTAAGTGCGGTAACAGGCATACTTCCATCTGGTTTAGAATAGCGCAGCTCTCCCTCCTCGTGTGGGCTGTATTTAATTAAAGACTTTTTAAAAAGCCAACCTATATAACTTTTAGTGGAAATTATAAAGCGAAACGGGGGTATTTTGAAGTTTGATCTGCCTTGTGCTGTTTTTAATCCAGGAGTAGGTGTTGCATCTCAGTTTTTATAGTCTAGAGATTTAGACCTCACAGAACCCTAGCACAGTTACTTTTAAAGATGAAGACAGGAAGCCACAGTTACTTGTGAAAAGAAGAAGCATCAGTTACTTTTGAAGACAAGTCTGGAAGCCACAGGAGAGATGCAGGGTCTTGTCCATGGGCTGGCTGGAGGAGGAGGCAGCCTTCAGAGGCCCTTATCTATCTGTTGAGTTAGCCCGAGCTCAAGACCTTCCTGGTGCCAGAGCGAGGAAAAGGAAATGTTCTGCCAACAGCCATGCCATGGCCCTATCAAAGACAGTGAAATTCAGGCTCACTTTGCTGCAGAGTTTATGGCTGAGAATATAGAGAATAACAGCAGGAATCACTTCCCATCTCCTGAAGGAGGTCAGTGTGAATGGTCCATTTGTGCCACGCTAGCCAAGCACCTCAGACCGAGTGGTTTATTGGCAGGAGAAACTTGTTCTCACAGTGCTGAGGATGCACATTCTGATCTAGTTCCGGCAGGCCCAGAGTCTGGGGAGGGCCTGGCTTCTGCTGTTCGTGTGGAGTGTTGGCCCTCACCTCCAGAGGGGCCTGCTTTGGGGAAGCCCATGCAGCCTTACTGGTCCCCAGGACCCCTTGTGGGACCCTGATCCCACTGTGGAGTGGGGCTCCTAGGCCTGGTGAACACTCCCCAAGGCCTGTGTCTTGGTACTGTTACATTAAACTCCCACACAGCAACCTAAGGTCTCTGGAGGGCTTGGAAACTGGCGCAGTACCCAGGCTTTTCTGTTCCAGGCTTTGTATTTTCCTGATGCTACATAAAGGTTACCATTTTATATTGAACTATCTGTGAATTTTTATAAAGACTTACGTCTCTAGGAAAAATTCAAGCAGAAAATTTTTAAAGATGACGTCACTTTTTTTTGTTTTTGTTTTTGGGTTTCTTTTTTTAATTGGTACCGGGGATCGAACTCATGACCACCTGCTTACAAGGCAGGTGCTTATGTCGCTGAGCTAAATCCCCAGCCCCGATGACATCACATTTTGTCTGACATTTTCTACAGAACCAAAAATATCCTAATTTGAGATTTTGCAAAAGGAAATGAAACTTTCTTTTAAAGCATGAACTCTCAGTGAAAATATTCACCATATTTCATATGCTGTGCTGGTGTCTAACATTTTACCATCTCCAGAGTCATTGATGTAAGCCAGGCATGGTGGTACAAGCCTGTAATCCCAGAACTCTGGGAGGCTGGGGTGGAAGTATTGCAAATTACAGCCTAAGATGGACAACTTAGCAAGATCCTGTCTCAAAATTTAAAAAAGAAATTTTCAAAGGGTCTGGAGTTATAGCTCAGTGCAAAGATATTGTGTTTAATCCCAATACCACCAAAAAAAAAAAAAAAAGAACAGTTATTCATATATGCTCTATTACAGCTTAATTGGCAGTGGTTTTCTTCCTCCAGTGTACATGAAATAGCCTATGTCTGGTGCCATCTTAGATTTTGTAAAATCAGTAGATTTAAGACATCTTCGGGTTACATGCAGTCCAGATATTGGCATTGTCAGGAAACCTAGTTTGTTTCCTCCCAGTTCGCTCTCTTGGAATCATCTCTGTAGCCTCGTCGACTGGCCGCATGTCTAAGAGGCAGGGATTTTAGCACTTTTTACATGAAGCTGGCTAAGAGCTGAAGAGGCCACAGCCTCGTTAACCCTCAGTGGTACTGTATTTAAACCGTCCTCAGAGATAGTGTAAAGCTGAGCAGCTGAGTCTCTCCTCTCATGTAAAGGAGTGCATTTTACCACCAGTCCTGGGGCTCTCTGCTGCATCGTGCCCAGGCTGCTTGGCCCCGATCCCTCCAGTCACAGTCTGACTCCTCTGTAGAGGTCACAGTGGTGGATGTGGTGACTTCACCTGCACCAGGTTTTCAGTGTCGAGAGCCTCAGTGTGTGACGCTGCATCCTATGGTGGATGGGTGTCACTGAGTTCAGGCCACTCAGGCAAGAGCCCCACAGGTACTGGTGTCCCTGCATTAACCCGGGGCTGCCCTCACGGCACAGAGCACCGCTGACCCCTGTGGAGTCTGCACATTAAACTTCTGATGTCTGTGGCTCGGATCTGCCTTTTGTTTGCCAGCAGGCTTGGAACTCGGTCTGTGCTAAAATAAATCTCCTAACTGTTCCCGTTCATGCAGATAAAACCCTCATGTTAACTTGCATCCAGTCTTGGCGATGCCTCATGCCCCTTGCCACTCCGGGTTTCCCGCTCAGCTCCCCAATGGGAGAGGAAACCGAAGGCTTCCTTTTCTCCTTAACTAACATTTCTCCCATTGCTGCCTTTGACTTGGTGACCAGGCTGAGGCCTGACAGGAGTGTGATGATTACAGTTCGAGCTCTCTTGTTAAACAGTAATAATAGTCATCCTTATTAAATACGGTTTTCATTTTCCCATGATTTCTTTGGGAATTGAGTGGTGGGAGGAAGGTGTCTGCCTCCTGAGAGCTTCTGGGGAATTGCCTGTGTTCAGATCAACTGTGTGAAGACAGTGTAAACGTTCCTTTGCTTGCAGTGACCAGGTGCTTCAGCTAATGGTGCTCTCACTGTCACTTTGTAGAATATAGTCTTCATTTTCCCTTCTGTGAATTAAAGTCCGTATGTATTTAACAATTTCTGATTGGTAGACGTTAGTTAACAAATACGTTAAACTACACATTTCTGAGAATTGCATTCTAAATAAAGTAAAGCTGTTACAAAAAGAAAATCAGTTTTCAACCAGGTAAGCTTGTTTAGTATTAATAATGTCAGGCTCTAGTGGCTGTCAGAATAACATGTGCTATCTATCCACACAATTTAGCAGAAAAAATTTTTTAAGAAAGGACCATTAAGTGGTATATATGGCACATTTCTGTTGTTAGAGTTGTTAGAGTTCATAGAGTTCGGAGCCCTCTCATCTTCCCCATCTGAACAAAAGGTGTTTTCCTCTTCCTTGTGTTCTCACGAAGTGGGCCAGATGGAGAACATTTCTCCAGGACAGATCATTGATGAACCTATCCGTCCAGTTAACATTCCCAGGAAAGAGAAGGACTTCCAAGGAATGCTGGAGTACAAGAAGGAGGACGAGCAAAAGCTTGTGAAGAACCTGATTCTAGGCAAGTGCTCTGGGTGAGGTGGGAGGAGGTCTCTCTCTGGTGTGTGAGTTGTGTGAGTATTTTAACACCAGCGACCATAGTCCTTGTTGTACACTGGACCCCACTGTGCTATCGCTCAGGTGGAAGGGAAGAACATGGGCCTGCGCCCGCCTGTGACAATCCCAGAGGCCACGCCTGCTCAGCCTGGCTATGTCAGGATCTCCCAGCCAGCTTTGTAGAGCATTCATGCCTGGCCTCCGGCAGCCCAGATCCCCAGGAAGTGGCGGTGGCCAGGTCTAATGCCTTGCAGGAAAGACCCAGCAAAGGGAGGGGGGGCAGATGAGAAGAGGTGATGCAGCAGTTTAGAGGGGTGTCAAGCTTGGGTGACCCCGCGGCTCCACGAGGGGGCTTTTAGGGAAGGGAGGCAGCTGAGAGTGCACACCCCCATGAGCCGTGACCTGAAATGCGTAACGCTTCTCCCACAGCATCCTGGTGCCAGGTGGCAGCATCGTGGCTGGCAGTCACACCACTTTAACGTCTCCAGGTTCACAGTGTTAGACTTAGCATTGAGAGCGGTACAGAGAAGCTTCACTTGGCAAAAATGTTAGGGGGCCACGGTTCAGTTTTGGGGTAAAAACGTTTTAAGAGTGAAGGCAGGTATGTTGTTTATATAAAATCATCAGGAAACTATGCAATAGATGACCTTGGGACAGAGACCATAGGAAGTAAGAGAGGGAGCCGTGGCACTGTCTTCAGAAAGAGCCTCTGAAGCAGAAAAGCACGCTGTCCACCGGCCTGAGGGACACATGCCTGGCACCGAGCCACCTGCTGGGACAGCTGCACAGCTAGAGCAGAGGGGGCTGTGGGTGAGAGGAGCCAGGCCAGGGCAAGGACGTAGCCTGGGGACTCGGGTATTGTGGATGAGCGGGATGAGGAGCTGCGTTACAGGAATGACGCGTGGTCTGACCCCATTGTCATAAAGGAATGCTGTGCTCTTTTACAGTGTGGGAAATGCATCACTGGCAGTTAGGGTGCATCAGGGAGACTGGGTGGCCTTGGACAAGGGTGCGTCTAGAAAATGCAGGGAGAAGTGGCTGGATCGGATGTGTTTTGTAGGTAGAGCCAATGACCGATTAGATGTGAGCAAAGAAGGGGTCAAAGGCAGATGCAGTGCTGCACTACTCTGATCCCACGCACTGAGGAGGCTGAGGCAGGAGGATCACAGGTTCAAACTGGGTTTACAAAGTGAGGCCTGGTTTCAGAAAACAAATGAACAAATGAAAAAGGGTCAAAGAGGTGATGAAATTTATAACTTGAGAAACGGGGCCAGAGCTGCGCTGCCAAGGGAGGGGAGCCAAGGAGGAGGAGAGTGTGTGAGCAATCTGAAGTATGCTGTGTCCCGGCTCGGAGCCGTGCCTCAGTGGGGACATGGAAAAGGTGGGTGGAGGCTTTGAAGAATGGCTGGGCAGGGGCAGCAATCCCACACTCTACGGGGTCCCTGCGGGCAGGGCCTGAGGGGCTGTTAAAGGTCTGCATGTGACCACCCGCACTTCATCTCAAAGGCCAACCCATGAAGACTTCCAGGCTTACGCAGGTTTGCTTTTGCTTTTCCAGAACTGAAGCCTCGTGGTGTGGCGGTCAACTTGATTCCCGGGTTGCCGGCCTACATTCTGTTCATGTGTGTTCGGCACGCTGACTACCTGAACGATGATCAGAAAGTGAGGTCGCTGCTCACGTCCACCATCAACAGCATCAAGAAGGTGCTGAAGGTCAGTTCTCAGGCAGCAGTGCCCCTGGGGAGGACTGTCTTCCATAAACCCCACCACTTGCCAGCTAGCAGCACTTTCCAGGCTTCCCTGGGGACTTCCACTGAAGATACCCTCTGGCTGCCTGGCTAGATGCCTTCTTTTAAAGGAGGCCTCAGGCTGTGCAGAGGTCAAATTAATTTGACACTATTGCATTTCATGTAGAGTAAGTTAAATTTCTTCCTGGACAAAAATAGTCTACTTAAAGGTTTTACGTGACACTGAGCTAGTGGGGACCACATTTACGGGACTGGGTGCTCAATGATGGGGCTCAGGATGTGAGAGCCGCCTGGGAAAGTGCTGGGATGGAGCTCTCGACTCACCCCTAGTCTCTCTGTCTCCTAGCTGTCTGCTCCTACATGAGAGGCACAGATGCAGTCAGGGTGAGGCTCAGAAGGGCAGCAGCATTGCATAACCGTGCAGAAAGCCCACACAACTCCGCCACCCCTGAGTTGTTTGTACAGGCACCTCGTGACAGGGAGGCACAGCCCCCTAGGTGCACACAGGCAGGGTGGTGCGCTCCAGGCTTCTGCCTCCTGGTGGGGCCTTCCGATGAGGAGCAGGGAATAGACCCATTGCACTCTCAGATCCACCATGAACTTCTAAAATGTGGTGAAGTATACACAGCATGCACTCCACCACATTCACCCGCTTAAGTGTTCCGTGCAGCATGTGAAGATACTCATGGTGCTGTGCAGCCTCAGCACCGACCGTCTGCAGAGCCGTCTCGCCTTTGGCACTAACTCCTAATCCCCTCCTCCATGCAAGTGCTCTCTGCAGTTGCATCCCATGGTGCCTGCTGGAGCACGGAGCTTCTGGAGGCTTAACCTTCAAACATTGGTGACCGTCTTTGGATCTTAGCTTCATTTCATTTTGACATACCAATGCTACATAGCAGTTAGACTGTAATTTTCGCTAGTCAAAACTCCTACATAGATAAAAAACATAAAAGTTTTTTTTCTTTAACCTTAACTGTAAGAAGGTATTTATCAGCTGGGCCTTGGTGGTACACACCTTTAATCCTAGCACTCCTGGAGGCCGATGCAGCAGGGTCAAAAATTCCAGCACAACCTAAAGGGATCTAGCAAGACCCTGTCTCATGGGAAGAAATTTAAGAGGGCTAGCTGGGACCTATCTCAGTGTGACGGCCATGGCATCAGTTCCCATGATTGCAAAATAATTTTTTAAAAGGCATTTATCTAGTTTGACTAGCTGCCTCACCATATTGTTTAAAGATTAATTGTGGAGTAAATTAAAGGAGTGGGTACAGTACTCTTGATCCCTTTTAAAGTTCGTGTGTACCATTTTCTTATCCCCATTTTGAATTGGAGTGTGTTTGTTTTGCATTTCTGTTCTTGCTTTTCCCCACTTTTTCATGTAGGTCCTGAAACAGCATAGTAAGCCTCTCACTGCATAACAGGAAAATCTGTGGTTTGAGGCATAGAACCTTTTTACCTAGGCTCACTGTTGAATTTTGGCCAAATACAGTTTGTTCATTATAAAAATATTATTTTGTAAAAATATTAGTTTGGCAAACTCACTCCAGTAACTTCCTGAGTAGAGTTGGCATTCAACCCTGAATTTTACAGTTTCTAAAGAAGTGAGTCTTATTTTGCAATGATATAGGGCACCTTGGTTTAAGGGGTATGGGGCAGGCAGCCTCGGAGTCCATGTGGAAGGAACTCGTAGAGCCAGTGTGTATAAAGGGCTTGCCGCAGGTGGGAGCCCGCTGACGGAACAGATGCTGGATTATTCTTGGCATGCAGTCTTCTCCTTGGGTCTAAATTAGCTTTGCCTACTAATGCTTTTCAGTGTGGGACCTCCTGGTACTTCTTCAGTGTAGGTGCCCCGACGTGCTTTCCAGAGGCTGTCCCAAGGATCTCTGCAGTTTGACTTCTCTAGTGAGCGCTGCAGTGGCTCTGCCCCAGGCCAGTCTGTGGCCAGCATTGCTTCCATGTCCGCCCGTTGGTGGTTGCCAACATGGCCCAGTTGTAAAACAGGTCTTTGCAGGGAGTAAGATTATTTTTAATCAAACCTGCTGTCGGGCTGTCGAACGATTTACCTTAGGGTAACAGGTCCTGTCTCAGCTAAGAAGACTGAATTAGACTTATTACCCCTGAAGTTTCTTACAGTCTTTATACAGAAGTACCCTCCCAAATGTAAAGGTTTTGGTTCTGTTCATGCTTGCTTAGTATGGGAAGTTGCACAAATCTAGACAGATGAGCCTCTGCAGTGGTCTCCCTGTGTGTCCTGCCCCTGGACACTGCTGCATGGAGCCACCACGAGAAGGCCACGGCAGGGTTCTTGGGCAGCCCCTGAGAGCCCCGGATCTGCTGTGAGGAAGTAGTAGAGTCCTGAGCGTGTGCGGCACCATGAGGGGGAGAAGCTCGTGAGGCCCCTGTGCATATTAATATACATATGGCAGTGTCTCCTTCTGTGACATCCTGTGTCCTAACAGATCTGTGTTCATTTGCAAATGAATGACGTCCTGAGTGTCATTCCAGCTCCCTGTCTTTGGGCACAGGCAGTTCTCCTCCTTGCTCTCTGGCCCCCACGGTGAGGAGCCGGCAGCTTCCCCATAGGTGCCGCTCAGGGAGGCTGCCCAGGTGCCCAGGCCCCTCTCACTTCTCACTCAGAGGGTTGCTCTCCCGAGGCCAATGTGCTCCAAAGTTGCTTCTTTCTTTCGTGCTTCTCCTTCTGACTCCCTTCATTAACCAACCCCCGAGGGGAACTGAGTCTGGGTCTGCCGTGGACAAATTCTGTTCTGGGCCAAGGGCCCTGGGTCAAGCAGCTGGGTGGTGCTGCTCCAAGGCTGTCCGGCTTGATGCACAGCCAGTGTGCTGGGGCTGCAGGTCCACACCCCTGGAACCCAAAGTGAGGCAGAGTTTTATCCTGGAACAGGACATGGCGGTAACTGGTGGAAGTGGCCTTCAGGCATCTGTGCAGGGTTTTTTTCAGGTTGCTATTTCCCTGTGGAAAAGACAAATTTAGACTTATTCTCTCTTTCAGAAAAGAGGCGATGATTTTGAAACTGTCTCCTTCTGGCTCTCTAACACATGCCGATTTTTGCACTGTTTGAAGCAGTACAGTGGAGAAGAGGTGAGAAAATCTTGATTATAAAACCAGCATGCTGCTCTCTCCCTGACCTTTTTAAAGAAAAATTTAAAAGCACAAAATGTGTTGACCATGTGTTGATGGGTCCAGTGGTGCACTCCTGTAATCCCATCTACCCAGGAGGCTAGGACAGGAAGATCCAATATATGGGAGGCCCTTGGGTTCAATCCCCAGAATTGGGGGTGGTGAGGGGGGAACCCTGGTGTTAATTTCAAAACCCAAATTCAGAAGTCGCTTAGTTCGGTGTTTTGTTTGATGTTGCTTACCTCCCAAACAGTGCACTGAGGAACGGGGACATTTCCTTTCAGAGTTTATAAGAAAACATGGAGAAAGTAAAACAGGCAGGTTAGTCAGTGAGCAGTTACCTCAGATGGGACTTTCTGTCCGTGCATTGCAGAGAACTGTGGAGTATACTGGAGTATACTAGAATGTGTTACTATGTAAAGAAAATGAGTTTCGGCCTGCGCAACCCTCAGAGATGAGACCTAAGTATGAAGGCTTATGTGTCTTTTGATGTGTCCTAAAACTTCTACTGCTTTAGTGTGTAATGCAGTTATTTGGTACACATCAATGTATCTTAAAATTTTAGAAAATACAAATAGTTACTGTTTGTTAAGGGCTATATCTAGCTCATTGTACATTAGGTTATTTACGTGATTTAATTTGACAAATGCCCTGTGTGGTAGGAATTAAAACCCAGTGTTACTCCTGAAGCTCAGGGAGGCTCACTGACAGACTCCCCTGCACACTCGTGGGCCGGGGCCTAGCCTATGCCCGCTGCCTGCCCAGTCAGCAGAGGGAGAGGACTATCCTGCAGGTGACAGGGAAGGGGACTAGCCCAGCACCTGAGCAGAGCAGAAAGGCCAGCATGAACTGTGGACAGTCGCTCTCTCTTCCTGGTCCCTGCCGGAGACTGTGTCACTGACATTGTGCAGAGAGGCAGGTGATTGAGGGCAGGATCTGGACAGTTAGCAGTGGCATCCATCAGCCGGGCGAGGACAGGAGGGAGCATCTGCCTGGACACCACCACCTGGAGGCCATTCTCACCTCAGACTGGAGGACCAGACATCGGTGTGGTCGCCAGTGTGATGAGAGGAAACGTCTTGTCTATTTAGCAGTCTCAGTACCAAGTGCCCTCTTCCAAGCAGATCATGCATGCCCTTGGTGCAGCAGTCGTGAACAGGAAGGAAAGCAGATGACTGTCATGTTTGCTACAGATCTGCCGCTTCCTAACACACATGTTCCTCTTTTCTTTTTCTTAAATCTCCCACCTTGTTTTGTTGATTTTACTGTTGGAAAGGCTCAAGGGCTAGTCTGCCGAGTTTGTCAGTGACTTACAGCTTGGGAAGGGAATGACAGATGCAACCGCAGCACAGCAACATTAGAGTACTCTCCCGCCAGGTGTGTGGGGCGGATGGGAGCCCCTGGGAGAGTGGAGACTCTGCCTCTGCTCTGCGGGGCGATGGAGAGATGTGGTGCGTGTGTAAGTGTGCACAGCCTGGTACAGTAGACGACCATCCCCAAGAGCAGTGAGTTGAGTGTATCTGAGGGAAGGGGGAGGCAGTTCAGCCAGATTGATGGTGGTACATCTTACCGTCTTATGTCTTACTTGTGATCCGTGTTACTTAAGCATTCACTACAGTTGTTGGTCACACTGGTTGATCAACCATTCATGGCAGTTCCTGTCAGAAGCACTGTGGTGTGTTCCTCCACCTTATTCACTGGACCTGACCCCCTGCGACTTCTGGCTCTTCCCAAAGTCAAAGTGGAAGGAAGTGTTTTGAGCTGATTCAGGACCTCCAGGCAGCCAAGACAGCCCTGAAGACGCTCAGGCAGACTTCAGGGCTGCTGCAGAGTGGCCAGAGTGACGGGAAGAGTGCGTGGGAAGCCAGGCAGAGCCTGTTGGAGAGTGCACCGCAGTGCATCTTTTAGTGCAGTAGCGCTTTCTCAGTGTCAGCATTCCTGTGTGTTCCAGGGCTTCATGAAGCACAACACTGCCCGCCAGAATGAGCACTGCCTCACCAACTTCGACCTGGCGGAGTACCGGCAGGTGCTGAGCGACCTGGCCATCCAGATCTACCAGCAGCTCGTGCGGGTGCTGGAGAACATCCTGCAGCCCATGATCGGTAAGGGCCTGCCTCTAGCCTGTGTACCCACGGAGACTGTAAAGTGGGAGGGTGATGCAGGCCCGCGGCAAGCCCGGAGCCCTTGAGCCTTGGCCACACTTAACTGATGTGCAGAGCATCGCTGCTTCCATGTGATGGAGACTACAGGCCCCGCCCTGGCACCAGAGATCCCACCTCTTGAGATGGGTCCTCTTATACCTGCCCAGTTTCTGAAACCACTCTGAGCTTTGGATTGAGGTCTCCTGTGCAGGGCATCCAAAAGGCCAGGGCAAGCCGAGGGGTCCAGGAGGCTGTGCTCTGCTTGGGCAGGCTCCTTGGCTGCGGATGGTCACTGGGGATATGTTGTATAGCTTCTGGAGATGTGCAGGGTGGTTTGGGGTGAAGCGGGGTCTCTCCTTAGCTGTGTGGCATGTGTGTGCACATGTGTCCCTCTTTACATTCCTCATACAGCTGTCTATATTTGCCCTCATCCTGGGGCTTCTCTTCTATTGTCCACTGATCGATTGCTCCTTTGGCATTTGTGGCAGTGTCACACTAGGAATTAGGAGCCGTGTGCACGTTAAAGATTGCTAATGTTTTTATTTTGGTACGGGGAATTGAACTCGGCACATCATGCTTGCCAGACAGGCGCTGTGCCACTGAGCTGAATCCCCAGTGCCAGAATGATAATTTGAATGTGTTGAACTTTTTAAAAACTTTTTTTTCGGGGCTGGGGATTTAGCTCAGTGGCATAAGGGCCTGCCTTGCAAGTGTGCGGCCGTGAGTTCGATCCCCGGTACCGATAAAAACTCTTTTTTCAAGTTACCAACAGTGGTGTCCTCAGGCAAATTCTGAGCAGGCCGTTAGAGCTGCCACCAGCTGGCCTTTCTTTCCCCAAAGTGCTTCATTATTCTGCCTCAGGACACATAGTATTCCTTTCTTTTGTGGGCCTAGTTAAGCAACGAGAGACACAGTACTGAGGAATCCCTACAAGACAGCAGTGATTTCTTCCCTGCCCCTGAAGGTCAGGAATTTAGAGCTATCTGGGTCAGCCAAAGCGCAGGAGCTAATGCAGAGGCCAGGAAAGGGCTTGGGCCAGTGCCACCTCTGCTGCTATCCCATCTGCCTGGGTCTCACTGGGTAAAGTGGCAGTGCAGCTCTAGGGCATCCCTGGGCTCCCCGCCAGCAGCCATCTGCCAAGGGCAAGTGTCTGCGACCCTTGGATGACAGGGAAACGAGGGTTTGCACAGCTGATGTAAAGGCGCACCAGTTGGGCTGGCACTGGGGATACTCCTCAGCCAGCCTTAGGAGGCTCACCATGTGCGTTGGGACCATCTCCAGCCCTGCGCCAGCGTGCTCCTCAGGTCCCTTTTCTCCGGATGTACCATGCTCCACTCCCAGGCACCACCCTGTCCCTTCTTTCTTGTCTGTCTGTCCTGGGAGTCAGTATGGAGAATGCTTGCCTTAACTTTGATACCTCTCAAAAACCTGCCCAAACAACATGTGTTTGTGCTATCAGGAAGCCACTGGCCCTTAGGCTAGAAAATACTGTGAGAGACGTAATGTCAGGTCAAGGCCATACTTAATCATCCAGAGCTCCTCCAGGGGAAGCCCTTCCCTCACTGACTCCCAGTCCAGGCCTATGTGTGTGCTCACACACGGGCTCCCTTGCCGTAACGGCTCGCTCCCTACAGTCTCAGGCATGCTGGAGCACGAGACCATCCAGGGCGTGTCTGGCGTGAAGCCCACTGGGCTGCGGAAGCGCACCTCCAGCATCGCCGATGAGGGCACCTACACACTGGACTCCATCCTGCGGCAGCTCAACTCCTTCCACTCGGTCATGTGCCAGCATGGCATGGACCCCGAGCTCATCAAGCAGGTGGTGAAGCAGATGTTCTACATCGTGGGGGCTGTCACACTGAACAACCTCCTGCTGCGGAAGGACATGTGCTCCTGGAGCAAAGGCATGCAGATCAGGTGGGCGGCCCTCGGGGGAGACGCAGCCGAGCCCTGGCCTGGGGGGGCACTGGGATATGAACTGCAGTCTGCTTACTCCTGTGTATCAGCCTGCAGTAGGACAGGACACAGGGCAGTGAAGGCTTCCAGTGTGTGACTGCTCTTGGAAATACACTGCAGCAAAATACCTTTTGTACTAAGGAAAGAGGAACAGACCCTGTAGATGTTTTACACCACTCAAATATGCCCCCACTGTGTTGTTAAAGAAACTGTCTATCGCGGCCAGGGATTTAGCTCAGTGGTACAAAGCCCACTTGCCAGGCACAAGGTCCTGAGTTCGATTCCTGGGACTGAAATGCTGCCCTCTAGCATAACCTCACTGTAACTGAGCTGGGGGCTTAGGGAAATATTTACTTTAAAGCATGTTCAGAGTGGGAGGGAGGTGATTCCTACAAGTGTTTAGGGACTCACTTTCAGGACAGTGTCCTTTTCACGTTCCCTTCCTGATCTGCGGACTTGTGGTTACTAAGGTAAGGCTTTCCGTTCAGGCAGTGTCAGAAGGCCTCCTGTTTGCCTGGGACTGAGCTCCGATTCTCCAGTTGGCTTAGTCTGAGTTTGTGACCCGCTGTCACCTGACTGGCCACCTCCTGACACCTTAGCATCCAGTACACTGGCACTTTGTCTCTGCCAGCAATCCTCCCATCTGTCCCTGGGCCTCCTCAGGCCACCGTCTCTCACCTTGGCCCTTGGTTAAAGAGGCTGGAGTGCAAGTGTCCGTGGTCACTCCACTTCTGTATCAGATCCCACACCCTCAGCTTAAAGGATGAGGGTTATTTGGCCCAGAGTTTCAGGAGTTTCTGTCCATGGTTGGCCGGCTCCAAGGCAGGAATATCATGGCAGAAGGGCCTGGGGGAGTGAAGCTGCTCACTTCACAGCAGCTCACAGGGAGTGGCACACCTGCCTTCAAGGTGGACTAACCCTCAAGGTGGTCCCTCCTCCTAGTTGCACGGTCCGCCCTGAGCACCAGCAGGTTACCAGTGACCAGCGCAGCACCCCGTGATTCAGCCCCCTTTCCAGGTCTCTCTACGCAGCAAGCTGACAGTGAAAGGGACTGGGGCAGTTATTCGGTCTGGGGCTCACCTTGGGGAGAATGCTAAAGGATTCCTGAGCCTCATCCTGAAATTATAAGAGACGCTAGCAAGTGTGTCTGTCAGCTGGCCAGGAAGGACAGCTCTCTAATATGATTCAATTGGTTTCAGCAAGTCTGAGAACTTCTACTGGGAGAAGTTCATTGTCATCCCTGTTACAGTTTCTTGTCAGTCTTACATAATTGCGATTATAAGCCTCATGACTATTTATAATGACAAATTTCTAAGCACAGCTGATTAGGCTTAAGAAAATGGAAGAAAAATACTGCCTGTCATTCTAACTGACAAGGCCACTCACACAAAATGCAGGTGTTTATGACATTGTTCATCAAATTTTATTCTCCTCTGCCCCCACCCCGTGTCTCTGTCTCTGTCACAGGTACAATGTCAGTCAGCTGGAAGAATGGCTCCGTGACAAGAATCTGATGAACAGCGGAGCCAAAGAAACCCTGGAGCCGCTCATCCAGGCTGCTCAGCTCCTGCAGGTGAAGAAGAAAACGGATGATGACGCAGAAGCCATCTGTTCCATGTGCAACGCGCTCACCACGGCCCAGGTAAGGCGCCTGCCCATCAGTACCGTGCCACCACCACGCGGTGCTCCAGAGGGCTCAGGAGGCCTCTGGTAACCTGACTTCCTCTGTGACAGAGAAGGCGCGCCTCCCCAGGCCTGGAGTGAGGGAGATCCTCCTAGAAGTGAGTGGAAGTTAGTGCGAGTCACAGAGGTCTGCGGCTAGGGTGCAGGCAATGTTGTGCCTGTGTGTGGTGCGTGGTTTCCCTTTGGTAACGGATGACCTTTTAAGACTTTGCTCTTTTAAAGCAGATAGTTCATGTTCCTTCAGTTCTAGAAGTGACTCGCTAGGAGCCCGTCTGCAGGCACCATGCTTGTTGCTGAGGGCAATGTTCAGTAACTAATGAAAAGTATTTGCCCTCAAGGAGCTTCCAGTTGAGTAGGGAAGACAAAGATGTATCTGGCAGACTCTACTATAAAGCTTCCAGAACATTCTGTAGCCAGAGGACTAGCAGAAGGGCTGAGGGTGACCGCAGGTAGCACACTGAGTGTGCAGTTTAGGAAGCATTAGAAAGGCAGCCCAGCCCTTCCACTGTAGCATTGGCACGAATGTGCCAGTTCCTTTTGTGCTTGTCCTCTGTGCTGACTCCTCAGCTCACTTAATGTCGTCACTTATAGCAGAATCTCAGATTGTGACCCATGTCATAAAACTCAGTCTGTAGACAGTTGGAATCTTATCACATGAGAACAGTGGGGACTCCTACTGCTGAAGTATCTCTGCTTTACACAGAAGGTGGTTTGTTTTCCTCCAAAAGGACGCATGACAATTGCACGAAAGAAATTAATTTGACAACTTAAATGATCTTCTTTCCCTCTAATTAAAAATTGGTTAATTTTTGAGAGCCTTTTTGTTATGTCATTTATAATAATGTATCTTTTGTAAAAGTATAGTTTTTAAAAAGACCAAAAGAAATATATAGTTCTGTTATGGTTAATATGACAGATGTATTTTGTGTGAACAGAGCACATGCTGGCATTGCCTCCCTGCACAGTGTTCATAAAGAGCACGTGTTTCTGTGAAAGTAGCCTGAGCCAGGGTGCAGCCCCACCAGGGTCCCGAGGACAGGTGCTGCTCTGGGAGTCCAGGGGTGGAGCAGGCACTTCTGCCTTTCATGCTGTACAGTGAGTCCCTGCATCCAGAACATTCACATGGAGAACTTTCGCAGCATACTATGCAAGACTCACTTTGTTGACTTGGGAACAAATGTGATTTACGAACAGTTCTCCCGAGTGGAGAGGGACTCACTGTAGTCTTAGTATTGCTTGAATGTTTTTCTAAACTTCTGTTGCTTCTTAAAATCACATGCATGTGCTCTGCTAATAGGTGTCTTGTAAAGACGGTGTAGAGGCAAAGGTGCCCCGAGCCCCGCCTCCCAGGCAGGATTTGGAACTCCCCGGGGTGTTTTTGACAACACAAGCAAAACTCTCCTCATCTCTTCTCTCACAGATTGTCAAAGTATTGAACCTGTACACCCCAGTCAACGAGTTCGAGGAGAGGGTCTCCGTGGCCTTCATCCGAACCATACAGGTGAGCGGCCCATAGTGCACACTCCGGCCTGCCGTGGCAGTCGCGCTTCCTCGGTGGTGCTGGGCTCGAGCCCAGCTCCTGCATGTGCCAGGCAGGCCCGACCACGCAGCTGCAGCCCAGCCCGGGGCCCCTGACAGTTTGCTGTATTCTGCAACAGTCTGGCTAAGTTGCCGGCTGGCTTTGAGTTTGTGATGCTCCAGCTGCAGCCCGAGTAGGATGACAGGCAGGGCCTCGCACTTGCTGGACACAGGCTTCGGAATGGAGATTTCATGCCATTAGTGAAGGACTGTGTTTTTGTTGTGTGTTACGTTATCGTGGTCACAGTACAGTAACTTCTTCGGGAATAGTTTATTCAGTCAGTGAAGTGATTTGGAAACAAAGATAAATACCCCTCATCAGTTGAGGATATTTTGGTAGCAGTCTGGTGGAAATAGTCCTTCAGACTTGAAGAACTGATGCCCTGTTTCTTTTTTTTTTTCTATCTTCTCAGATGCGTTTACGAGACAGGAAGGACTCCCCTCAGCTGCTCATGGATGCTAAGCACATCTTTCCTGTCACCTTTCCCTTCAACCCATCCTCCCTCGCCTTGGAGACCATCCAGATCCCCGCCAGCCTGGGCCTGGGATTCATCTCACGGGTCTGAGAGTGGTGAGCTGGCGGGTGTGGACAGACAGTGTGGTGTTGCCTAGATGAGAACCTCACTTCCAGTGAGCCACGGAAGACACCTTCCTAAGCAAAAGTACTGCTTAGCTCTCAAACAAGAAGGTAACTGGAAATCCCCTGGAATTCGCCCATCATCTCCAGTAAAAAGATGGGTTTCTTTGAGCCGTGTCATGCTGAGAGCAACACTCGTCCTCAGTCCGCCAGGTGTTCTGAGTTTCCATGTAACCCAACAATGGCAGGGAGGGAGGAAAGGAAAGAAGAGGAGGGAGCAGAGTGCATCTTTGCCTGCCAGCGTTTATTTTAAATCCTTAGCACTGCATTTAAGTAGATAAAAACATAAACTGTATATATATATGTGTATATATATATATGCACATATACATACACACACATGAGCTCTCATTAGGAAGATACCAACAAAGAACCTCTGCATGAAACAGAAAGGAAAGTGGCTACTGAATACATAACAGTTTAGGAATCAGTTATGTCAGTACCGCCAAACTGGATCAAAGAAATAAACTGGCACTATGTAAAGTAACTTGCCAAGAAGCACCCTCATCTCTGCCCTGTGACACAGAGATAACGGAGGGAAAGGCAGCTGGCTGCACAGCATAGGTGCCCGCTGAGCATCTGAAACTGCGGCTGCGTATCTTCTGACTATCAGTGGTACGCGCAGTTCCACAGTGATAAGCTTCTCCTACACCTGTTTACAGTTCAGTCAGTTCTACCTGGACTTTATGCAAATGCCCACAGGTTCACCTGCAGAAGTAGCAGACACTGGGATGTCCTCCTGTAGATATGAGAAAATGCTTGATAGCTAGGTGTAAGATTCACACAGTGGTGAAGCTGATGTCACTATTTATTTGAGATGTGTTTCGTTGGTGGGTGTGTTAATTTCCTTGGCTGGTTATCGCTTCTGGGGCAGTGTTCTGTGTAGTAACTTATTTTAGTTCCTTGCTCTGATTCTTGCAGTACATATTTTCAACCTTGACAGGTTTCTTTCCTTTTCTTAATTTATTAAGAATTAATCTCAGACATTATCTAAAAAGAATTATCAGAATATTCATAATTCAGGTCTTAAAACTTTGATTATATTATAAATTATGCAAAGAAAGTGTATAATAAATAGTTATAATTCAGTTTTTTAAGGTTCAGAAATGTCTATAAATGCCACTAGGTACTTTAAGAAACATTTTGTTAGACACATCTTAAAACATACAAGCTAAAAGATTGTTGAGTTTTACAGAGGATTTGGTTCAGTAAGATCTAGGTTTTTAAAATTAATTTCATTGGTACATTTCAGATATATATAATATTCATCATAAGGAATTTATGCCTGTACATAATAAGTCTTGATTCTTTTTTTCCCCAATCCCCACCATTCCCTTCAACCCAGGTCTATATTTTCATTCTGAAATTCTAAACAAACATATTCTCCATTTTACTCAGAAACCTTTTGCAGTACCTCCTTCGGGTTGTACAAAATCAAGTCATTAGCTTTCATTAGAAATTCCAGCTCTAAAATACAGTCATAGGTTTCTGTGTTTAACTGTTAGCCTATAAAAATGACATCTTATTAAAATACATGCAATATTACTTATGGAAGTCAAATAGTTTCAAGTCAGTGATAAAGATTGTTATTAAAAGGTTCGTGCTGTCTCTTAACTTATTTGAGCCTCAGTCTCCTTTCAAAAGATAAGAAGAGTGGGAAGCTGGTTCCAGAGGTCCCCCTGTGACCCCTCGTGGGCCCTGGAGAGCAGAGCCGCACCACCACCCCGCCCCGCCCCTGGGCCCCAGTGCACAGCGCCCACCACCCTTCCAGTTCCCAAGAGGTAGCACCACACGGTACATAGCTGGCAGCCTTTGGCTGTGTTCACGACTCAGACACGTGCGTTTTGAAAGCCCTGCTGTAGCTTTCACTGTGTTAATTTCATCCAGCTGCGTACTGCTGTCCTCCGGGTCCACGCTTGGGTTGATTGGCGGTGTCAGCACTGACTGCCCGTTCAGGTAGACCCTGCGCCTGCCCTTATCACGGGACCTTCTGTGAGCAGGGACTCTTGCAGTCCAAGAGCACATAGGTGGCAGTGTGGTGGAGGCTGCCCCCAGTGCTTGCCATCCTCCACAGTGCCCTACTCACCGTGTGTGGTGGGACTGGTGGTGTCCTGAGCCTTCCCCTATGTCAGGGTCCCCGAGCTCCCCCTGTGGTCGCAGCCCTGTTTCTCGTTCGCTGGGACCCGTGTCCTGAGGTACCTCATCCCTGTCTTCAGGGTTCCTGCTGCCCAGTTCTGGGGTCACTGTCCCTTGCCTGGGCGCCCTGTGCCATTTCTTCTGTTCCAGGTTGGGGGGGTGACATCTCTGCTGTCCCAGGGCTGCACCTTCCAAGGCCTCCCCAGAGCTCCACTTAGGGATCCGAAGTAGCTTCTCTGAGTTGCCTGAAAATGTCCAGTGGTGGCGAGAAGCCTTCCAGCCTGGACCCGGGACCTGGCCAGCAACTGTTCCCTTGCTGGCAGCACCGGGGGTCCTCTGGCCAGGGTGGGGCCTGCCCACCTTTCCTGTTGCCCACCTGCTCTCCACACTTCTGCCTCCTCCTCAGCACACTACCTCCCTGGAAGGAGGCCACGGGGTCTCATGGCAGCTGCCCTGCACACACGCTTGTCCTCTCTTTTTGCAGCCACATCTGCTTTGACATGAGAGCTTACCCTTCTCTGGCACACAGGGCAGAGCACAGGGAGACTTTGTCCTGGGATGCAGGGGACTGAACCTAGGCCTTCATGCCGAGCCACAGCTCTTTGCCTCCCACCCCTTCCCACATCCCTGCCAATCCACTGCCCTCAGCATAGGCTCCATGGGCCCCTCACAAGACGGTGAAGAACAAGTGGGGAACGTGCCCCCCAAAGTGGAACCTCATGCTTCTCGCTGAGTGCCTGACACCACCTTCTTCAGATGCACCCGCAGTCTGTGTCACTTTGGGGGATGGGTTTTGTTGCCCTCAGCTCGGAGGTGATTGAGAGCTTGCCATTTATGGGCAGTGGTGCTGGATGCAGCTCAGGGAGAGGATGTAGCTGGGAGACTCGAGGCAGGATCTCGGCAGTGTGATGATAGAAGAAACCACTTCCTGTTACCCCAGGAAAATGGGCCCCGCAGCGCTTCTGAGGGGTCCTTACACCACACACATTCACTCACACACATGCACACGCCCTTGGAGGACCCGGGAATACAGTCACTTTCTGTAAGGCCCCGGCCTAGAGTAAATCAGAAAGCAGCACCCGGCGCCCCCTGGTGGCCATCATAGCCATGTCAGGTGCTGGGCTCAGGGGTGCCTTTGCCCTTGCCAGTATCGCAGTCTGATGGGCCTACCGAGGTCACCTTGCAGTCTTCTGTCCCAGGAGCCCTGAGCTTGGTGCACAGTGACCAAAGCTGCAGGCCACTGTCCCCAGTCACACCCTGCAGAGCCACAGGTGAGGTCGGGCCACCCTCTCTGTCAGAGAGCTCAGGGCAGGTGCAAGTGGCCATGGGTGTGCTTAGTGTCAGGGAACAGGACCTCAAGCACTGGCATGCCAGGGTGCATGAGGACATGCGTGCACCTCAGGTGGGAGCAATTGCAGCCCCAGGCGTGATGGACCCATGTGGTGTACACATGCACATGTGTGTGTTAGCAGATGTGCCAGGAGTTCAGGTGTGCGTGTCAGGGGCATGTGTGTCACCATGGCTTCTGTCAGGAGGAGTGCACAGCTGGTTCTCAGGTGCCATCAGGCCACCTCCCCTGTCCATCCTTCTCCAAGCTGCCTCACATCCCCGCCGGAACCAGGCCACTCCCCGTTCCCCTCCTGCACTACCTCCTCTCCCGTATCTTTTCCATCTTTTCTTGTCATCTGCAACATGGCCAGCACCAGTGCTGCCACCTGGAGAGCCCCGAGGTACTGAGGCTGTGTCACCATGAGAGCAGTCCGGCCTCACGGATGCCTCGTTTCCCAGCAGCCCTTTCTTAAGGAAGTTGGAGGCACCAACCCTAAAACTCCCCATGGATATTCTGTAAAACCTTTCTAAGGGGTGTCACAGTGTAGAAGAGAACAGGCAGAAAGGAGTTGCTGTAATGTATAGTTCATTGTGTTACCCTGGACGGAACAAATTACCCTGGAATTCAATCAGGAACTGAAAAGTGCAATGTAAAATATCTCCCAAAATGCATTTTCTACATTTTTTATTTTGTAATTTGGTCTAGCTACAAATGTTAGTTAGTTGAACTTAATAGATATTATTCATGAAAGGTCTGAAAATAACCAAATTTTTTGGTGTCGTAATATTGCTTGAAATGTTGGAAGATGTTTACCGTTGAAGCCGGCGTGTCTGCTCTTCCGTGCTGCGGAGATCAGCACCTTTCCCGCGACCTCAGAGTCAGTGCTTTCACATGTCCTCCTGTTAGTGTGTGAGAAAATTTTAGCCTCTCTATGTCATACCTAAGCCATTATGTTTTCCCAAAACTGGTGAGTTTCCCTTTAAATGTGGATATGTAGGCTGTAACTTATGATTTCTAGTCATATGTTTTTGTGAAGTCTTGGGGTAACATTGACCATTTTTACATTCTTGGAAAATTTAAATTGCTCCAACAGCTGCACAGAATCCCTGCCGTGTGACACACACTGTATTTAATGAAATAACCATATTTATTAATTGACTGTGAAATGGAGATAGCTTTTAACTGTAATGAAACCGAACATTGAGTTTTCCAGGATTTTTCCTCCTCGTCGGATGTGGACAGAGCCCTGTCGCCACCCAGAGATCTTCGAAGCTCCCAGGTGAAACAGCCAAGCCCAGAAGAGCAGGAGGTGGCCAGGGTGAGGCGGGACTGGCCCAGAGCCTGGTCTTTGCTAGGAGAGGTCACTGATTTACCTCGTGTCTGCAGAAGCCCTGAGACCCGGCTTCCATGGATGCCCCTGTGTTAACTAAAAACCAAAACAACACCCGGGTGACGCATAGCCTCCGAATCTGTAGTTGTCGAATGTGGTGCTTAGTGCCTGTATCCCCAGTGCTGTGTTCCCCTGTTGTAAAGAGTTGTTTAATAAAAGAACGGTACAAAGGCGGCGTGTTGGTGTCCTAGGGAACCTACTGCACACTTTAAAACCGCCGCACAGATCGTTCTTCTGAAGTCCCGTGATGTAAGTGACCCTTCCTCATGGCCATGTGCTCGGAGACTTGGAAATTTAAAAGTTTGCCCTCAGAGTTCCCCTGGAACATAGGCAGACACACTTGATAAAGCAGACCAACACCACTGAGGAAAGGCAGCTGTTTCGTTCAAACAGAGCCGTGCCAGACATCCCAGACCCTTTACCGGGAGGGCAACCCTGCCGCGGGGGTGGACACTGTGGTCTGGCCAAAGCGGGAGCTCTGGTTTGCACCGTGGCTCTGCTGGAGTGCGGTGGGGTGCAGGCAGAGCGTGGAGCAGCAGAACTGTGACAGATTCAGGCCCCGCTTACAATGTGGCCATGTGTGTGGTCACTGCACACTCCCCTTCTTCGTGCCCTGGCCAGTCATTCATTGAACTCCTGTTTTAGGGACCTTCCTGGATGGAGAGCAGTATCACGACTAAGTTTGGTCACTGGCCCCTTGGACTGCAGCCTGGTGGGACATCAGGGTGTCACAAGTGATGAAATGCCAGAATTTGGGAAGTTTCTTCTGCCAAACACATTGAACTGAGCCGAGCTGAGGTAACCTCTCCCCGCCAAAGACCGCTCTGAGCAGTGCTTTTTCGGTGATGGCTGAGATTCTCTGAGCACTTGATAAAAATGCAGCTCAAACTAGCCCGAGCAGGAAGGAAAGGTGTCCCCTGCGTAACCAAAGTGCAGGGTATCTGCTTTGCCCTTGTCCCTGACCACGTCTTCCCTGGGCAGTGGTAGCAAGGGTGACACTCAGGAACGAGTGGCTCCATGCAGTGCCTCTGCCTACTGGCTCTTTCCGGACCCTGCCAGGGAGGTATTCCACAGCGGAGCTCAGTGACTGCTTTGCTGTCCTGAAGCAGAGAACAGAGGGTGCACGTCTGCTGCTGTGCCACCTTGGGCAGGGGCGGGGGAGGGTGCCATGGCTACTGGGCTCCCTGGGTGGTCACAGCAGGGCAGGGAGCACACAGAAGTGGGTGTGCGAGGTGTCACTGGGTAGGACTACGAAGGGGAGAGACCGAGGATGTGGGTTCCACCCGCCGGGCTCTGGGACTGCACTGCTGGACCCAGGTGTTTTAGTCAGGGTTTGCAAGGGAAGACATTTAGTACAGGACACGTGATTTAGAGGGTTATTTTATAGTAGTCACCCAAAGAGTCAGACACAGAAGAGTGTAGGAGATCTGTCCACACACTAGACACCCAGAGAACCCAGCGGAGGGCCCAGATCCCACAGCAGTGTCCTGCACAAGTCCAGCTGAAGGCCTAGAGCCCATGACAATGTCCTATGCAAGTCTGTATCAAGGATCTCCACTGGGAAGGCCCAAAGATCAGCAGTGGAAGCTAGAAAGTCTGTGCCAGTAGGGTGAATGGGCTATGCTGGAGCCAGGAAGCAATGCTCCAATAAGGAGCAGGGCTCTGATAAGGAGCAGGGCTCCCCTTACAGAGAACCGCAGCCATCCTCCGGGAGGGCCGGAGCTTCTCCGAGGACAAGAACAGCCCCATTCTTACCAGGAAGCCACTGTGACAGTCTTCTGGAGATCAACAGCACCGTCTCCCAGTTCTCTTCTGATGCTGTTGGCAGTGGTCCTCAGGTGGGCCCTGCACACCCAGCATCACACTGACTCGGGTCAGCTGGGTGTTCCAAGGTGACCTGTAGTTAATCCTCCACGCAGGGGAGAAAACCGTAGAACATCACTCAGCTCACCTGGCCAAGTCAGCAGGGAGTGAGAAAGGCTCAAAAGGGGTGGAAGGTGTGGAAGGGACCCTGGCGCTAGAGGGGGAGGGGACGACTGGTACAGGTGGTCCCTGCAGGGTGACAGTGCACAGCCAGAGACGCAAGGACGGACGGACGGGAGGAGGACGGGCCTTGTCTGGCGAAAGCTGCCTGTGGCAGGAGCAAAGCCTGAAGCTTCTGTGGTGACAGCACCCAAACAAATGTGGTCACTTCCTGAGCGCGTATTCTTCAGGAAACTTAGGGTTTGTAGAGAGTTAGGTCAGCAACAAGGTGAAAGAAGGCAGCTGGATGATCTCAGATCTTCAGCATACAGCGTGGGGGAATACACGATTTATAAGGACAGGACTCGGGGAGCAGCCTGTGTGTGGGGTGGTCCCATTGACAGCCAGGTGTGGAAGGAGGGGCTCCTTTGTGTGGGCAGGGACAGGGAGCTTTTACATGCTGTCTCGGGGACATAGACGACGGAGGAACATGCAGCAGGGTGGTGGGGTGGTCATAAAAGCGAGATGGGCAAAGACAGGCCAAGTGTCATTTATTTAGTTTTGAATTTTTGAAACGGGCTCTCACCATGTAGCCTATGCTGGCCTAGAACTCACAGCGATCCTCCTGCCTCAGCTTCCAGAGTGCTGTGATTACAGGTGTGCTCCACTCGCCCGGCTTATTTCTCACATTTTGAAAGTGGACTTTAGAGGTTCTGCTTCTGCTGCGCTGGTAACAGGAGCTCTGGTGACCGCTTCCTCAGTGAAAGTCACTTTTAAACACTTTGCACCCCATTCACAGCCTCTGGATAGGTACTGTGCATGCATCCCGGTACCTCTTCATCTCGTACTGCAAACCTGGGCTAATGAAGTTCAGCAGTGAGGCCGAGGATGAACAGCAGCGAAGCATTCACCACACATGGACACAAACCCTTGAGCTGGTGCTGCCTGAACCCAGAAGCAACCTCCCTGCTCTCCAGGGTGCCAGTGGGCCCCAGTACCTGGCCTAGCCACCCGTTGCAGACACTGCCCAGCCCTGCCGTGGCCCACAGCTCCACCTTGGATCAACATTGCTGAGGACACGGGACCTTGGGCTTCTCTACTCAGGCTTCTTGGGTGCTGGGTTCCTGCTAGGAAAGGCCAGCCCTGCATCTGGCTCCCAGAGCAGGGTGTCACCCAGAGAAGCGGCATTGTCCCCGAGGCTTCTCCTGGGAGCAGCATGGCATAGACGTTTCCCACTGGGGAAATGGACTGCCTCAATGACAGAGTCCAGAGAAGCTGCTGTCTGAGGCCACCCAGGGCCGTGGGCGGGTAGGGGACGGGATCGGGAGCCAATGGGCTCCCTGCCGGAGGAACACACTAAGTAGGTACTGTGGGCCAGGGGGGGCACAGTTGAGAGGGGGTCTCTGTGGGCTGAGGACGGGTCTCAGTCAGTGATCCTGAGAGCTGTCCTTCCACAGGACCCCACGCCGACTAACTTGCTTCAGTCTGTGTGATACTGGTGTCCTGTGGCACTGATGAAAAGGCAGAGCACGGGGGAGGCAGTAGCAGACTCCAGCGACCTGGAACTGGTGGGCACGGTTGGGTTTGGTAATGGGTTGGTGGAGATGTCATTCTACCCTTTAGACTAGGAACACTGCATGTTTGTATTCTTCTTTTAATTGAAGAATTCTTACTGATGCCCACTGGCCATACGTGAGACTACATGCACCATGGGAAGCAGGTTCACATCCCTAACACATGGTCTGTTCTCTCTTTTTGTCATTGTTTTTGTTTTTGGGTTGGCTTTGTTGTTGTTTTGTTTTTGTTTGTTTTTGTACTGGGAATTGAACTCAGGACCTTGCACTACCAGGCAGGCGCTGTGCCGCTGAGCCACATCCTCGGCCTGATCTGGTCATTTTTAAACAGCAAATTCAAGCCCACTTCCTCTACAGCAACAAGGACCAATTCCCACAATTAATATGTTGTATTATCAGAAACGCTCAGTACCAACAAAATTGTGAGATGCACAAAGAAACAGGAAAAGCTGACCCAGGGCTGGGGAAATTAGGCACCAGGAACTGAACCTAAGAGTAACCAGCAGTTTCCGTTAGCAGCTTGAGAACTGAGAGGAGAAGGAAGGGGACAGGACTGAAGCACACACTGGTTTGGGACGGAGAGGTGGGGGAGTGGGGCCGTGTGGCCGCTGTGACGCACTGGAATTGCACATGAGGTGGATATGCGCTGTGTGACCACGAACTGGGGTTAATCACAAGTGTATCCCAAACTCTAGGGCAACCGCCAAAGGAAAAGTTTAAAATAGAAGTTTAAAATTGCAATGCAAAAAAGGAGCAAAGTGCCGTAATAAAGTGTTCAGAAAAAGTGGGAGACGAACCCGGGATGAAGCCACGCAGCAGCCATGCCATAACCTGGCACTTGTCACACCAACGCTGCCCTCAGCATGGGCATCTATGCCAACCAAAAGGGCCTAAGGGCCGGGCCAAAAACCCCAATGTCGTCTGCAGTGTGCTTCCACCCGCCACACAGCCAAAACTCCTGAAAAAGCGAAAGTCAGAGGCCTTGCACTTCCTGCTTTCAAAATTTACCGAAAAGCATCAGCAGCCCAGGCACTTAGTGCCACTTAGTATGGTACCAGGGTTAGGTGCGAGGCACACAGAGGTGCCATGAATAGAGAGCGCAGAAGTAAACTACATCCACCCATTTCCGGCCGGAGTGCGAAGGGAAAGGACAGTTTTCCCAACACATAGCTATGGGCCTCAAAAGAAAGCATAGGGATAAATCTTTGTGACCTCGGATTTTAGAGCTGACAGCGAAAGAAAACACAGGTAAGACACACTGGGCCTCGCCACAGTCTGAGGGTGCCATGAACCACGTGAAAGGTCGCTTCACAGAGTCGCAGAAGGTATCTTCGAATTACACACGTGATGGCGAAGTCACATCTACAATATATAAAGTACAACTGCAAAGAATAGGAGGGAAAACAACGAAGACGTCTGTAAATGCAGGTGTGGGAAGGGCCGAAGGAGGGGATGGGAAGGAAAGAATTAGAAGAATATCCACAGGTACAATTCCTCTGAATGTGAGCATTGTGTATGACAGACACGTGCTAATAAAACTTGTTTTAAAAAGAACAACTGTGAATCAATAATAACCCAACCGAAAAATGGGCAAAAGATCTAAGTAGACATTTCCCCAAAGAAAACACAGAGTCACTAGTGCATGAGAAAGTACTTGGCATCATGCTCATTAGAGAAATATGGATCAAAGTCACACCCAATGAAATGTCTAAAATTGAAATGGTAACCTTATGGGCAAAGACCTTGAAGGCTGGGGCTGTCAGACTGGAGTGCACAGTTCCACAGCTGGCCTGGAAAGCGCCCTGGCTGCTCTGCAGATGACCACAGAGCTCCCCGCCATCTGGCCGCCTAGAGACCCTGCGTGATCATAGCACCATGAGCAGATTGGTGTCCACATTCCTAGAAAGACACAAACTGACTGCACAGGAACTAGGAAGTCTGGGCAGATTTATAGGAGAAATGAGTGCTGGAGTTCTCCCGAGAGAAGCCAGCCTTGGGCAGCCTCACTGGCCGTGCTGACAGAAGAAGTAACACGGACACTGGGTCTTTCCCGAGAAAAGATCACGCACTGCCTGGGCCATTCCACCAGGCCAGCATTCCCTTGATGCCACGAGGAAAGCCAGACTCCTTCATGAGGACAGTCACGGGTGGAGCCTTCAGAGGGCATCACGAAAGAAACCCAGCGACATCTGGTGAGGTTCACATGCCACAACCAATCAGAATTTAGCCCAGTCCTCAAAAATCATCACCAGCCAAGTGGCACATGAACCCAAACTGCCAGCTACGGGGGGCTGAGGCAGGAAGGTCCCAAGTTTGAGCCTGACCTGGGCAACATGCCAACACCCTGTCTTTTAAAACTCCATTCAAAAATCAACTCACACAGCATTGGATCCACAGAATGGAGAGCAAAGACAGTCATCTCAGTAGGTACCGGAAAGGAGGCGTCCAGCATCCAGACCTGTGGACATGTTCTCAAGTGCGATTGTCCCGAGAAACAGGGTTCCTTGAGCTGGACACTGGTTTGTGCTTTCCTGTGATAGCTCTTGCTTGTTCTTTCTCCTCTTCCTCTTCCTCCTCCTTCTCCTCCTCCGCCGCCGCCGCCTCTGCCTCCTCCTCCGCCTCTGCCTCCTTTCTTCCTCTTCTTCCTCCTCATCCTCCAGGGTACCGGGGATTAAATCCACAGCCTCCACAATGAGCTACATCCCCAACCCTCTTTATTTATTTATTATTTTGAGAGAGGGTCTCCCTAAGTGACCAGCTGTTCTTCAGTAAAGCTTGTATTTAAATAGGAAAACATCTGAATTGCCTTCTGAGCCAGAAGCAGCTGGCCGCCGTCCCTCCCCACCATGGCTCTTCCCATCACATGTGGATGCTGCCGTGTGGCTGCACCCAGGCTCAGCTCTGGTCCACCCAGGCTTTCTGCCCATGTGTGGCCCCCGCTTCCCTATGGTCATCCCTCCCTCCCCATTGGCATGTGCTCCTGGGTGTTCAATGTGTGACTCCTCCACACCCATGCCTTCGTTTGCAGACGTCTATAGCCACGAACACTCTCAGTGGCGGCATCTTCACGGGCATCCAGGGGGACAGAAAGACCCAGTGACAGCGATAACCACGTTGCTGTCCATCTCCCACAGCCCACCCAAGTGGACCAGCCAATCCTGCTGCCTGCCTGTGCTTACCTTCACCAATCCTCCTCAACTGGCTCCGGGGAGCGGCACCTGCATGCGTGGAAGTTTCTGTTTCCTTGCACCCTAGACAGAGGAGCCCACCCCTTGTGTGTCTCTGATTGCCGAGGGGCAACCTGCTTCTCTGCTGGCCGTCATCTGGGCACCCTGCATCACTGCTCATTTCTTGTCTTTTAAAAAATTCAATATTTACTTTTTTCTTTAACCCATTTACAACAGTTTTTAACATACAGAAACAAGATTCTGGGGGTACTGATCAGTGGTAGAGAGTGTTAGGTGGAGCCCTTGCATTGCATTTGAAGCTCCTCAAAAACAATACAAACAAAATTACCATAACCCAACCAGTGACAAGGTGTCATTTGTTTAAAGGTGTGCGTGTGCACGCACTTGTGTTAATAGGATCTGAACTAGGGCCTTTGCACAGAGGCCCTGCCCTTTCTTACATATTTTTATTTTATGTATTTATCTATTTTTATCATTTTTGAGGCAAGGTTTCACTCTGTGGTTCAGGCTGGCTTCGAACTCACAGTGGTCCTCCTGCCTCAGCCTCCAGAGTGCTGCAATTACAGGTGTGCACCACTGCACCCTGCCATATTTTTATTGTGAGACTGGATTTTGCTAAATTGTTCAGGCCAGGCTGAAACTCAATCCCCCAGCCTCAGCCTCCAGCACTGTCCTGTGCCACTGTGAGTGCTGTGGAGGCCTTGGCTCGCCCTGGCTCCAGGAAGTCACCGCCTCACCTGCCTCCTGCACCTGCCCTCCCCACGGACCGCCCCTCCCTCCCCCGCCTTGAGGAGCAGAGCAGCAGCGGTGGGGACACAGGCCGGGCGGTGGCATTCGTCTGGGTCCCTGCGCTCCATGGCGGTAGCTGAGCTATACACGAAGGTAGGAAAAGGTGGGGTGATGACGATCCCTGCAGCGGGCGGGGCAGGAGGGGCTGCTGGTCCGGGTTCCAGCCCGCTGCAACCCAGAAGTTAGAAGCGTCCCTTCAGCCAGGCCTGGACAGGCGCGGGAGGTTTGGCCAGAGTCTAGCACTCTCTGCAGAGTAGCGTCTTGGGCAGGGCCGTGGTCCTCAAACTTCCCGGTGTGTGTGGGGGTGTGCGGAGGGTGCCGCCCCGCCCTGGGGTGAGCACACCTGGAGCAGAGTGGTAAGAGCAGCTTATGGGCGGGACAGCACAATGCCCAGGGCCCCGTGTGACCTCCCAGGGTTGAAGCAGACACCAATGGACACCATGGAGGCTGTTTGGGGCACTGCAGAGACCAGCTTGGGTCACCCCCCCAGGAGGAGGCCTGGTGGTGCCCACAGACCTGTGTCCCTCACTTCCCTCCAGCCCCCCAACCCTCCCGCTGCAGGTCCAGGGTGCAGCTGTCTGCACTGGGAGGGCTTGCTCTGCCTCAGCCTTCTACTGAAGGAGACGCAGCTGGCCACTGCCCTGTCCCTTTTCCAAGAGCCAGCTGCCTGTCCCAAGAGCCAGCTGCCTGTCCCGAATGAACCTCAGGTCGGGGCAGGGACACTGGGCACTGAGGTGGGATGTGACCCTGTGGTGGGCACAGGGGCTGGCGCAGCGGGTTCCTGTGAGTCGGGATTCCTGCGGGTCCTCCACCCAGCCCCAGGGGCTGCAGGCCACCACTCACTGTGGGACCAAGGTGGTCCAGCACTTGGGCTGTGCTGGACATGGGAGCCGGAGGGTCAGGTTGACCCTGTGTGAGATAGGACTGGGGCTGTGGTGTAGACAGGGACGCCCAGGCCAGGGACGGTGTGGCCAGGAGAAACAGGTGTCCCTGACGAGTCCTGGCAGGTTTCCCGCCAATGGGACGGGGACGCTGACGTGGCCAGCGGTGGCCAGGGCGCCTGCCCAGACGGAGTCACTGACACCCAGGCTGGAGGACTGAGCCCGGGACTGCTGGAAGGCTCTGTTTGGGGAGCCAAGGATGCTGGGGAACAGGGGTTAAGGGAGGGCAGTTAAGGGGTGCATAGTAACTCCACAGGGGCAGCTCAGGGCCTCAGGAACTGGCCCCAGCAGGTGCCGCTGGGATCAGGGAACCGGTCTAGCCACTCTGAGCTGTCACTCTCAGCCAGCTCCTGCCTTGGAAGTCCCACTCCAGGCTGGGGGCTCCCTCTGGCTGCTAGGTCCCTGCACTTCTGGTGCCACCAAGCGGAGCAGCCCTGGGGGGCGCTGGACATACATCCTCAGCTCTGCTCCTGTGGCGGCCCTGGCTCGGCCTGAGTACAGAATGCTGCACCTGGGTACAGAATGCTTGCACCTCGCACCCGTGTGCGCCAGGCCCGGCCTCGCACTTTGCTCTCCTCTGACCTTGTCCTCGTGCACAGCGGTGCAAGTCACACGCTATTGCCCTGGGTGGCACGTGGTGCCCTCGGGCCAGATTCAGAGGCTATGCCTTGGCCCTGCACCCCCATCTCCTGTCCTCTTCTTCCACATTGCCAAGGGCTCCAACCTCCCCCACACATGCAGAGGACTTGAGGATCTCTGTCTGCTTCCTGGTCACCTCCCCTGCTCCTCTGAGCCACAGTGGAGCTGCCACCCCACCCCGTAGGCCTGCAAGGCAGTTAGTGTGGGTGAAGAACATGTGTGTGTCATGTGAGAGGCAAGGATAGAACCCTGCACGCTGGGTCACTGCACAGCACATGTGAGCTGTGAGCTGGGGAGGGGTGGGGATGCTAACTGTGACCACAACAGTGGACTTGGCAAGGGTGGGGACCATGTTGCCCCAAGGGAGGCCAGCAGGTAGGATGGGGGGAACCTCGAGACACAGGGTGAAGGTAAAGAACAGAGTGGGGCAGAGTGGGGAGTCCAGGGCCTGGTGGCACTAGAGCCATGGTTCCACCTACCCCATCCCCAGCAGCCCCGTGTGCTGGGCCATGACCACTGTGGGGCCACAAGGTGCCCTGATTCCCATTGTGCTCCATCTTGGACTCGTGCTGGCCCTGCCCTTCCCTCCCAGTGGTGTCAGGCTCGTGCTATGTGCCCAGTGCCAATGGGCTCTGCGGGACCTCAGCACCGGCTGCGATGCCTCTGAAAGCTTGGGGTTCTCCAGGCCCTGTGCTGTACACCCCAGCATGGGCCTCTTGTTCACAAGTGGGTTCCCCTTTTCCTGCCATCCTGCGGGGCAGGGCTGAGTGGGCCCACGCTCTGCAGATGCAGATGCCCCTGGGGGGAGCCTGAGCTCCTCCACGGGCCGGCCAGGATCCCTGAGAGGTGATCCCTGGCGCCACAGAGCTGCCTGAATGGCTGAGCCTTGCAGGGACCCCTGTCGCGTAGGAGGCCTCAGGTACAAGGGTGGAGACACAGGGTCAAGGAAGACAGGAGAAAGGCACCAGGGACAGGGTGGTTAGGGATGGGCAGGTGGCAAGGTGGCTCCTCTGCTGGGGCCCACACCCTGGGCGTCCCTGTCCCGTGAGCGCTGGTCACTGTTTGTCCAGACACCAGGGTCACCCTGGCCCTGCAGGAGGAGGGGTGGGGTGTCCATGCTGCAGTGTGGCCCTTAGTCTTCTCGGTATTTGCTTACTGGGCTGGGCTTCCAGATGCCCGGCTGCACGGGGCAAAGAGACCTGTGTTACCAAGAGCCTTGTCACAGCAGGGAAGCAGACAGTGGTGACCTGAGTCCCAGACCTGTCCCTTTTTAACCAAATCAAACCCACAGCGGTGGCCAAGGGACCATGGTGCTGGGCCAGGGTCAGCCTTGGGCCAGCCCTCAGTCCCCGCCTCAGCCAGGAATATGGTGCCGAGGCTCTGAACCTCTCTACAGGGTGGGGTGGGGTGAGATGGGGTGGGGGGTGACCTAGCTCCCTGCCTAGCATCTCAGCCACCCCTGTTTCACGTGAAGCAAGTTTTGCAGTTTGCAAAAGTTTGACAAACAACTTGGAAGAATTTGCAAGGATCAGTTCTGAAGAATCTGTGGTGACAGCTGGGCATGACAGTGCACACCTGTAATCTCAGCTATGAGCCAGGCTGAGGCAGGAAGACTGCAAGTTTGAGTCCAACGTGAGCAATTTTGTAAGACTTTGTCTCAAAATCAAATGTAGGAAAGGCCTTGGAATGGAGCTCAGTGCAAACGCCCTGGGTTCAGCCCCCCTTCTCTCTCCCTCTCTCACATACACATGTGCGCACACACACACACACCCACACTTACCATAGCCAATTCTTGGTCGACTAAGATATGTCTTTCTAATGGCTTGAGCTTCGTGGTTATCACAGCTATTTTCCTAGCAGACCCGAGGCAGGAACGTGCAGCCCTGGCCACCAGGGTGTGTATCCAGCCACCAGGATATGTGTGGCTGGCTCGGGGCCGAGCTCTGCAGGGCTGCCTGTGTTTATGAGGCTGCTGTTCTGGCCCCCAGCCGCCTGTCACCACCTGCCACACCAGCTTTCTCTTGCTGCCCATCCCGTGTCCCCTCCACTGGCTGTGAAGGACTGAAGCAGCCCAGCGGCACCCCTGGGCAGACGATGGCCTTCTGTATTTGGTCATCTGGTAGTTTCCACTGACGGTTGGATGCGTTCTGCACCCCACACTGTCTCTGCACTGGAGTCCGGAACTCCGCCTCCTTATTCTGCATTTTCTCCAACATCATCATGAGAATTGAAGCACAAAGAAAAGTTTCACTAAGATTCACAGCAAGAACTGGTCCCCGCGCTGGAACTCCAGCGTGAGTGCGCCCAAGGCCTGTATGTGTCCTAGTCCTCTGCTCCTTCCACTGCCCACCACCCCAGCCTGCGGTCTGCCTCACTTTCCAAAGCAATTCACAGTTTTTGGTTTTGTTTTTGTCTTTCTGAGATGGGGTCTCCGTATGTAGTTCCAGCTGGCCTTGAGCTCACTGTGTCACCCAGGCTGGCCTCAAACTCTCAGTGATCCTCCTGCCTCAGCCTCCTGAGTACTGGGATTACATCACACCCAGCTTCCAAAGCATTTCAGAGCACTTTGCAGACATCAGTGCCCCTGCTAAGATTCCACTGTGCCTTTTACTTTCTCAAGTTCTGTATTTGGTTCCTACTGTGAAATTTGCAGCGAGGTGTCCGTTTCCAAAGCCTAGGTTGTGTGAGGTTTGCACAGTGCTTCCCATACCCGTCAGGGTCCAGAACACCACCATCACTCCCAGAAGTGCCTGAAGCACTGCTTCCTGCCTCGGGCAGTGCCTTCCCGGGTGTGCCCCCTTGAAGAGCCCACCCCACTGGGTCTGGGACCCTGCACTCCACTATGTCCGCCCTGCCCGTCTGTGTGGTACAGTTTTATTTGCCCAATCCTTGTCTTGTGTGGCCTCTGCACTTGGCAGGGTCACCATGAGTAAGTGGACGCTCCAGGCCAGCTGCCTGCCTGGCTGTGAGGACACAGAGGCAAATGGCAGTGTCCTTCCACATCCAACCCTGTGCCCATGTGCTGGTGCTCATTAGGGAGGATGGGGACACTTTTGCCAAGTGGGGCTCTGACTGTTGGAGCCCAAGTTCATGCTCCTGATAGCCACCCTGGGAATCTATGGGCTCAGCACTGAAGCAGGGACACTCTTCCTGCACCCAGTGGTATGCAGGTGGGAGGCAGGTGACCCTGCAGGACAAAGAGCAGGCAGGCAGGTGCTGCCTCTCTGGGGCTGAGGGTGACACCAGCACTGTCCTAGGGCCTGGGGATCCATCCAGAAGTCCCAGCCACACAGCACTGTCTCCTGCAGGGCTCCCCACTCCCCGAGGCCGGTGCACAGGGGCCTTGGGCAGGGTGGGAAAGTGGGCTCCTCCTGCTGATTCTTGTGTGGATACAAACCCAGACCTTATGGACTCCGTGGCTCATCAGATCTTGCCTGGCTCCTAGTGACCTGGTCCCTAAGTACGGTTACTGTGGGACTCGGGATACAGTTCCATCCATGGCAGCACAGGTATCTGGGGGTCCAGGCCCCAGGGGCCCCATACTCCCTCAAGATGGTGACAGCGTGGTTGCACAATTGCCATGCTACAGCCACACTCTCCTCTAACTCTGGCACCCTGCAGGCTGGGTGCCCATTTTGTGAATTTAAAAACTGAGGCAAAGTTAAGAGCTTGGCTTAGAGGCCCGGGCCACCTCAGGGAGTGATTCCCTGGCTCCAGCTCCAGCATGCGTGTCAGCCTTGTAGGGACGCGGCTCCTCCCACCCAGCCTCCAAGGTTGCTGCTGCAGGGTGCCCTACAGGTGAGGGTGAGGGTGTGGGGCCTGAGGGGACAGGAGTGGTGTCCCCTGCAGTTCCTGAGCCTCCGATCTGTCCTCAGTACAACAGGGTCTGGATTCCGGATCCTGAGGAAGTCTGGAGGTCGGCTGAGATAGTGCAGGACTACAGAGCCGGGGACAAGGTCCTGCACCTGCGGCTGGAGGATGGCACGGTGAGTGCGCTGCATGGGGTGGGGCAAGGGCTGCAGTCCTGCAAGTGCTGCCAGGGGAGGTGTGTGAGGGCTCCAGCCGTCCCCAGGCCTGTGCTGGCCCTGTCTCCTGGGCTCTCTGTCCGGGCACCAGCCCTCTGCTGTGTTTCCAGGCCCTCTGAGTGTCCTGGTCGCCTTCCACATTGCTGGGTCACAGCATCCCACACAACGGCTTAAAGGCAGGGAGATTCCTCTTGGCTCCATTTTCTCGTGGTTGAGAGCATGAAGGTAGCGCCCACACGGAGGAAGGCTGCTCCCTGTCCTGGTGGCTGTGGTGGCCCAGAGGCAGAGAAAGAAGGCAGTGGGAAGGAGAAGCACCCTTCCGGTCTCACCCCAGGTACTGGGGGGAAGATGGGCTGAAAGCAACTGTGTGCAGAACGTGTTGGTAGCCCGTTCCTCAGAGCCGCCAAAGCTTTAATGCTGCCAGCCTTGCCGAAAAGTCCAGGTCCTCTGAGACTCAGACAAACTGCTAGCTGTGAGCCCCTGAGAAATCAAAAAGAAAGTTAAACCCTGCCAAAATACCATGGCATGGGGTAAATGGTCCCATTCCAAAAGGGAGGAACAAAGGGACAGAAAGCAACAGGACAAAAACAAGACCAAAACCCAGCAGGACAAACATTAAATTCTATAGCTCCACCTCCAGCAAGCAGAGCAAGTTGCAGCAAGACACAGATTCCCAAAGGTTTGGGTGACCCTGCCCCGGGGCCTCTTGGGCAGGCTGCATTCCCTGCCTGCTGCCTCCCTCAGACAACCGGTGTTCCTGGCTTCTCCAGTGTCCAGGAGACACCGCTGCACCATCAGCTTCCATCTCACAGCTTCATCCCCTGGCCCTGGGGGCACACTGCCTGGGAGGCCTTCTGAAATCTGGGTGGGCCCCTGCAGCTATCATATCTGCCTGCCCTTAAACCCAGCCCACGTGGATCACTCCAGAGCCTCCCCCCAGCTCAAGCAGGGGCTGGGTTCCCTTGGATTATGGCTGCAGAGGTCTCTGATTGCCTGGGTAGCTGAGCTCTGTGAATCCTGAATAACCAGTATCCTGGGACTCTCAAAGCAAAGCCTTTCATGTTTGGACACTCCTGCTGGAGAAGGGCAGGGCTTTGCTGATTTTTCATATGTCCTCAAGCCACCGTTTCCACTGTCCTGATGCAGAGTACTTGGCTTCTTTTTAATGCTAATCTTTTCAGTAACCAAGGCTCTTCTCAAAACTTTACAGACCTCATCTTTACCAGTACATCCTTTCTGGGTGTCTTAGTTACTGTTCTCTCATTGTTGAGACAAAATACTTGACACTCAAAGTTAAATGGGGGAAAGGTTTATTTAGCTTACAGTTTGTAGAGGTTTCCATAATCGTCTGGCTCCAAGGTGGGTTGGCGCATGGCAGAGGGGCAACATTTCATGATGGTAAAAGAGAACAAAAACAAGAAGAGAGGAGACAAAACTCTTTATGTCCCTTATATTGTATGCAGGCATAGCACTCAAGCCCTTAATCCCAGTCAGAATTGTGCCAAACCAGCAGGCTGATTTACTAATCCCACACCCTTGATCCCAGCATTATATACTCAGTCACCTCTGAAAAAAGGCTTTGGGGAGACATCTAGATACAAACCATAATATTGGCCAAATTAAAAAATTTTTAAATGATTCAACTATTCCATTTTCTCTTGATTTTCAGCATAAGCCTGGCTAGGTGCAGCAAAAAGTATACACCCAACAGCCTGAATGTTGAGCTACTTTGAAATTTCCTCTGCCAGATTAATTAGTACATCACCTTTAATTTGTCTCCAGCAAAATCTCAGAACAGTAGCAAAATGTAGTCAAATTTTCTACCAGAGCATAAAATGTACTGGAGTCCCACTGCCAACAGAATCCTCGTTCTCAACGACACCTCCTAAACCTGGTCTTTATCATCTCCATTGCTATCAGCGTTCTGGTCTTCTGAGAACCGCCCCCCAAGCCCAGCTCAGCATTTTAGGGCTGCTTCTCAGCCAATTCATGGTGACAGTTCCTAGTTGGCAGGTTTCAAGGCAGGAAGGCACTGGAAGGCCTGGACAGAGGAAAACTGCTCATATTGAGATGGACAGAAAGCAAAGAGATAAGTGGGGGGGGACCTTCCAAGCCATGCTGCTGTGACCTCCATCCAGGGTGGATGCTGAGGAGGTTTTCAGAGACTGTTGTGCAGTCTCTGATGTTGGTGCAGCTTCTGATGGTAACACTCCAGTGTTAGGGACCATGGCGGCCCATCCTTCCCACCAGGAAAGTGGTGTCCCTGGTCACTGAGCAGGCAATCTGATGCTTTAAAATAAATATCAAGATGCAGGACTGGATGGAGAATTCAGTGGCTTCATTGGAGAGGTGGCTCTCAGGACAGCAGCCTCAATGGCGTTAGTGGGACTCTCCATGAGAAGATGTCACCTCTGCCCTCCGCTGCTGGTACTGCCCCAAAGTAGACTGTTGTCCTCTCTGTCCTCACCCAGTGGCTGAACTGGAAATGCAGGCTGTTGATTTAAAATAGAAAACTGGAAAGTAAAAATTGTGATTGACAAATTTTTATGTTCTTTTTGCAGTACTGTGGACTGAACCAAGGGTTTTTGCACCAAGTTATATCCCTGGCACTTTTTGTGTTTATTTTGAGACAGGTTCTCACTGTTTTCCTGGCTGGCCTTGAACTCGCAACCCTCTTGCCTTAGCTTCCCAGAGTGCACACAGATCAGGCCCCAAGCCTACTCCCTTCCCTGTGACGTGTTTCAGCATCTGAGATGGCTCTGCAGAGGGTACAGAGGTGGGCACAGTGGCTCAGAGCAGCACCAAACCTTACTTTGGGAAATGACTGTCGTTTGTCCCCAGGAGCTGGAGTACCCATCTGAGCTGGGCACGCTGCCCCCGCTGAGGAACCCTGACATCCTGGTGGGCGAGAATGACCTCACGGCCCTCAGCTACCTGCATGAGCCGGCCGTCCTGCACAACCTGCGCGTACGCTTTGCCGAGGCCCGGCTCATCTACACCTACAGTGGTGAGCAGGTGGGGTGGGGGACGGAGCCTGAGTCCCCTCTGCCAGAGCCTGGAGGAGGGCGCACCTTCTGCCCGGTCCAGGCCCCTGAGGCTTGTTTGTTGTTTTATTTTGTTTTGTTTTGTTTGGCGGCGGCACTGGGTTTCCACCCCAGGGCCGTGGTCCTGAGCTACATCCTCAGCCCTTTTTAAGTTTCTTTAGGAAGTTTGTTACTTTTTGGTTGCGTTTTTGTGATCCCCATCTGCAGTGTGGTGAGTGCCCTCCTGGCAGGGGTCAGTCTGTGTCCCAACACGTCTCATTCTCCTTCCACCCCAGCCCACACCAGCCCTTCTTTGGTTTCCATTTTGAGACGCAGTTGTGCTAAGTCACTAGCATGCAGCTCCTCCTGCCTCAGCCTCTGAGAGCCAGGACTCCCCCGTGTGCCTCCCTGCCCAGCTGAGAGCAGAAGCTTCCCTGGCTCCAGGTCCTGGAAGCCGGAGTCCCAGAACACGATGCCCGCAGCTGCCTGGTGTCCATAAGGGGCGCAGGGCACTGCTGCCAGCCTGGGGTACCATTTGACCCCAGTGGCCACCAAAAGTGCCACCTCCAGATGTCAACGCCCTGTGAGCCCCAGTGGAACCCTAAGGTGGGAACCCTGGGGACACGGCCCCAGCACCGGCTGCCCTCTCTCCGCAGGCATCATCCTGGTGGCCATTAACCCATACAAGCAGCTGCCCATCTACGGAGACGCCATCATCCATGCATACAGTGGGCAGAACATGGGTGACATGGACCCACACATCTTCGCTGTGGCGGAGGAGGCCTATAAGCAGATGGCCAGGTAGCGTCACCCATGGGCGCTCATGAAGGGGAGAGGCCTCGCTGGGGCTCATGGGAGGCCAACGGGCCTGATGGGGCAGTTCTGGAATTGGCCACTGCCATGATAGCCAAAATCCACAGCCTAAAATCCAGTACCTTGGGAGGCTGAGGCAGGAGGACTGGAGCCCAGACTAGCAATGTATTGAAGACCTCATCCCAAAATATAAAATAAAAGAGGACCAAGATGTAGCTCAGTGCAAAGGCACTGGGGTCAAACCCCGGTGCTGTTGGGAGACAAATACAGAGACAAAGACTGTCCTATATACTCCAGCCACCCAGCCCCGGATCCCAGCTGTCTCTTCCCGTCATCTCCACATCTGTCCTTGTGGTCTGAGAGCCACGGTGGTCCCGGCCCAGGGAGGCAGCTGGGGCACAGTAGATGTAAACCCACCCAGAGTGCAGGCCCATCCCCGTGTGTACTTACTCCTCCCCAGCACTCTGCTCTGTCCAGGGTCTGTGCCCACAAGGGCGGGGAGGAGACTGCCTCAGCCTCATGCACGCTTCAGGACATGCCTGCAGCTCTCATGTGGCCGGCTCCTTCTCGGGTCTCATGTCCTCTTGGCAGCCCCAGGGAGGGGGATATGAGGTCCCACTTGGGCCTGTGGTTTCCTCTGGACCTGGCCAGGCTCTGGTACTGCTCATTACTCATGGCCCCAAGGGGAAACTGAAGCATGGGCCATGAGCAAGCTGGCCGTTCAGGGCACCTGTCCTCCCATTGCTCAGGTCAAGGGCTGGACTGGGCCTCTGTGAGTCGTCATGACACCTTTGTCCTTGGAGCCAGCACCCCACAGCGTCCCCTCACACCAGTCACAGTATGCCCCGGGACCAGTGTCCCTCAACACCCTGCAGGGTGGCCAGGATGAGGGACGCACAGCTGTCCTTGGGTCCCTGGGGAGGGAGGCAGGGGGACACTGATCAGCAGTGTCAGTGGCACCAAGATCTGCCCGCCCCAGCCACCCTTGCTTAGGGCTCCCTGCGGGCTCCAGGTCTGGTCATCTTGGTGGCCGAAGACTGGTCATGGGGACCTCAGGGCAGTGCAGCTCTCCTGGTATCCATGTGTCCCCAAGGCCATGGGCACACTTGCCACTTGGCTGGTGTCGGGACGCCTGGCTTTACTGCCCAGCCTAGCTCCTTCCCAAAGGACCAGGTTAGGGGCTGGACAAGAAGCCCCGGGTCTGGGGCTCCCTGCCGGGTCATCCCGGTAACACAGTCACACGTCTCCTGGGACTTTTGTGACTTCAAGAACATATGTGACAGCTCCTGCTGCTGGCATGTACACTGGGGATCACACAGCATGAAGGCCTGATACGTTGTTCAGGGCTGTGAATCAGGCCAAGCAGCCATGGGCAGAGAGCGTGTGTCCTGCGTGTGCTCCAACCCTGCACCCCCGGGACCATGGGTGTATCCATGGGTGTAGTGAGCCGGGTTCCAGGGTGCTGGGTGCTGTCCTCTGGTCATCTCGTGGATCGATCATGACTCCCAGCAGTCACGAGGGGGCGTCCAGTCTCCTAGGAGGGACGTGGCTCGTATAGGCAGTGCAGCCTCCATCAGATGCCTGGGAACAGGCACTGGCAGCTGTGTTCCACTGTTGGGCACTTGGTTGTCGAGTGACTCTGTGAACACTGTGGCCAGCGCTCATGGCTTCCTGTGTCACCTAGTGTGAATATGTGAGATGTCTCAGGCGCAAAGGCCTCCCAGTACCTCGGGGTCTGGCTGGGGACCCCGCTGGACACCACTCCATCACCCAGAAGAAACCCCTCGGAGGCCTAGGGTCAGACCCCTTCTCTCAACTGGTAGCCTTCTGTGGCAGTCACCGGGCTGTAACCTGGGCAGCTGCCCCAGTAGTGGAAGAGCAGACACAGCGACGCCCTCTCCTCCGCCTCAGGAACAACAGGAACCAGTCGGTGATCGTGAGTGGCGAGTCCGGGGCCGGCAAGACCGTGTCTGCCCGCTATGCCATGCGCTACTTTGCCACGGTCAGCAAGTCCAGCAGCAACACCCAGGTGGAGGACAGGGTCCTGGCATCCAATCCCATCACAGAGGTATGTGTGGGCAGTGGGGCCTCTCAGACACAGCTCCTGGTCTCTGTGGGGCACAGGGTGGGGGACGTGGCAGCGTAGGGACCCCCACTGCTACAGGGAATGCGGTTCTGGGTTTGAGGAGGGCGGACGCCAGTGTAGACAAAGCTGCCCTTCAGGCCCTGGGTTGCAGGCCCAGAGCTCCAGTACTGAGCCCTTTGCTCCAGTGGTGTGAGTCAGTCTCGCCCATGGGGCCTACCCAGGCTGAGGGCACAATGCCCAGGGCAGGGGCACCAAGCAAGCTCCTACCACTGCCTAAGCAGTGAGAGGAGGCTGGCCTGACCCGTTTGCAGGTGCAGCTGATGACCGAGGTCTTTAGACTCCGGGGCGGCCCCTCCTCCTGCTGCCCAAGGCAGCTGTGTACCAGCTGCCCGCTTTGGCCACGAGCAAGGTGCAGCTGACCCAGGGAAACTGCACGCGGAGAATAGAGGGGGGTGACGTTCAGCTGCACTGGGGGTCACAGTTCAGGGACTTGGACTCTAACTAGACACAAAGGTGCCAGCTCCAGAGAGTGACAGACAGACAGACGCTCACCACAGGGCACTGTCGCACCCATATGGGGGACAGGAGATGTATGTGGGGCTCGGGAGGGGACCAGGGCTCCCTGCTGTGCTGTACCCCCCCCCCTTTTGTTATTTTTGTTTTGAGATAGGGTCTCTCCAAACCATTAAGCTGCCCTGACTGGACTGGAACTTTCCATCTTTTTCCATCCTCCTGCCTCAGCCTCCCAGAATGTTGGGGTTACAGGTGGTCCCCACCATGCCCATCTGCCGATGGGTAATTGTGTGTGGTTGTTTATCTAGGGTTTGTCTCCCCACAGAGGTAACCTCTGTAAAGGAGGACCATGTCTGTTTTGTCCACTTCTGCTTACTGAGCGCGCAGCACATAGTACTGTGGGTGACAGCAAATACACAGAGACAAGGACCCGGGGTGACGGGGCAGGAGCACAGCACAAACGCACAGGGGTCTCCTCTGCTCCCACGGAGGGAAAACAGGTTCAACCCAGAAGGAAAAGCCAAACTCAGGCCCCCTGAAGTGGGAGGTGCAGTTAAGGAAGCAGTGAGGGAGAGGACGAGGCACAGCTGGGGTGCAGGTGTGAACATGTAACTGGCATCTGCAGCACCTGGGCATCCATGAGTCCCCGTCCCAACCCCGCCAGTGAGGCAGTGTAGGCCCTGTCAGAGCGCCCCGACAGGCAGTCTGGAGGTGTCAGACAATGCTTCTCCTGAGGGCGTGGCTGAGCCAGGACTCTCCGAGGACCCTCTGGGATAAAGAGAGCTTAGGGGGCCCTTGCACGCAGGCCTCAACTCCTGCAGGCCCTTTGGCCACACAGGGACAAGGACCCAAGCCCTGGGTCCATAACGGCCCAAAGAATCTGATTTCTGTGTTGCAGAGAGAGGAATGGGGACTCAGGGTCTTTGTCACTGCCCACTACTGAGACCAAGGGCCTGGCCCCACGGTTTAGTGGACGAGAGGTTTATCTCGGTTCATAGCTACAGGGTTCAGTCGTGGTCAGCTGGCTCAAGGCAGGAAGGGCCAGGTCTGGGCTGGTGGCAGGAAAGCTGCTCACCTCACAGCGGCCAGGAAGCGGAAAGGGAGGAGCCGGGGAGGAGTCACGCCCTTCCAGGTCACTGCAGCGCCCACCTCCTGCCAGGCTCTGAGTCCCACAGCACATTCAGCATGGAGTCATTCCCTGCCGAGCAGAGTGCCCGCTGACCCAGTCACCTTGCACACACAGGGGACCTAGGAACGCTTTAAATCTAAGCCGTAACACTGTGGAAGCAGCCTAATTTCCACACCTTTACAGTTATCAAACGGGGGCCCAGGGCCTCGAAACAGAGCTGACGCTGTCCCTGCCCCTCTTTAGGGGCTCCTTGAGTGGGCCCCGCACACCCTCTGCCTCCAGCGGCTCCTCCTCCGTGCACAGGATGGGAGTTACTAAAGCTGCTTGAATGGCCTCCCTGCAAAGATCCTCCAGGGCTGTGCCAAGACAGCCTTGGGTTTTCTAGGCCGTTGGCAATGCCAAGACCACCCGCAACGACAACAGCAGCCGATTCGGGAAATACACAGAGATCAGCTTCGATGAGAGGAACCAGATCGTAGGCGCCAACATGAGGACGTACCTGCTGGAGAAGTCCAGGGTGGTCTTCCAGGTAGGCGTCAGTGCCTGAATTCTGTCTTCCCAGCTCTTACACAGGACCCGGTCTGCACATGGTTGTGACTTGATTGTCACGGGTTTTGTCTGTCATCTGCAGTCTGGACTCTTGCTTTTAGCAGCAGGAAGGATGCCAGGTGCACACCCCTGGGACGTGCGGCTGGGGAGGGGTTTTGGTTCCAAGTTGGGCAGTACTGGAACTCCAGCCTGCCTGCAAGGACAGGGCCAGGAGGAGGCCGGGCCGGACTGGGCTGGGACGGAGGTTGGGGTCCCTGCACGCAGCCACCATGCCCATCTGTTCACGGCCCTGCCAGGGCCACCCAGCTGTCACCCCTTGAGGAGCTGCACCAGGGATGGTCCATCCCAGTTAGCTGTCCGGGACCCACTCTACAAACTTGCCATTTGAGACCGTGAAGTGCTGGCCTAGCGCGACCTTCTCTCTGTTTTACAGTCAGAGAATGAGCGGAATTACCACATTTTCTACCAGCTCTGTGCATCTGCACGGCGGTCAGAGTTCAGACACCTGAAGCTGGGTATGTGGCGGGTGCTGGGCGCAGGGCCTCTCCTGGCGGGGTGCAGGTGCCGCTCATCTCCCCATGGTGTTGTCATGCACTTTTTATAAACGCATTCACCTAAAGCCACAGAGCCTCCTGCTCAGGGGGTGGTGTCCACGCCCCCCACCGTTCCCGAGGACACACACTCGGGCTGGGCAGGTGGGCAGCTGGACGGGGTACTCCACGCTGGCCCCAGGACCAGCTGGTAAGCGGCACCACCTGCAGAGGCCCTGCCCTGTCCTGGGGTCGCAGCCTGCCATCACTGTCGTGGGACACCTTCAATGGCCGATGCCACCTGGTGTTCAATACTGCTTGGTCCTCTGAAATGTCCTCCCTTGGGCCCAGGCCCCACGTGGTCACTCACTGTCCACATCACAGTTGCACCTCAGTGACCTGTTGCCCGTGCCATGGCCCAGCTCCCCTCGGGGCCTCTGTGCTGTGCCCAGCTGCTCTGCTGTGACGCGTACCCTCTGGCGTGTGCAGGAGATGCTCACTGTGCTTTGGTCCCAGATCGTGCTGAAGAATTCAGTTACACCAGGATGGGCGGCAGTGCTGTCATTGAGGGCGTGGATGATGAGGCGGACATGGTGGAGACACAGAAGACCTTCGCACTGCTGGGTGAGTGAGCTTGAGACCGCTGTGCCGGGGTCGGAAGGCGAGGAAGCAGGGAGAGGAGGAGAGGGCGGGATCCCAGCAACTGTGTCCCAAGGCACCCCTAGGTCCCCATGTAGGTCACGCTGTGCACAGCATAGCTGAGTCTAAGTGGTCGGGGCTGAGCTTTCCCTCCAGGGAAAGGCACCGAGCTCATTGGGCAGCTGGGACCAGGCAAGAGCCCTGGGACTTCTCAGCTGGCTGTGGTGAAGACCAGAAAATCAAAGGTCCCATGGTGCTGGGACAGGCGTGGTGGCCAAGACAGCAGATACTGCGTGGGGCCCGTCCAAAGGGCTTTGCTACCTATGAATTATAAACCTTTTAACAGCCTGTGGAGGAGAAGCTGCTTTTTCTCCATTTTACAACAGGGAAACTGAGGCAAAGAGGTGATAGTGATTAGCCCAAGACTGACTTTGCATTCTGGGCATCTCAAAGTATCTCATTTTTAAGCAGAAGCCGAGTCTGGCAACTGGGAGTTGGCCTTGGGGCAGCCAGGTGTCCCCAGTACCTGTGGACCATGTGACAAGGGTCACTTGAGACACGAGCTGCTCTCACGTCAGGCAGCCATCTCGGCTGCTGTTTCCCCATGGTGGGCTTGCGTGTGCACTGAATGTCACGGCCGAGGTTAGCGCAGGCCCAGGTGGCAGACAGGATGGGCTCCGCTGGACGGGAGGGAGGATTCCCCACCTGTGGTCACCTCGGCTTCCTCCCAACCTACCCAGCTCCCCTGAGAGGAGTGCCTGGGTGCTGAGCTCCGTGAGAATAAGGAGGAGCAGGGCCCTGTCCTCCCCACCTGACAGGCCCACACCAGGACACGTCCACCTCTCTCCAGCCCCAGTCTCCTCCCTAGAGGGCTTTGGAACCCCAAATTGGAACCGCTCCCCCTGGGAGGGCGGGCCAGGCCAGGCCACGCCAGGGAGACCCCTCCTCTAGGCCCAGCTTCCATCCACGTCTGCAGGGTAGCTACCTGCCAGGATTGCTGGCTGGGCTTGACCACTCCTGTCCCCACACCTTGGTGGCTCACATGAACGGACCCTGTTGTACCTGGGAACCAGGCCTCCGGCTGGGCGGGGCCCACTTTCCCTGAATGCCCACTGTGTGAGGGTGCAGGGTGCTATGTGGGGTCTGTCCTCAGGGTTCCGACGATGCCGTCTCCAGGGGAGGTCACCTTGTGCCATGGCTGGCTTCTTCCTCAGACATACACAGGAGGCCCGCAAGGAATCTGCAGAAACCTTTTTTCAGTACTGTGGTTTGAACCCAGAACCTCTGCACCCTTTTTTTGAGAGCCACTCTCGCTAAGTCGCTAACTGCCCAGGCTGGACTGTACCTTGGGATCCTCCCGCCCTAGCCTCCCAGAGTGAATGGCAGGGCTCTGTGTGAAGCACTCTGAGAGCCCTGCGCAGCAGCACCACGCTGGGCTCTGTGTGGATGGCTCACGGCGATCCAGTGCCAGTTCGGGCTCCAGACTCTCGATGGGAAGCCACGCAGCATGGGGACCCAGGGAGCTGCATGCTGGGGCAAATTTGGAGCGGAGAACCTAGGGCTGTCACTGGTGCCTGAGGGTGGAGCTGATGTCCAGACACACCTTAGCAACCGCACATGCAGGGTGGCATGAGCCAGCACACATCTAGTGGATGTGGTCACTGCCCAGCCCTGCACGGCCACAGCCTGTCATGACCTTGTGGTTTCTCTGTTCTGGGGGTCCTGGTGGCATTGGGGCGTCTGAGGCCGCAGAGTAGGGTCTGGCAGTGGGTACCATGGCTGCCCTGTCCCAGCAGTGCATGCGGCTGACACAGCCAGCAGGTTTTCTAGAAGTTTCTGCTAGGCAGGAGTGCACCTGTGTGTCCAAATGTAGGGGTTTCCCTGGGGACCCATGCTAGAGGAAAGGTCTGAGGGTCCAAGGTTTTCCTACTATTTTGTTGTTATTGTTGCTGTTTTGAGGCAGGGTCTCACTATGTAGTTCAAGCTGGTCTTGAACTTGCTATGCAGCCCAGGCTGTCCTCAGACTCACAGAAATTCTCCTGCTTCAGCCTCCTAAGTGTTGGGCTCACAGCATGCACCACCAAACCTGACCATCTATCACTGTAATGGATTCGTGCCTAGGGCCAGGTGACCCTGCATCACCTCCAGGGAGCCCTCTCAGCACCCACAATTGCTGTGACTGCAGCATGTAGCTCCTCAGCCTCTGGACCTGCGTCATGCAGCAGAACTGCAGCCACCCAAGGATGGCTTCACCTAACTGCTGGGCAGGGCCACTGTGGGGACGTCCCTGGTTCCCTGGCCAGGGAGCTAACAGCTCCATGTTGTACAGTGCAGACGTGGACAGTCCCTCAACCCCACAGGCAGAGCTGCCAAGGCACCTGCTGAGCCCCAGCCCGAGTGCCCCATTTCTCCTGGTCCAGACCCTCCTGCCTCCGAGGCAGCTGTGTGAGCTGGAGGCTTCCACATGATTTGGTTCACATCTTTTGTTGTTTGTGATACTGAGCACTGAACCCAAGGCCATGCACTGAGCCACAGCCCTATTCCTCTTCTGGTTTTTATTTTGAAACAGGAGCTCACTAACTTGCCTGGTTTGGGCTTAAACGTGGTACCCTCCTGCCTCAGCCTCCTAAATACCATGCCCTACTGTGGCTATGCCCGGCAAGTTGTGGTCTTTTGAGACTATTCCCTCCCTCGGCCTTTGGAGCAGGGGCACGCGAAGGCTCGGGGCGTGGGTGAGCAGCTCATGACGTCTGGTGTGAGGCTCTGAGTTCCGTGGTCAGTCACTTGCTATTAGGGGCAGGGAAGGGGGAGGTGCTGGCTCCACCCCGCTTGTACTGCAGTGTGGGCTGCAAGGTGGCCTGGGCCCTGCGTCCCCAAGTGTAGCAGAGCCTGGAGAGAGTCTGAGTCAGCGCCAGGCCAGGCGGCAGAACCCTCGGTCAGGCATCAACCACTCATGGGGTACATGCTCAGCACCTCTCTTTTCTGGCCTCCTCCCTCCCCAGGGGCTGGGAGCCCCACTGCTTGGTCTCTGGAGCTGAGAGCAGAGGGTCAGAGGGGCAAATGAGGTGCTAGAACTTGTTGGGGGGGGCAGTTCCTGAGCAAAAGGGAAAAGAAGCTTTGAACGTGGCCAGTAAGGGGCACGCCCTGTAACACCAGCATTCTGGGTGGCTGAGGCAGGAGGATCCCAAGTTTAGGAAGTTTAGTGACCCATTGCAAATGTTGAAAAGGGGCTAGGGACTCAGCTTGGTGCGGAGGCCAAGGGTCCAGTTCCCAGCCCTGGGGCGGGCAGGGCATCTTCCACGTAGAGAGTACACCCAGTAAGCTGCAGCCACGTCTCTGGGAAGCTGATGCGGCTGGGATGGCCGTGGGGACCTCAGGTTGGCAGCGGCCATCTGCAGCCCCACAGCAGGGGTTAGCGGGTGAGCAGCGGTCGTGGCCTCCTGTGCTGCCCCAGGCCTCTTTGTCTCTGCCTGGGCACTGACTGATGGCTTTGCTGCCTTCAGGCTTCCACGAGGACTTCCAGCTGGACGTATTCACAGTCCTGGCTGCCATCCTCCACCTGGGCAACGTGCAGGTCACTGCGGCGGGTGCTGAGAGGTCCTCCATCAGCGTAAGGCCCTGCCCTCCCCTGGGGTGGCTGAGCAGAGGAGGGGTGTCCCGGGAGGAGCGTGCTCTGTGAGTAGGCTCAGGGTGGCAGTGGCCGTGACAGAGGAAGCTGCCCAGGCGGGCACAGCGGGCTTCTGCAGGTGATCAGGGAAAGGAGTGCTTCCCCAGGAAGCAGGGGGCACAGGCCAGGAGGCTGGACACCCCGATCCCAAGAAGGAGACCCACAGGGGCCCAGAGCTCAGAGCCCTCAGGCAGATGGCCTGGGAAACAGCAGGGAAGCTGGCACCCAGAGAGGCATGTGGGGTACTGAACATGTAGGGCTGAAGGGCGCCCCCCCCCCGACACCTGTCCTGCCTCATCCTGGCTGACAAGGCTGCTACAGCTGGGAGCTGGGCAGTGTGCATCATGGAAACCGGTCACCACACGGGCAGGAGGTGGCCCTCGTGTCCCCCCTATGTCCTCACATGGTGGGGACAGCAGGTCCCTGGGGTCACCTTGAACAAGGATGCGGACTCCATCATGGGCCACCCCTACACTCCCTCTAACCCTGATCACTTCCCAGCAACCCTTTCCTCAGTGCCATCCCACGGGGAGAGGCCACAGAGTGTGTATCTTGAGGATACGCACGTCCTGTCCCTAACAGCGTCCACATGGAGTCCCCAGGTCCCAGGGGCCCCGTTGCTGTGTGGACCGGTGCACTCTCAGTGCTCTGATCTGCGTGGCCCAAGGAGACCAAGGTAGGAGAGGTGACCGCAGGCCCTGGCAGGGGTGGACACTTCTCATTCCCAGCTCATTCACCCCGGAGAGGCGGTGTCTGCCTTCTCCTCCACAAACTCCTGAGGGCTAGGAGTGAGTTCAGCCCCAGAGATGAGATCGCACGACTCACTTTCTGAGAAGCACTCATTCAGAGGAGAAATTAAAGGTGATAACCAGAAACCCTTGGGGAAATCGCCAGCTGTCTGCTGACCAGCCCTGGCGATGGCCACAGACTCACTTAGGTATGGAACTTAGACCAGTGGGCAGGTGAAATGGGGGGCGAAACCGTCCTCCAAAGGATCCCAGGCCCCCAGCTTTTGCGTTTCCTTCTCAGCAGTGGCGACAGTAGTGGCCCTCACTGGGAAGGTCTGGCTCCTGCTATGCCCATGCCATCCCAGCAAGGAGGCCGAGCATGATCCCAAGTGATGCGGATGTTTGTCAGGGGCCGCAGTGGGGGGCCTCAGGCAGCAGGATTGCTTATACCTTTCCTCCACCACATCCGAATGCCTTTAATATGCCACCCAGTTCTGGGGGGCTAGGACAGCGCCTGCCTCGGAAGCCCCTGCTCCAGAGGGTTGGAGGTGCTCAGTGGCACCTGCCATCTCCCTGGCTTAATGACAAGAGCCCCAGTCCACACTGGCTGTCGACAGAGGGAAGCACCTCCCCCTGGGCTTGAGGGAGAAGTGGGGCACCTTTGTGCATCCATGTGGAGAAGTCCCTGTGACGCTGTCGTAGACACTTTAGTCACTGGGACAAAGTAACCATCACCCCAGCTTATAGGAAGGGAGGTTTATTTGACTCATGGCTTCCAGGGGTTCAGTCCATGGGTTGCCAGCTGCAAGGCAGAACGGCACAGTAAAGGGCCTGGAGAAGGACAGCTGCTTACCTTGTGGGGGCCAGGACGGAGAGAGCAGGGAGGAGCCAGGGACCACTCCACGCAGGCCCTGAGCAGCATGTTCAGCCCTGAGCACACCCACAGTGGACCCACAGAGCAGCACAGTGCCCCGTAACCTAGTCACCTTCCACAGCAACAGCCTCCGGGACCTTGTGTAGGCTGAGAACCCCCCGGGGAGTGAGTCCCACCCAGCTCTATCTGGTCCCCCTGAGCTGGGACACCATGGTCACCCTGACCCCTGAGGTACAGCCTAACATGGGCTGGCACTGTGCTGCAGGCTGGGAGAAAGCCGAGTCACCCCCACATCCACAGGGCAGGGGTGGCGGCAGGGAGTGCCATGGTCTGGGTTGGCTAGCACCATTGCAACAGGGCCCCTCAGGGATGGGTGTTGGCTGACGTGGCCAGGTCCCCGCCTCCACAGCTCCAGGCCTGGGCTTTGCTGCCAGAAGCTGTCACCCACCCACCCACCGCCAAGGCCTGCTCACGCCTTGCACAGGCCTGGGGTGACCCTGACAGGGCCTCTGCTTGCTTCGAAGGAGGACGACTGTCACCTAAAGGTGTTCTGCGAGCTCCTGGGCCTGGAGCGCAGCCAGGTGGCCCAGTGGCTGTGCCACCGGAAAATTGTCACCACCTCAGAGACGGTGGTGAAACCCATGACCAGGCTGCAGGCCATCAACGCCAGGGATGCGCTGGCCAAGAAGATCTATGCACACCTGTTTGACTTCATTGTGGACAAGATTAATGGGGCGCTGGGCTTCTCCGGCAGGCGGCACTCCTTCATCGGTGTCCTGGACATTTATGGGTGAGAGCCAGCTGCCTATGGGTGCCCCCTGCTGCCTGCATTGTGTTTTGCGTGGTTACAAAGCCAGAAGCCAGCATTCTCTGTTTATGGGTGCAGGAGGTAGGGGTGGGGGGGTGAAAGGTACACAGGAAACGCAGATATAAAATATTTATTACGGTAAAAGCCGCATTGCCGTGGGTCCCCCTAAACCCTTCCCCTCGCCTTGAACACACCCCGAGTCCTCGCCCCTTCCTGAAACAGCTCTGGAGTCCTCTTTCCCCAGTGTGGTAAAAAATGCAGTGAGGGGCCAGAGATTCAGCTCAGTGGCATAAGCACCTGCCTGGCAAATGCAAGGTCATGAGTTTGATCCCTGGCACCAAAAAAAGCCTAAACAAACCCTCAAAACTGCAGTGAACACTGCTGCCACGTCCCATCCCATTGAAAGGCAGAGCAGGACAACAGGATGCTGTGGCCTTGTCCACTTGTCCTTTTCCTCACCTGCCTTCTCCCTGGACCTGGCACTGTGTCTCCGGCTCTTCCCCAAATCACAATCGCCATGAAAGACAAAAGTTCCCAGTGGGTTCAGGACAGTGCAGATAAGACCCTCAAGGAAGAGGACTCTAGAGTGGCACAGAAGTGGCCATGATGGTGGGACCAGTGTGTGACGCCAGGGGCAGGGTTCTGAGGGGCACTCACAGCACAGGCCCTGGAGGGTATGCGGGAGCTCGGGCTGTGTTTAAGACTTGCGTGAAGCCTGGCCAGCACCCCAGAAGCTCGGCCAGAAGCTGAATGCATATGCCATGCGGCAGGGGGTTTTTCTACTTTAATTTTGCTGATCTGTGTTTCAGTTTTGAAACCTTTGATGTGAACAGCTTCGAACAATTCTGCATCAATTACGCCAATGAAAAGCTGCAGCAACAGTTTAACCTGGTGGGTGGCTTTCCCGCCTCTCGGGCAGAACCTGAACCGGAGCAGGACGGGGTCTGGGCCTGTGTGAGGCTGTGGGGAGGAGCTCACACACACCAGCCTCTTTCTCCCTTCCCTCCTTCCCTCCTGCCTTCTCCGTCTCCTCTTTCTCTTTTCTCTTCCTTTCTCCCTCTTGCCCTTTGTCTCTCTTTTCTTTTTGCTTCCACACTGAGCTTCATCCCCAGCTTTTTGGGGTACATAGTCTCACTAAGCCACTAAATTGCCTGAGTTGGGTTTGAATTTGTGATCCTCCTGCCTCAGCCTCCCACAGTGCTGGGATTACAGGCCTCTGTCGGCCTCAGCATCCATAGTTTAGTTCTCCTTGTGAGCCTGGGGCAGGCACATGGCGGAGGGGATGAGCCAGCAGGCTCTGCTCCAGGCCAAGTCCGCTTCCCTGCACCCCTCCAGGGCCTGGCTTTAATGCAAGTCGGGGAGCCCGCCCACTGTTGAGAGGGGTCCTTGCCCAAGTCCACTAGGCGGGCGTCTCTTCTTCCCTTTGCTGATGTGCAGTGTGACTCCAGCCTGGGGCAGAGGCCTCTTCCTGGAGCGCTGAGTAACCACAGCTGTGCTCTGGGAGCGGCCAGCGCAGCCTCCCGGCCCTGTGTCCCCAGCCCGAGTGGCCTCTGTGCCTGGATCATACCCCAGGCCTGCAGCTGCAGCAGCTCCCTTCCTTCTCCTCCCCACCTTCCTCCCACTCCTGCATGTGAGTGGCCGGCAGTGTGGACCCTGCAGCTGGGGACTGCAGTGCGGGCCTTGGGCCTGGTGTGCGCTGCCTGTCCTCTGCCCTGGACTCCTGCTTGGTGGCCCTCCTGGCTCACTGCCTGCTGTGTGTGGCCTGGCCTCCGTCCTCCAGGGTGGCCTCCTGATGGCCTCATGCCCCAGCCAATTCCCTGAGCCAGGGACACCTGCTGTATGGCCAACAACTGGGACTGCTGTCCCCTCCCCATAGAGGCTGGGTCCCTGCCCTGGGGCAGCTGTGGCCGTGAGGGGAACAGGAAGAGACCTGGGGCCACACTGGGACCCAGGCTGTGCGGCTGGGCCAACCTGGGATGGGGGCCCGTGCAGACTTGCATTGGGGTCGTAACCTTGACCTTGGGAGGGCTTGCCTGCGCCCCACGTCTTCCGGCCTGAACCGGCAAAGCCCATGCACTGTGCTGCTTGGGGCCAGTGTGACGCTGCCCTTCTGTCCATGCTCCCCGGGAACCCAGCACGTCTTCAAGCTGGAGCAGGAGGAGTACATGAAGGAGGACATCCCCTGGACGCTGATTGACTTCTACGACAATCAGCCTGTCATCGACCTGATCGAAGCAAAGATGGGCATTTTGGAGTTGCTGGATGAAGAATGCTTGGTAACTGCTAAGAGCAAATACCGAGGGCTGGGGATTTAGCTCAGTGGCACAAGCACATGCCATGCAAGCGCAAGGTGTTGAGTTTAATCCCTGGTACCAAAAAAAGAGAGAAAATAAAGGTTTGAATAGCCAGGTATGGTGGCACACACCTGTAACCCCAGCACTCGGAGGCTGAGGCAGGAGGACTGCTGTGAGTTCAAAGCTAGCCTGAGCTACACAGCGAGCCTTCTAGGTGGTACCAGATCAGTGTATTTCTGTGTGGCTTTTCGAACTATCCCTGCAGAGTCCTGGTGTGACCCCACTCTGGACCCAGCTGTGGAGCATGAGCAGGGGCCCAGGGTTGCTCCTTGGAGAGGGGCACACACATCATCCCAGGTCCAGGCTGTGTGGAGCAGGCCGGGACCAGCATCTGATGGCATCAGGCTACCTGTCATCACCTCACTGGTTTCCAGGTCCTGGGAACCATCAGGACAGAGGGAGACATTGCTGTTTGGGACAGAGCTCGAGGGTGTTGGCAAGGGAGCAGTTTCTGCACAGGCGGGCCTGCACTCAGGGGTAAAGCCTGTGTCCTGGCTTTCCTCTCTGTACCCAGCTTCGCCCGGGATTCACTGCTGTGGGGCAGGGACCTCTCACACTGCAGAGTCGCCCTTTCAGTGCTTGAGCCTGGGAGGGGAGAGATGATGGGTGGAAGGGCCAGCACTCTGGCATGGTCACCGGCTGAGCCACACAGCAGGGAGGCCTGGAAGAAGAGGTTTTGTGGTGGCAGTGGCGGGCTGCATTTTGGTTTCGATACTGGGATTTGAACCCAGGGCCTCTGCACTGAGCCACATCCTCAGAACTGTTTAGTTTCCATTTTGAGACAGGGTCTCGCTAAGTCACTGAGTTGCCCAGGCTGGGCTCAAACTTGCCATCCTCCCTCAGCCTCCTAGAGTGCTTGGCACGGCAGGTGTGCACCACCAGGCCTGGCTTCCAGAAATGTGTGCACCTGCTCTATGTATGTGTGTCCCAGAGTCTGGTGTCACGGGATGTCACTCAGAGTCATTCAGACACAGTGGGGTAAGCCCGCCAGGCCTGGCTGCGTCTACTGGGCACTCAGAATCCCCGATGGGAAGGGCGGGCTCTGCAGTGCGCTGAGGCCGAGGGTGAAAGCTTTGCCACGGAGGTGGCTGCGCGGTGAGACACAGCCACCTGGTCCCTGGGGCAAGGGGTGCATAGGAGTGGCCTCTCACACCCTAGAAGAGAAGTCTGCTCCCTGTGGAGCCCCGCTGGTGTTCTGGGACTTCAGGCTTCGGGGAGAACTGGAGATGCCACCCATTGTGCAGACGTGGACGCCTCCACAGTCACTGTGTGGCCATTTCCTATTTCTTACAATGTGTCGTTTCTAAAGGCAGTGTGTCCCCCAGTAGGCGCTCAGTACCCCAAGGGCCATTGGTCAGTAACAGGAGAAAGTCTCCAGGGCAGGGGAAATGGCTCACTGCCGTGGGGGCCTGACCACCACACCCAGGGTCCTCTCAAGATCGGCTCCCAGGCCAGGGTCAGTGTGCAGCTCTCCCCTTTGCCAGCCACGTCCCCGAGCCGACCTGCTCTCCGGTTTGCTTTTCTCTTGCAGCTGCCTCACGGCACTGATGAGAACTGGCTTCAAAAGTTGTACAATAATTTCGTCAACAAGAACCCTCTGTTTGAGAAGCCTCGGATGTCAAACACAGCCTTCCTCATCCAGCACTTCGCCGACAAGGTGTGTGAGGTCCCATGTGCTGTCACCTGGCCCAGGTCACCTGGGCAGGAACAGCCAGGCCACGAGCCTCCAGGCAGATCTGATCCTCTGAGCACCCATAGCCTCATAAAGTACACGTGCATGTGTGTGAGTGTGCATGGGCAGGTGTGCATGCGTGTGCGGTACTGGGGACTGCACTTGGGGCCAGAGCACTGAGCTATATCCCCAGGGCTTTTTATTTTTTGAGACAGGGTCTCGTTTCAGTGCCCAGGCGGGGCTTGACCTTGCCATCCTCCTGCCTCAGCCTCCTAGGGTCCGGTTGCAGGCCTGCAGCACTGTGCCCGTTTGTTTAGCAATTCTTCCTTTTTCTAAACGGTAACCAGTGAGTCCGGGCTGCACTGCTTTCATGTGCTGTCGACTAAGGATTTCATTTCTGAACCCGGAGTTTACTGAAATCTGCGATCCTCTTCAGTTTATTTTCCCAACCACATAATCAGACAGCATGGTTGCTCCTGATGCTGAAACTCGAACTTTTTTTTTGCAATTTCCCTTCTTTATTAAACCAGGGTAGCTTTATCACAAAAGCCACACGGTAATTCACGATAATGGCTCTTTTCTAGGGGATCTTTGCTTTCTCCTACATATGTCCTGTTTCTTCCCTAAAGAGAGTGGGCCCAGGTAGCTGTGTCAGTGGAGCATCAGACATTTGCCAGAACCCCACCTATAATCTCAGCACCTGGGAGGCTGAGGCAGAGGGATTGCCACAAGTCTGAGGCCAGCCTGGGCTGATAGTGAGACCCTGTCTGAAGAAAATGGGAAGGGAAAAAAAGAAGAGGAGAGGAGAAGGGAGGGAAAAGGGGAGAGAAGAGGAGAGGAGAGGAAAATGAAGGAAAGGAAAGGAAAATCATTGTGAAAATCACATCATAGAAACTCAGAAAACAAGAAGGGAGGCTCCCCTAAGAGCACATGCTTGGCTTGTCACCGCCTACTGGCGTTTGTATTGTGGCCCCGTACAGGGGTCCTGGGAGCAGCCTGTCCTCCTCATGGGTCCCAGAAGTTTCAGTGGCCCAATAGGTCCCTCCCCTCCCCCAGGGCGGGGAAGTACGGTTAATTGGGTGCAGCCTGGAATCCTGCCTGTGAAGCAAGTCCTCTGTCACTGAGCTTCTCCCTGGGCTGAAATTCATTCCTGTTGTTTGTTTGTTTTGTTTTTTGATACTGGGAATCGACTCAGGACCTCACATTTGTCAGGCAGGCGCCGTGCCACTGAGCTGTATCACTGGCCCTGAAATTCATTCTTAATATGCTTCATACTTTGTGACATGTAAACATACATGTCACACACTGGAATACCCACTCCAGGCACACCTGTAACTCAGTTACTCGGGAGGCTGAGGCAGGAGGATCACAAATCCTATGGGGTGCACATGACACACTGAATTAAACCCCTAACTCTCATTCACACTGCCTGAGACCCTCCCCACCAGAGTCCAAACCCAAAGGTCTGGTGGTGTCTTCAGAGTCAGTTTTCAGCATTATCCTTGTTCTCAGAGTTCAAACCAGGGCCTTCATACCACGCAGGTACTCCACCCCTGAGCTACACCTGAGTCTTAGGTTAGTTCTCAATCTATTTTTTTAATCTGTGAAAGTTACATATCACAAATTAAAATATGCAACACGCACTTGTAGTCTGCTACTCAGGAGGCTGAGGCAGGAGGATCACAAGCTTGAGGCCAGTCTGGGCAACAGAGGGAGACCCTGTGTTCATTGACACAGAGACCCTGGCTGCATGGTGAGTGTGGCCTTGGATGAGTGGCAGCCTCTGGGTGCTGTGCAGGCGCTGAGAGCTTCCAGCCCATGAGCCAGAGCCTCAATGCCCATGTACCCTGGTGGCCTGGACAGGGCTGGGTGGCATTCTGTCCTCCCTGCCTTCAGTGCTTAGCCTGGCCTCCGCTGAGGGACCCTGAGCCACAGGCCGCAGCGGGCAGCAGTGGGATGGGGAAATGGGAGCCAGGAGCTCCTGGCTTTGCATTGGAGACCCCAGGGTCGCTGTGCTGAGCGGATGCCAAGCTGTCTGCAAGGTCACCTTGGCACCCTGCATCTTAATCTTTCCTTAGAGGGGGGCTGGGAGGGCAGCTTGAGTTACAGCACCACAAGAAAGGAGGGAAAGGGGAGGTGGAACCTGCACCTCAGCCTCCGGACACCGCATCCCCCGCAGGTGGAGTACCAGTGCGAGGGCTTCCTGGAGAAGAACAGAGACACCGTCTACGAGACACTGGTGGAGACCATGCAGGCGAGCACGGTGCGTGGGGAGGGGGCCGCTGAGGCTGCTATCATGGGATGGACAGATGAGGGCGTGGCCGCACATGTGTGTGTGGTGTGAGACCGTGTGCGTGTGCAGGCAGCTGTGCACCATGGCAGACCAGGTAGCTGTGCACCATGGCTCACCAGTGAGAGGTGCTCCTACATGTTGGTTCCGTCCCCAGCTTGGCATGCAGCAGGGGCAGCCACGTCCTTTCCTCCTGCTGGGCAGTGCGGTGTCCGAGGCAGTCAGCTGGAAGCCCTGTCAGGCGGGAGTGCTGCTGGGGGCCTGTGCAGGGGTGTCGTCCCAAGTGGCTGGCAGCTTTCCTGCTCCTCTTTAAGGCAGCTGTGGGTCTCAGGAGCAGGGTTATTCTCACGCAGGCCCCTGTTTCTGTGACGACAGGGGTGTTACGTTTATTTCACTGCTGTTGAAAGGTCCCAGCTGACAGCTGGCATGCAGGGTTGAGAGTTTCCAGAGTGTGCCAGGCACTTCGCTGGTACCCACAGGGACAGCCAGCTGCAGTTTAGCCTCACGGCCCCGACCCCTGGCGCAGAACTGCACTGAGGTGGGCGTGCAGAATTGGTCCATTTTACTCATCGGTCGTTCACTCAGCCCTGAGCTGAGTCCAATCTAGAAGACCAAGGTCACAGCACTGCTCATGGGGGTCAGAGCCTTCCCTTGGCAGGGTGCTGTCTCCAGGGACTTAGGGGCTTGTTTAAGGAACGAACTATGAGGCTCGCTCTCAGAGGCGACAGGTACTCAGGGCTTATGGCCGAGCAGCCGTAATCTCAGCACTCGGGGAGGCTGAGGCAGGATGATCACCTCGCAAGACACTGTCTCAAAACAAACATGGAGCTGGGATGGAGCTCATGGTCCTGGATTCGATCCCCCCTCCTGGAAAACAGAAAATCAAAAGGAAAGAAGAAAAGAAAACTGGTGCCGAGCAGAAGTAGGACCAAGTGGAGATGAGGAGGGGCTCGCTGGGCCGTGAGAGACAGCGGGGCACACGGGAACCGCATAGCCCTGCGTTCTGGGCACATGGGGCAGCGCTCTGATGCAGGCAGCCCCACGCTGGCCCTCCTGTGCAGAGGCAGAGGTTGGGGCTCAGGGTCCCGCCCACCCGTGCAGAGGCTGTAGCAGTCTGAGACATCGCAGCCCTCTCTGCCTTCCAGTTCCACCTCTGCGCCCTCTTTTTCCAAGAAGGCCCGGCTCCCTCCTCTCCTTTCGGTTCGGCCATCACTGTCAAGCCCGCAAAGCAAGTGCTCAAGTCCAGCTGCAAGCACCTGCGCACCTCTGTGGGGAGCAAGGTACAGGGAGCAAGGTATTGGGGGGTGGCAGACCCCCAGGCCAGCGGCACAGATGCCAGCTGCTCACCACCGGCAGCCAGCAGATGACACCGCTGTGGCTAGCCGTCCAGACACCCGCGTCACCAGCCTGACCTCTTCCTGGCTCCAGTTCCGAAGCTCGCTGGCCCTGCTCATGGAGACCCTCAATGCCACCACACCTCACTACGTCCGCTGCATCAAGCCCAATGACCAGAAGTTGCCCTTCGAGTGAGTGCCTGGTGCTGGAAGCCCGGGAGAGCTGTTCCTGTGCCCCTGGGCTTTGATGTACCCACTGGGGCTGCTGCTGCCGGCTCCTGGCTTTGCTGAGGGTGCTCCATGGGCGTGGCCCAGACTGACACACACACACATACCCCCCAGCCAGGAAGGGCCAGATTGCAGTGCATCCCATGGCCCGGCCGCCAGGAGGCCAAGCCTCCAGCTTGATATGAGAAGGACTGGGGAGGGTCTGGGACAGAAGGCTGAGGGGAGAAGATGCCGCCCTCCCCAGGGCTCAAACTATGACACTGTCTTCCTATGCCGTCCTCCGGCCTCAGCCTCCCAGAATGCCAGGATGACAGGCCATGTTCCTCCATGTCACTGTCCCTCGGCTCTCTGGAGGGTGTCACAGGGCACAGTCCCCTGGGTGTGGCAGGCCCATGTGCCCGCTCTAGCTTGCTGAGGAGCTGCCACTGGCATCCCCAGGTCCACAGCAAGTCTCTGGGGTGTGGTCCCTGGCACCCCCCCCCATTTGGCTTCACTCAGATTTGACTCCAGGAGAATCGTGCAGCAGCTGCGGGCCTGTGGCGTCCTGGAGACCATCCGCATCAGCGCGCAGAGCTACCCGTCCAGGTGCTGCCTTGGGCCTCACTGCCCTGGGTGCCAGGGTCCCACAGGAGGCCGGAGAGGGTGACAGACGGGCTGCTTGGGGGTGACGCTACCCCCACCCTCAGGGCCCGCCCCATGCCTGGTGACGGTCCCCATGTCCTTGCTGGAGAGCTGGGAAGGTGAGGGGAAGCTGATTGGGGAAAGTTTGAGGGGCAGACACATGTACAGGGGCCTTGGGGTGTCCGGGAGAGGCCACAGGTCAGTGACTCCCACACCACGATCAAGTCAGGGAGCCCTGACACAGGGGGTATGTGTGTGACTGAGCCCCTTGGTGTTCAGGTGGACATATATCGAGTTCTATAGTCGCTATGGTGTCCTCATGACGCGGCAGGAGCTGGCGGCCGGTGACAAGAAGCGGGTGTGCGTGGCAGTGCTGCACAGACTCATCCAGGTGCCCGCCGACCCCCAGGGTCCCCGAGCCGCCTCCCCATGCAGCCTCCTGGAGCCAGGCCCAAGCTGTCACAGCAGCCGGGAAGCGGCCCTGGGCTCTGTGCTTACCTGATGGCAGACTGCCCACAGCCCCAGGGAGGCCACTGAGGGGAGGACCAGGGTGGGTCAGGTTGTCGCTGAAGCTGTGAATTAGGGGGGACAAGAGATGGGGGATGCTGTTACCCAGGAGGGTATGGCACAGAGAATCCAGGACCAAGACCATGAGTCAGATCTCCGGCTCTTCATCCTGTGCCAGCATACTGGCTGGGTCAGAGAAAGGGGTGCCCTGCCCCGCCCTCAGCTGGACGCCTCACTGCTCATCTTCCTCCCCGGGAGCGGATCTAACCCACGCCTGAAGGATACATGCTGGACCCTGGTCAGGGTTTTCCTGCCATGTGTCCAGGTCCCAGGGCTGGGGAGCACTGGCCTCAGCATCCTCTCCCTGCCCCAGTGGGCGGTGTCTCTGATGCTTTACCTCCGACCTCCTCTGCCCTTCCAGGACTCGAATCAGTACCAGCTCGGCAAGACCAAGATCTTCTTCCGGGCGGGGCAGGTGGCTTACCTGGAGAAGCTGCGGCTGGACACGCTGAGGCAGGCCTGCGTGGTCATCCAGAAGCGCGTGCGCGGCTGGCTGCAGAGGAAGAAGTTCCTCCGCGCCCGGCACGCGGCCGTCATCATCCAGCGCTACTGCCGGGGCCAGCTGACCGTGAGGTGTGCCCAGGAGGACGTGCGTGTGCACAGGGTCCCCTCAGGTGCTGTTGGGCTGGAGCCCCTGACCCGGGGCCCCGCCCCGAGGGGCTGAGAACACCCAAGGCTGGCGGGGGGCCTGGGGGAAGATGCCCAGAGTGCGCTGCCTGTCTGTCTGCAGTGGGGGTCCCCCAGGCTGGGAGACAGCAGCCCAGCACGAGGTCACCACCCTACTGAGGCCCTGGGGCTGGCCGGTCTGGGGGTCCTTCCCAATGGTCAAGTGCTCCAGAGACAGAGAAGGTGACAGCCAGACTTCTTCCTGAGCTGGAGGCTGAGGCAGGCAGCTTCCCATCACTACCACAGGTCGCAGCATGGCTGCCTCATGCAGCGAGAGCTCAGTGCGGCCCAGGGTTCTGGAGTCAGCTCCGTGATGGGTTGGTGCTGTCCCTCGGGCCCAGCTCATCGCAGCAGAGGCCAGGAAACCTGGAGAGGACAAGCCAGGCCCAGGTCCCGTGAAGGCACCCAGGCCCAAGAGACCTCCTGGCAGCACCCTGGGTAGGCCTGGCCTTTAGGTGGGCCTCGGGGACCCGTAGGAGACCACGAGGAGGCTGGCACTCTCAGCGGGGCAAGAGCCTTGATAGGCTGGGGCTGTGTGACCCACCTTGCCCTTTGCTCCCACGTCCACTTCCTGGCAGAGCCGCGGTCTACCCTCTGTCACGCAGGCCCAGGTGGTGACTGTCGCCCTCTTTCCATCCATCTGTGACACGAGTCCTGCAGGCAGCTTCGCCCGCCCTTTCTGCCCTTTGGTTAGAGATCCACAGACTTTCTGCAGAGAGCCGGGCAGGGATCATGTGAGGCCGGGGGCCTGGCTCTGGTGCTCTGTGTCCAGGTGGACACAGCTGCCTTGCCCACTTTCTGTCACTGTGCCAGAGGCCAAGCTGGGCATGCTGTGACTGAAACGGGATTGCTCTGATTTGGAGGCTGAGGTTCCAGATCAGGTAGCCCCGTCAGTCTGGCTGCTGGTGAGGGCTCCTGAGCTCTGGACAGCAGAGCGGCAGGTGAGGCCTTGCTGATGGAGCCTCTCAGAGACCTCTGCCCCCCACACCCAACGACCCCGTGACCCAAGTACTATCCCTGGGGCTGGACCCCGCCTCTGCAGCATCGCCACCCTGGGGGCTGGGCTTCCTTACCCAGGCCTCAGGCACCATCTAAGCCTACTAGAGCTGGGCGGGCCTGTGTAGCCTGTGCACTGCTGTCCCGGGGACTTGACTATAACAGAACCCGGAACCCGAAGCCCTGGCCCCAGCCTAAGCTTGCCCAAGGGCCACTTCCTGCACTGCCTCCCAAATGAATGAATGAATGGGGGGGGGGGGAGGTGAGTAGGTGCAGGTCTGGAGCACAACCTCCTCAACATGGTCTGTGGCAGCACGCACGTGGATGGTGACAGTTGTCCCAAACAGGCAGCGCGTGTGACATCAGCCTGGGCCTCGAGCTGTCTAGGACACCCCAGACGGTGGGAGAGGGCACTGGGGATGACACAGGGTGTGGCCCAGGGTCACCCTGCACCCTGGTCTCCAGGAAAGCAGTCACAGCGCGGGCCTTGAAGGAGACCTGGGCGGCCATCGTTCTCCAGCGCCACTGCCGCGGGTACCTGGTCCGCAGCCTGTACCAGCTGATCCGCGTGGCCGCCATCACCCTCCAGGCCCACACCCGAGGCCTCCTGGCCAGAAGGAAGTACCGGAAGGTAGGGCCGGGGTTGGCCAGGGCTGGGGGTCAGAGCAGGCGGTTGGCACCCAGGGCCTGCTGGGTGCTCAGCTGGCAACAGGAATCCCTGCCTGGTGCCTGCGCCACCCAGCACTGAGGTCCATGTGCATCGCTGCGTAGATGCTGGAGGAGCACAAGGCAGTGATCCTGCAGAAACACGCGCGGGCCTGGCTGGCCAGGCGCAGGTTCCAGAGTATCCGACGCCTCGTGCTCAACGTGCAGCTGGCCCACAGGGTCCAGCGTCTGCAGAAGAAGCTGGAGGACCAGGTGGGAAGCCCTGGCGTGTCATGCACATCCCATCTTCTAACGGGTCTGTTGCGCTCTGGACCAGATCCTCAGCTCTGCTTTGCAGATTCATGCCTGGGTTGGGAGCTACAAACACCTTACACAGGCCGACTGAGCTAGAAAATACAAGCACTCTGCAAAGGGGTTCCCTGTATGGTTGTATATGTTGCTCACTGCACAAGGAGGAGAAGTGGCGCTGAACTTCAGCCAACTACCACTTGCCAGGACCTGTGCCCCGTGAAGCTATGCCCTAATTTTCAGAGATGCCATTTGCCTCCTTTGCTGCAGCTTGCCGGTGGGAGTTTGGGATGTGCCCGCCAGTGAGAACAAACAATCCACCTGCTGCCTGGCGAGGCTATGCCTTGCAGTATGTGGGCTGGAGGGCCTCCCACCATCCGACCTGGCCCCTGGGCCCACTGCAGCTAAGTGGGGGCTGGGGACACATGAGGCCTGAGGGCCTGTGACCCTGTCCCGTGGCAGGTCTGCCTGTGGCATGGTACACAGGCCAGATTTGCAGGTGGCGACTTTCTGTCCTGAAGCCCTGGGGCACAGACCCAGGAGTGGGTGCAGCTGGCTCACCTGTGCCCCTCTGGCTGGCAGCTGTCCTTCTCTATCCTACACACTGGGTGTCCCTTTCTGTCCCTGACTGCCCCCTTGTGGCCCCAGTCACCAAGTTCCTGCCTCACATGCCGAGGTGTCCAAGGCCCAGGATACAGCCTCTGTGTGTAGCCCAGAGGGAACACTGGGCAGCCATGGCACTGGCATTGCCGTGGGCCAGCACTGGGTGGACCCCACACTACCAACCTGGGATGTGCTGTGTCCCTCGCCATGGAGAAGCCCTGCCACACATCCACGGGGTGACTGACATGACAGTGAACACTGTCTTCCTCTCGAGAACCCCTGACCCCGGCCCTCTCTCCTGCAGAACAGGGAGAACCACGGGCTGGTGGAGAAGCTGACCAGCCTGGCTGCCCTGCGGGCTGGCGACACAGACAAGGTTCAAAAGCTGGAACAGGAGCTGGAGCGGGCAGCAGCCCAGCGGCGCAGCACCGAGGAGAAGGAGAGGAAATACAGGGATGCTGTGGAGCAGGTGCTGGCACTGGTGGGACACATGCCCCTGGGCAGAGCGGGCAGCATGTGTGGGGACTCAGGCAGGGCTCATGTGCAGAGATGAAAGGCGGCTGTGTCTCCTGGGAGAGGTTTGCAGAGTGACTGTGATCCTGGAAGTCACCCTCGCTGTGTCCTTCGTCGGGTGGCTCTGAGCCTCTGTCCCCACTCAGTCACCTTCCACAAACGGCAGCAGGAGGGTCTCACCTACTGGCGTAGGGAAGAGCGACAGACCTAGAAGGCCAGGGTCCTGGATTCGCACCCAGGCCCAGCTGCTGCCCAGCAGGGCAGCCTGGGCCAGTTCCCTCCCTGAGTCTGGGTTTCTTTGAGTATGAAATGGGAACAACACAGACAAATGGGCATTGCTACCCTGAGGGGACACCAGTCAGATGAAACCAGGGGGTCAGGGGCCCATAAGAGGCCCCCAGTGAAGGCCACATGCCGTCCAGAGATGGCCTCAGTCATCTCCCTCTCCAGACCCTTCCAGGTCTTCAGGGTCACCGCTGGGAGGCGGGAGTCCCCAGGTTACTGGTGCCAAGTGCATCCGCCTGCCGCTGGTCCCCAGCCGCCAGTGCCAGGGGTCCCAGCAGGCTCATGAGCAGCAGAGAGCAGCAGAGGCCCTGCTGCATCCACGCCACCCAGGCAGGACAATGTCCAGGTGCCAGTCACTGAGGTCCTGCGGTCAGGACGGAGGGGCCACCTCGGGGGACAATAGGGAGCTTCCTCGGCAACTTGGCTCCTTCTCCGGGGGCCGGCAGGGGACAAGTGTCTGCTTTGAAGTCACCTCGAGGCCCAATACATGGACCGGAGGGAAAATGACCTAACTCGGGAGCTTACAGCTCCTCACCAGAAGCCCAACAGACTTGCAGCAAGGTTTGCAGAGGAAGTCGTTCTGTTTTTTCCTTCCCCTTGCTAGAAACTGGCAGCCCTGCAGAAGCACAATTCAGAGCTGGAAATCCAGAAAGCGCAAGTACAGCTGCGGCTTCAGGAGAAGACGCAGGAGCTGGAAGGTGAAGACCGGGGCGGCTCTGCACTGGGAGGCCGGGGGCGTACGGTGGAGGGGGCTCCCAGGGTGGGGGGCACGGGGCTGAGGGTGCACGCAGCGCTGGTGTCACCATGATGGGCAGTGAGCTCTGGGGCAGGGAAGCGAGCGTTTCTGCTCAGGGAGGCGCCCCTCACTGAAGAGCCGGCTACACACTGCAGGCTCTGTTTGAGACCCAGCTGTCCTCCCGATTACCGTGGGTGAGTGGCTCTCAGTGGTGGTGCTTTTGCCACCCGTCCGCCTGGGGGTGCCAGGCAAGGTGTGGAGAGAGTTTTGTTGTCTCAGAGCTCCTGGCTTCCGGGATGTGGGGCAGAAGCCAGGGCTGCTGCTCGGAATCCTGCGGCACACAAGGTGGCTCCTGTGCCTGTTCCTGATCTCCCATTCAGTTCCTGGGAGTGTTTATTGTCCTAAAGCTTTCAATATACAGACAAGACTCAGACAGTGGCTGCACCCTAAGGACACAGGTTGTTCCCAGATCCCAGGTGGCCGGTGTGTTGCCCTGAAGCCCCCTCTGCGTCTCCAGGGTGTGGGAAGCGTTGCTCTGGTCTGAAGCCCAAGCAGCTGTAAATACCATGGATGGTTCTGTCCGCCGCACCTCCCCGACCTGACAGCCCTCAGGCACTGCTCTGGCAGCCGCATGGCAAAGAAGTGTTCGTATTTCTCTTTGCACAGAACAAATGGACAAGCTCACCAAGCAGCTCCTGGACGACGTGCAGAAAGAGGAACGGCAGCGGGCGTACGTGGCTTCGTTTGCCTGCACGGCACCGCTCTTGCTCTCTTGCCCTCTCTGTCTGCTGCTTCTCTTCTTGGCTTGCAGGGGGCTGTGCGGGAGGCCGGGCAGCACCTGCGGTCAGGGAGGGGCAGGCCTCAACTCTGTCCCCTTGCGTACCTTTCAGTGGACTTCACACCTAGGCCTGCTCCAGCCCGGTGCGCTTCCTGAAGTGCCAGGCTGAGCCTGCCCGAGGCTCAGAGTTGGGTGTCTTACCTAAAATGCTTGGAGCTGGACGCCTGTCAGAGTCCGGAAATTGTTTTTTAAATTTTGAAATCCATGCTTCGACCTGACCAGTTGAGCAACACTAACCCAAAATCCAAAACCCAAAAATGCTCCCAATCAGAAGCCTTCTGAGCAGCTCAACATCAGTGATCTGAAAGTTTTGGATTTCAGAGCATTTCCGAGGTTGGATTTTCAAGGGATGCTCGACTTGTATTAATTTGTCCAGGATCAAATGGAGCACTGCAGTGCTCCTGAAGCTGGGCGGGGCTGAGACACGGGACCCCTGGGACATAGCACCTCCCAGGGCCTCCTGGTCCCCCACAGAGCCGCCTCTCCTGGGCTGAGAGGCAGAAGTCACCTCTACCCTTGAAAGTGGGCACTGTCACAGTAGTTCCTGACCAGCCTCCCCCAAGGCACAGGGGTCTCCCCTTTTTACTTCCAAGGGTACGCTGCTCTAATTCAAAGGCTCCAGAGTTGATCCTAGGCTAATTCTTTTCTCCCTTGCTGCCCAGCCTTCTTGAGAAAAGCTTTGAGCTGAAGGCGCAGGACTACGAGAAGCAGCTGCAGTCTCTGAGAGAAGAGACCCTAGCTCTGCAGCGAGAGAAGGCGCAGCTGCAGCGGGAGCTGGAGGAGGAGCGCGTGGCCCGGGAAGGCCTGAAGGGGGAGGTGGCTCGGCTAAGCCAGCAGGCAAAGGTACGGCTCGGTGGCCCCCAGGGGACAGTGGTGTGGTCCTACAGGACAGACTGGGGACATCTGTGGAAAGGCTGAGGCCAGCAGGAGCCTGAATCTTTCTGGGTGTCCACGTGGGGGCCCCAACTTCTTGGGTTCAGCAGCTATCTTGTTCTGTGTGCTGCTTCGGCTCCCCAACTCTTGTGGGGTCACCTTTACCTAGTGCTAAATATGTGCCTCGAAGGATCTGCCCTGGGTGTCCTCTGAATTCTCCAGCAGAGCTGCTGGTCTGGGCCCTGTTGGTTAAAAGCAGGGGATCGGACCAGGAAGTTTCGATCAGCACAGGTTCCTGCGCTGCCTCCATCTGGGGAGCTGGAGGGTCAGCTGTGGGAGGGTCAGCAGTGGGAGGTCCAGCCATGGGAGGGTCAGCTATGGGAGGACTGGGTGTGGGAGGTCCAGCCATGGGAGGTCCAGCCGTGGGAAGTCCAACGTGGGAGGGCCAGGTGTCTGGGAATCTGGTGCCATATCCCTGTTCTGTCCTAAAGCTGCCAGGTTGTGAGCGGCCATTGGCATGATGCACCAGTAGGTGTCACTCGCTGCACTTGAGTGGCCACATCTCAGGCTCAAACTCTAATGTGACACAAAGGCATCTATTTTTCAAAGAAATAACCAGTTGTTAATCAGGTTATGTATGCAATGATAGGTCTACAACAAGCAAATACAAGTAGCATTCGGGACTCTTGCTGAAATGTCACCAAGAGGAACAGGACTTTTGGACAGGCCAGTCTAGTCCCCCAGAAGCTTAGCATGTGGCCCTGAACATGCCACTTGACCTTGACTCAGCAGTGCGGAAAGGCACAGTGCCTGGGACTCCCACAGGGACACTGTCCCCATGTCCAGTGCCAAACATGACCGCTGCTCTCCTCCCACCTGGGGCCCGACAGACCATCTCTGAGTTCGAGAAGGAGATCGAGCTGCTGCAGATGCAGAAGATCGACGTGGAAAAGCTGGTGCAGTCGCAGAAACGGGAGATGAGAGGTGACAGTGCAGGGTGGCTCCGCCTGGGGACTGACGGGCATGGCGGTGTCACTGGGCTGCAGAGGAGCTCTGTCCTTGGCTGGGAGAGTCGGGTTGGTTGCCCTGGGGTTTGACAGCCAGGTGGTGGAGCTCGGAGAATGGCAAGGCACTGGGGCAGCTGCCACATTCCCGGCTGGAGACCAGGAAAACAGAACCCGGGGCCCTGGAGAGGTCGAGGGAAGAGGAGACACACAAATGGAACCCGAAAGCCCTGCTTCTCCTTCCAGAGAAGATGTCCAAGGTCACCAGGCAGCTTCTCGAGAGCTACGACATTGAAGACGTGAGGAGCAGGTGATCGCTGTTGTGTTCACAGACGCTGAAAGCTCGTTGAAGCAGCAGAGAGACGAGTCCCTCTTCACTGCTTGTCTTCCAGGCTGTCTGCAGAGGACCTGGGGCGCCTGAACGAGGACGGGGAGCTCTGGTTTGCATACGAAGGGCTCAAGAAGGCCACGAGGTAAGAAAGCGCCCCTGGGATGGTTCTGGTTTTCAGATAACAGACTTGGGAAAGTGACTGGCTCACTGATGGACATTTGACGCACAGAGTAAAACTCACAGTGGGAAGAGCTAATGATCACAGATGGTGTTTTTATGGAAGTTAAATACTTACACTTTTTTTTCTTTCCTGGTTGGTGCTTGAACTCACAGCCTCCATGCGAAGCTGAGCCACACCCTTTAAACACGTTTTGAGACGGGTAGTCTTGGGTCACTAAGTTCCCAGGTTGGGCCTGAGCGTGTGCCCTCCTGCCTCAGCCTCAGTGCCGGTCCAGCATGCCCAGCAGGAGCGCTTCCTGTACAGGAAGAGCTGCCTAGTCATACCAGCTGTTCCTAACCAGCAGCCTAGAAGCCAATCCCATCAAATAAGCTGGCCATGTCTGCATGGGCAGCTGGGTACATTTAAGGACTTTGCAGCATTTAAGTTAACAAACTTTATTGTTTACAGTAGTTTTCGGTTCCTAGCAAGACCAACCTGAGTGGCGCACGTAGAGTTCCCACCTGTCCCTCGCCCCCTGCATGTGCCTGGCCTACCCCAGGGCTGGACACTGACCTGTCCCTGCCACCCAGCGACCACGGTCATGGCAGGATTGGCTCTCGGGGCTGTACTCCTGGGGGCTTGGACGAGTGGCTACAATACCACACGTCTCCTGTCACACTGGGCCCACAGAATCTCAAACGCTTAGGCGGGAAGCAACCAGCTGAGGGGGCTGTAGGAAGTTTTTATTACTCGGTGCTGATTAGCACCACACAGCACCTGTCACCAGCTGCAGGCGTCCCGTACCTGCTCTGGTCCCACTCTGGCTCCTCTGCACGCTGTGAAACGGGGACCTCGAGGCTTACTTTTCAGCCTGCCCACACAGGGTCCTGGAAAGCCACTTCCAGTCCCAGAAGGACAGCTATGAGAAGGAGATCGAGGCTCTGAACTTCAAAGTGGAGCACCTCAGCCAGGAGATCGGCCGCCTGCAGAAGCTGTTCCGAGAGGAGAGCGATGTGCATGAGAACGTCCGGCTCGAGGTGGCCCGGCTGACCTTGGAGAACATGGTACGGGGCTGGCCGGCGAACCAGCAGGGGCCCCGGTGGAGTCAGCTCGGTTCCTTGCAGGCAAAAGACGGAATTTAAATCACTGTTTTCTTTCTTTCACCCCCAGCCCTTCGTCCTTTTACCTGTGAGATAGGGTGTCTGTCATGGTTACTTTTCTCTTGTTGCTGGGACAAAACACCTGACACTCAAAATGAAGGACGGAGAGGTTTATTTAGCTCACAGTTTGTGGAGGCTTCAGTCCATCATCAGCTGGCTCGCAGGCAAGGTGGCCTGGTACTGGGGCAACGCTTCAAGATGGTAGAAGACAGAAAATGCAGCAAGAGCTAAAGGGAGAGAGCCAGTCTCTTTTCTTTATATCGTACACAAGCTAACCTCGAGGGCAGGCAGTGCACTCACAAAATCTCTGTGCCCTCCTCTGCACAGGCTGGGGATATTTACAAATGAGGACCTTGGCTCCCTGCTGGGTCCTCAGTTAAACTTCTAAGCTTTTCAAGTTGATCCAGTGTATCACCCGTTAACAGGGGAATCTCTAGCTTGTCCGCTTGCCAAACCCAAAGGCTCAGCGTGGCTCTGAAAGAGAAGGCGTTCAGACCTGTTCCGCTGTGCTCTGGGCCTCCTGTGAGGATGTGAGGCTCTCCCGGGCAGCAGGCAGTGGATTTTACCTGAATGGGTGCAGGTGATGGGCAGTGAGGAAACACCAGATCTGAGAGGGAGGCAGTCGGTGGAACATGGAGGGCCATTCCTAACCTGGCCGGGAGCAGAGGCAACCAGGGACGGCCTGAGGTGGCCCTTCCCGTACTTGGAGGAGGACCTGCATCTCTGGGTGCAGGGCACAGGGCTCAGGGCGAGCCTCTCTCTCCCCAAGTGGCTGTGGGTGCTGCTCCTGAGGAGCATGCTGGGAATTCTCCAGACTGCTGCATAGATCTCAGGGTTAGCAAGGCAAAGCAAAGGAGAGAAGAAGGCAGGCGGACACTCGCGGCTCCTGAGCCTCGGCTCTGCATCCTGTGGGTGGGCTCGGAGGGAAGAATTTAACATTCTAACATGGTCACTCCTCTCTAAAGATGATTCCAGACTTTAAACAGCAGATTTCAGAGCTGGAGAAACAGAAGCAAGAGCTCGAACTCCGCCTCCAGGAGCAAACGGAGAAGATGAAAGGTGCGGAACCGGCTCCATCCCTCGGACACCACGTAGGACAGAGCCACTGCCCTCAGAGCCTGGGCTGCTGTCTGGGCCTGGAGGGGACAGGCAGGTGGGACTGGAGCCCGGAGGGTAGGCGTGGGGCAGCTGTGGGGGCAGTGACACCCGCCTCTCCCCGCAGGGAAGACAGAAGAGCTGTGGGACCTGCTCAGCCGTGAGGAGGAGGAGGAAGAAGGGGCCCCGAGAAGGTAAGTGTGGCCCTGTGGCCCCCCGGGGCCCCCTGCCTTCAGGATGGCAGTGCTTGTGTGACGGTCACACTGATGGAGATGTTCCTGCCACCTTCCCCAGGGCCCTGGACTCCCAGAGTGAAAGAGACACCGCGGTGGAGGAGCAGCTGAGAGGGCGGCAGGGGGCTGGGGAGCTGAGGCAGCCTTCAGAGGCTAGAGGGGAAGCGTCCGGGCTTCTTTTGGAAAACAGGGTGAGAATTTGTGACCGTGTGCTGGGCAGATACCGGAGTGCTAGCCTTGCCCGTAGGGGGACACGCCTCCCGGAGCGCACAACTGCAGCTGTAGAACTAAAGTCCTTCCAACAACACGGCCTTTTCCTTGTTTCAAAAGACCTGTGAACCAAGCAGGCATGGTGGTGGGTGCCCTCAATCCCAGCTCTTGGGAAGCTGAGGCAGGAGAATCTCCACAAATCTGCGGTCAGCCTGGACTACCTAGTGAGCTCAAGGTGGAATACATCATAGTGAGACTCTTTCAAAAAAACTCTCTCAGAATTCAGGAAGAACTGAAACACTGCATCCATGCCCTTTACAGGAACTGTTTCCAGGAGTCTAGAACTCTGCTTGGTCTTAGGCCAAATCCAGCTTGGTGAGGCCAAGGAGAGCAAATCCAGGACTTGGTCTCTGAGCAAGTCTCTGGCTCCTGCCTGCCTGGGAGCCCATCTCCCCATGCTCGTGGTTCTAAATTCCTCATGACAGACATCACTGGGAAGCAGTGCCTGTGGCAGTGCTCCTGTGTCACTGAGGTGCTCAGAGGGGCACTCAGAGCCTCACACCATGGTCAAGAGGCCTAAGGGCCACGCCTCGTGCAGTGCCGTGGGGGGGAAATGTCTAGCACAGGAGTGAGTCCGTGACTACAGGGGTGAAGGAGTTGGGGGGCCACAGTGACAGCTGCAGGTGTCGGCTGAGGATTCTAGGGGTGCAATGGTGGCAGTGGCACAGCCCTGGCTCTACAGAAACCCCTGAGACGGGCCAGTGTGAGTGCAGAGTGGAGCAGGGCTGCATACAGCCATCCGCAAAGAGCAGGCGAGGGCAGTTCTGCGCTGACGTCCTGTTCTACTGTCCGAAGGGTCTCGAGGAAGAGCTGGACATGAAGGACAGAGTGATTAAAAAGCTGCAGGACCAAGTGAAGACCTTAACCAAGACCATTGAAAAAGGTGGGAAAGTGAGGTTCACTGTCTGAGCCTTTCCGGCTTTTGGCCGAATCCAAAGCCCGGGGACCGCAGGGGACAGTTCCCAAGCTCAGGCATGGATGGCAGGAGAGAGCGCCCGACTGAGGCAGGAGAGTGCACTGCCCTGGGGTAGATCAGCCTGGAGGCTCTGCCGCTACAGGGGTGCCCTCGAGGTCACTTTTCCTTTGTGAGTACCCCCTTTTTAAAGGCTTTTACTTTTTAATTTTATCGTACAGGTCTGGGGTATGTGATGATCACATAACGCATCACAAATCCCTTCTTCATCCCCTTTCCTTCCCCTCCTCTCTGCCTCCACCTTTGGACCCCTCCCCTTTCGCAAAGTAATCTGTCTGCATTTCTATCATTTATCCTTTGCTTCGCTCTTGGTATGAATTTTGAGGCCCTCATCTAGGGAAACCATGTGATATTTAAGCCATGCATCTGGGAATCGCACTCCAGGCCCTTTGCTTGCAGTTAGTTTAGTTTAGTTTAGTTTATTATCTGGTTTATGTCACTTGATGTTAACAGCCTCGGAGCATCCATTTACCTACAGGTGACTCACGTTATCCTCAGGGCAGAGTAAATCTCCACTGTGTGAATACATTGCCTGATGCTTCCGTCTCTTGATGGACCTACAGGCCATTTGGTAGAGTTAGTAATCATCGTGGACTGTGTTTCTGTAAACCCGGGTGTGCCTGTATCCCTGTAAAGTGATGTTTGTAGCTCTTACAAAAAGAAGTCGGGAAGGGGAATATCAGGGTCAAATGGAGTTTACAGGGTTAGTTTTCTGAAGATGCTCCGTACTGACTTCCATAGTGGTTGTACGGGTTTACATTCCCACCAGCAATGTAAAAAAGTTGACCCTTCCCTCCAATCTCACCAGCACTTGTTAGTGTTTGATTCCTTGGGGATAGAAATCCTGTGTTGTTTTAATTTGCGTTTCTCTAGTGGCCAGAGACAGTGAATGTTTTTCAGGCATTTGCTGGCCATTTGTGCTTCGTCTGAGAAAGGTCTATTTATTCAATTTCCCATTTTTGATTGGGTCTTTTATTTGGGGTTCTAGTTTTTGAGTCCTTTATGTATCTCCCCACTTCCTGATATTCTCCTTGATTTCCCTTTTCAGGGTACTGTAGTTGTCATGGTGGAGATCTTTCACTCTCTTGGTTAGGTTAATTCCTGTGTTTAATTTTTATCGCTATTGGAAATGGTATTGGGTTCCCACTTCCTTCTCAGTAAGTTCATTGTTGAGGTACAGGAACACTACTGGTTTTGTGTATTCATTTTGAATCCTCCTACACTACTGAGCTGGTTAACTGTACCAGTTTTGGTGGCATTTTGGCCCTTCTTTATAGAGAATCAGACCATCTGCAGATGGTGATGGTCTAACTTACCCCTTTCCTATCCTACCCCTTTTATTTCTTTCCTTTTCCTGACTGATCTGGCTAATGCTTTGAGTGCTATGTCAAACAGGAGTGGTGAGAGTGTCTACTCCTGATTTTAGAGAGAAATCTCTCACCTTTTAATATAATGTAGGCATAAGGTTTGTCATAGATGGCTCTATCAGATTGAGATAAAGCCCTTTTATATCTGTTTTCTTCTAGGTTTTTTCATGAATAGACTTTGGACTTTGCCAAAGGCTTTCTCTGCACCTGCTGAGATGCTGATGTGATTCTCATCCTTGTTTCTGTTTCTGTGGTGAATGACATCTATTGATTTAAATGCATACATCAAACCACCCTGAGATGGCGCCTACTTGGTCTGATGTGTGACGACTTTCTGATGATGACTTGTTGTGCTCTGTTTGCCAGTATTTTCCTGAGAACTTTTCTTCTATGTTCATATAAGAGATCGGTCCGTAGTTCTCTTTTGTGCTTGGCTGTTTGTCTGGTTTTGGAATCAGGTGAACGCTTGTTCCAGGAATGACATTGGGGGTACTGCTTCCCTTTCAGTGTCATTGAAGAGTTTGAGGCATGTGGCTGTTAGATCTTTCCTGAAGTCTCTGTAGAATTCACTGGTGAATTCATTGGGTCCTAGGCTTTTCTTACTTGGTAGGTTTTTTTTATTATTGTTTCAATTTTTTTAAATCTTAAAATGAAAAAAGGATAAAAATGATAATATAGAATTCCAAAACAAAATTATTGCTTCAATTTCACTACCTGTTATTGGCCTATTCAAGATTTTTATATTTTCTTACTTCTGTTTTGGTAATTCTCATGTATTTAGGAATCTCTCCATTTCTTCTGGATCCTCCAATTTATTGGTGTACAGGTTTTCAAGTAGTTACTAATAATCTGAATTTCAGTGGTGTCTTTTTTGATTTTGCCTTTTTAATTTCTAAGTTCACTGATTGGTCTTTTCTTACGTTTTTGGGTAAGGCTGGCTAAGCGTTTGTCTCTTCGGTTTATTCTTCTCAAGAAGCAGCTGTTTGATTCGTTGACTCTGTAGTTTTAAAAAATCTCAATTGCATTGATTTCTGTCCCGATCTTTATAATTTTCCTCCTTGTCCTAGCTTTGGATTTGGATTTCTTGTTTTTCCAGGCCCCTCGAAAAACACCATCGGGTCACTTATGCGGGCTCCCTGTGCCTTTCCCATGTGGTGTGCACAGCTGTAAACCTCCCTTGCAGGACTGTTTGCACTGGGTCCCGCCGGTGAGCTCCTTTTCTAAAAGTGCAGCTGTGAAAACTCCCCAGATTCACTGCCCAAGATGCCCCTCTCCGCCCCACAGATTTGGGCCCAGTGACCTCCCACACTTTCTTGGGAGAAGGCAGAGGCCCAAGCACCAGGCGAGCCCTGCGGGTGCCCCGGGCCCCTGGGTCCCTGAGCTTTGCCCAGCTTCTGTGCTCTCCCTGCCTTCTGTCCTTTGCTCTATGTCCTTTCTCCTCCCCTCCCAGCTGGCCTTGCTCAGCTGTGTCTGGACTGTCTGTCGCTGTCCTGGTCTTTTCTTTGCAGGGCTCCTCTGTTCTTATGCCTTCGCCTCTTACCTCAAGCCTCCATGTCCAACCAAACTGAGCTCTTTCGCCCTCGCTCTAAGTGATGCGAGTGCTCTGCCCCAGGGGAGCAGGGCCAGGCCTGTCCATCCAGCCTTCGCTGTCCCCCTGTCCACACACAGGCAGAAGATCCACCTGTCTTCCAGATTGCAGACACTGTTTGTCTTTACACTTCTTTCTTCGCTTTTCTATCATCACCTCCAGCTCAATTTGTCTGAATCAGAGCTCACAGCCTCCCTGCCTGGGTCTGTTATCCGTGATTGTATAGCAAACTGCTCTGAAACTTAGTGACCTAGAACAGTTGACACTTAGCAATACCAGTGAGCTGAGGGGCTCAGTTTCTGACTTCTGGCCTCCAGCAACTTTCTGACCTCTGAACTCCAGCGCCGTAGGACTGAAAGCTATGTTGGTTCTTCTGGGGTGCTTCTCAGCGGCAGAGCACGTGCTTGGCATTTGGGAGGTCCCCAGTTCAGTCTTGAGCACAAAAGAGAAAAAATGTGCTGTTTCAAGCTGCTACGCTGGTGATGACGCCTCACGCAGGCCCAGGAAGTGAGTCCAGCCATGGTCAGGACTGGGCTGGTTTCTCTGCACACCCCAAGTCCTGCGTCTCCCTTCCTGCACACAGCAGCCCCATCCTGGTGTCGGGTTGGCATCTGTCTGGTCCCACTGTGCTGTGCTGGACCTGCCAGGCACTGGAGACCCTTCCACCCAGCCAGCCTTCATGGCAGTGGCTGTCACCAAGCCAGAGCCTGCAGGAGCCAGGCTGAGTGCTCAGGAAGCCTGGGCACTGGTGTTGGGGTGTGGCTGACTTTGGCTTCTGTCTGCAGCCCAGGACGCACACCCATCATCGGGACCCACGGAGTACCTGGGCATGCTGCAGTACCGGAGGGAAGATGAGGCCAGGCTCCTCCAGAACCTCATCCTTGGTAGGCACCCGGCTGGATGTCTGTGGAGTCAGGGCCCCAGTGCCCCACGGGGGAGGCCCTGCTCCCCCCAGCCAGGGTTCCCCCCCCCCAGCAGTATGAACCAGACGCCCCTTGGACCTTGAAAGGAGCCGAGGGGCTATGCCTGGGGCGCAGAGCAGATCCTCCACTTCTGCCCACTCCAAGCCCCAGGCAGCCCCTAGTTATGTCCTCTCTGATATTGTTAAGCATCCCGAGTGGTGGGGCATCCGAGATGGTCCTCAGCTGAGACCCCCACCCCGCTCTTTCCTGAGCCTGCCCCTAGGGTCAGGAGCTCCTCTCTGCAAGGGGCGTGGCGGTGGCTCTGTGCCTCCTTGACCTTGGGGTGTCCCCTTGCAGGCACTGTGGTAGGGGTCCCCATGGCACATGCTCAGGGTGAGGGTCTGGAACTGACCTTACTCCGCTCCCCGTACCCTGCCTTCTGCCGTGTTGTCTAGGCTCAGAGCTTTAGGTAGAAAGGTGGGGTGTGACCTTGCCATGTTCCCTGAGGACCGACCCCCCCCCAAGGCCCCCCACTTCACTGTCTCCCTGGTGCCAGCAGCAGGGCCCCCATGTCTTGTTCCCATCTTAGCGCAGTGTGGAGGGCCTCGCTGGCCTCTTTGAGTCCTTCTTACGCGACCCATCTGCTCCATGTCCCCTCTGTCCCCGCCCCAGCCCGCGTGGCCTTCCTGCAGCCTGGCCACCTGCACAGGGCAGTTTCCTGGGGTGGTGAGGCTGCCCCATCTCACCCTCATCGGATCAGAGAAAGTGCTCTGCAGATGAGCGGAAACCCCCAGGGATCTGCCATCCAAGGGCCCCCGCCAGCCTCCTCAAAGGGAAACTAGGGTGGGTGGAAGCCCAGCCCAGTCCAGCCCAGTCCAGCCCAGTCCAGCCCAGCCCAGCCCAGCCCAGCCTGCCCAGCTCCCAGGACAGCGCCCCACAGCGCCCTCACTCCTGCCCCCTGCAGACCTGAAGCCCCGTGGCGTGGTGGTGAACATGTTGCCCGGGCTGCCGGCGCACATCCTGCTCATGTGCCTGCGGTACGCTGACGCTCAGGACGACGCGGCCATGGTGCGCTCCCTCCTGGACGGCGCCATCAGCGCCATCAAGCAGGTGGTAAAGGTATGTGGGGCCTCACACCTCCCCTGGGGATGGACTCAGCCCTGTGGGCCCAGCAGTGTCTGCCCGTCCCAAGCATCACTAAGCGTCTGGGCACCAGCAGATGCCTGGCACAAGGGCTGAGTCCCCACCGCCCCCTCCCACCCACCCGAGCCCGCACGGGAGGGGGGGCCCAACCCAGTGCCTTCCCGCCTTCCCGCCTCTCCACCCCTGGGAGGATCTCCAGGAGCTCCTCCTGCTGGTCCAGTAGCATTGGTTTTTTTGGGGGGGGGTATTCTCTGACACCCTAGTACCCCTAGCCCCGCCCTCAGAGGCTCCTCCTGTCTTCCAGACTCAGTTTCCCTCTTGCATCTGGGTTGCCTGCCCTCATCCGTGCTTGCCCTCCTCCTGCTGCCCCGTGGGCCACTCTCTGGCAGCCTCTCATCCCTCCACCTCCTCTGGAGGCTGTCACACGTGATCTGTCACCCCTCACCTCTCCATCCCCAAGCTCAGGTCACAGGGCCCACGGCCACTGTTCCCCACGTCCTCCAGTCAGGGCGCCCACCCTCCTCGGCAGCCAGGAGCCCATGGAGGAGACCCATGCTCCTCAGGACCCTGCAGCACCCCGTCACACCACACAGGACTGAGGCTTCAGTGGGAGAGGGGGAAATGACCTGGAGCTGGGCGCCGCCAACGCACAGAACAGCGGAGCTGCGTCTCTCCTTGCACCAGTGGTCAGATGCCTTCGCCCTTTCCTGTGTTTTCAGGAACATCTGGAAGACTTCGAAATGCTGTCCTTTTGGCTCTCCAATACCTGTCATTTCCTCAACTGCCTGAAGCAGTACAGTGGAGAAGAGGTAGGGACCAACCCAGCTCGGGGACAGCCCTACTCTCATGGGTGGCTTCCTGGTCCCCTGGCAGGTCACCCGTAGCCTCCAGGCGTCCTCTGCAGGCAGAAACTCTGGGAGCTCGGCCTCCGCACAGGGCCAGGGAAGGTTCCTTTGCTCTGAAAGCAGAAGGGAAATTCGATGACCTTGACATCCCTCTGTTCAAGACAGCCTGAAATTCGCAGCTCCACGGCTGTCAAAGGTGGCTGTGGAGAAGCCGGCTTGCTGTTGGTGGATTCTCAGGATTCCAGCCCTTTTGTAACCTATCACCAGGCTTCTTGGCATCCAGCTCCGCCTCCACGGTTCTTCTTCCAAATTTCATGGAACTCAAATGACGAAGTAGCTTTTGGGGTCTTCCTGGCTCTTTTCCATAGGCTGGGTCACTCTGTATTCCCCCCAGTGCTGTGTGACGTTCCCAGGGTCTCAGACTTTGTCCAGCACTTGGTCTCAATACACTTTACTCTTTACCGATCCAACAAGTATAAAATGATGTCTGGTGGGGACACAGCTGAGCAGCACAAGTGCCTGCCTGGCACACACAGGTCCTGATATCAACACCTAGTACCTAAAATAAATATAAATAACCCTTCACTCTAGCTTTTGGGGCTGGGAATGTAGTTCTGTGGCACAAGTGCCTGCCTGGCAGGCGTGAATTTGTGAGTTTGATTCTTGGTACCAAAAAGTGGTATTTTCTTACTTACATTGCTCTAGCTTGATTACTAGTGAGGCCGGCTGCTTACTGGTCACTTGGGTTTCCCTTTAATTTGCTGGCTGCACCCTCTCTGTTTTTCCTCAGGCTGTTTTTTCTTGTTGGTTGATAGGTTTTACACAGAATGGATAAAGCGTGGCTTCTCTTCTGATTTTCCTCATGGTGTCCTTTGCCATAAATGCTTTCTGAATTTTGGTATAACTTAAATCCACCCATCCTGTCCTTTCCTGATTTGTGCTTGAAGAAATTCTTCCCTATGACAGTGAGCGTGCCCCTTTCTAAATGTTCACAGTTCAGACTTAGAGTTCACCTGTTTTTATCCACCAAAATCAGGGAGGTCACATGTGGACCTCAAACCAATGGGCGAGATCCAACTATGGTTTCTTCCCAATGTGGAGAACCAGGCCTCCCAGCGGGGGCAGAGGGGCACAGAGCACACCCTACCACTCCCGGGTAAAACAGAGGAGAGACGAGCCGAGGGTGTCACCCCTTGAGAGCCGCAGGGACAGTGATACCAGGAGGAGGGCGGACATGTGCCCCAGAGAGCCCGGTTGGGGCAATGAGCAGCTTTTCCCATCCATCCCTCCCTGTCCCCTCCTGCGGCCCTGCAGCCACTGGGGAGAACCCCCTTCCCATGGCCAGGTAACCAGCCATCCCCTATTTTTATTTCTAAACTCTCTGCTGCCCTTTTCAACCCCTGCCTATCATAATTTTTTTTCTTGAGTACTGAGACTTGAACCCAGGGCCCTGTGCACGCTGGGCAAGCACTGAGCCACAGCCCCATCCATATAGTTGGGTTCTTTTTTTTTTTAGTTTTTGTGATAGGGTCTCGCTGTGCAGTTCAGGCTGGGCTTGAGCTCACTTTGTAGCCCAGGCTGGTCTCAAACTTATGGTGATCCTCCCGCCTCAGCCTCCCAAGTACTGGGATTACAGGTGCATGCCACCACACCCAGTGATACTGTCCTACTGGTAATGCCTTCTTCTTTTATCTCTTTGAATGTTGTACACAGGCCTTTGTCTGTGCCCAGACTGCTGGCTTCACCAACAGCCATTTATTTTCTCCCAGTCCCAGGGCCTGGAATTCTGAGACTGGGTGCCAGTGTGGTTAGCTCCTGGGGGGACTCCTCTTAGCTTAGAATTGCCACCTTCTCCCTGTGCTTTTCTGGGCACACACAGGGCTAAGGGGGATAGAGAAAGGAGAGAGGGGAAACACTCTGAGTTAGTGATGGCCAGGCCCAGGGCTTTGTGCTAAGCTGCTAGGTCGCCTAGGCCAGCCCTGAGCTTCCAGTCCTCCTGCCTCAAGCTCCCAGAGTGCTGGGCTCCAGCAGGGGACCTCCGTGCTGTGCCCTTCTGCGTGGCTGTCCACTTAGCCCTAGGCTGTGGGGAAGGGGTCTGCGGTCATGCAAGAAATCAATGTTTTCCTCAGAGGAAACAAACTACCCTGAACTTGAAAAGCCCATTTGCAACAAGTCAGACCCTGAGTTTCAGGGTGTGAGGGTCATCCAGGTGCTGACCGTATGGTGTGGCGGCGTTTTTCGGTCCCGTGCCCCTGCATGTTCTCATGTTCACGCACTCCCTTCTTTCAGGAATTCATGAGACAGAACAGTCCGAGTCAGAACAAGAACTGCTTGAGCAACTTTGACCTTTCAGAGTACAGACAGATTCTTAGCGACGTGGCCATACGGATCTATCATCAGTTCATCATCGTCATGGAGAATAGCATCCAGCCCATAATAGGTAAGAAGGCCGTGGATGACCAAAAGCGCTCACAGCGACACTGAGGCTTTCTGAAAACACAGACACCCCTTCTCTAGCCCAACACACACCCATCCGCATGCCACAGCGTCCTGCAGATCCCCGTCCTGTCCCCCTGTCCCCGCAGTGCCGGGCATGCTGGAGTACGAGAGCCTGCAGGGCCTCTCGGGCCTCAAGCCCACCGGCTTCCGGAAGCGCTCCTCCAGCATCGACGACACGGATGCCTACACCATGACCTCGGTCCTGCAGCAGCTGAGCTACTTCCATTGCACCATGTGCCAGAGCGGGCTGGATGCCGAGCTGGTGCGGCAGGCAGTGAAGCAGCTCTTCTACCTCATCGGGGCCGTGACCCTGAACAGCCTCTTCCTGCGCAAGGACATGTGCTCCTGCAGGAAGGGGATGCAGATCAGGTGAGGAGGCTGGAGTGGGGGACAGGGTCTTGAGGTGAGCCCAGAGCATGATAACCATGCAGAGAGAGCTGGGACCATGCAGGGCGCATGGCTGGATGCACAAGGTCACACTTGGAACCTGGAGAGGCGGCTGGGTGCGCTGCCTGAGACCTGCTAGTTCTGTCCCCCATCACTTTCTCTGTGGGGAGTGCTGCTGGGGTCAGGGGACACTGGATGTAACATGGCCTGCCCTGTCCCACAAGAGAGTAGGGGGAGCTGTGGGTGGGTCACAAGGAAGTGCTCAGGAAGAGAGGCCCTTGTGGACAGTGACCATGGGGACACCAGAGAGCAGTGTATGCCTGTAATCCCAGCACTCGGAAGGCTGAAGCAAGAGGATCATTGCAAGTTCAAGACCAACCTGGGCTGCAAAGTGAGTCAAGTCCAGCCTGAACTGCACAGGGAGACCCCAGAGACACAGAAACACAGAGAGAGAGAGAGACAGAGACAGAGAGAGACAGAGAGACAGAGACAGAGAGAGCGCTGTGCTGGAGAAATAAAGTGGAGCCTTCCAGACGGGACATCAGCAAAGGGTGGGACGTTGCTGAGGGGACCCTGGAAGGCTCCGTCTGGTTAGGCAGAGGTTCTTCTGGGGAGCAGGACACAGGGAGAGAGGAGTCCATGTCAGGGTGACGGGGTCCAAATCACCAGGTGAAGGCTTTTGGAGTACCTCTTATCCAAGGACACCTCCAAAATCCACATGGTACCTTCGTTTTCAGAGCACCAGGGATTGAAGCCAGGCCCTCACACTGAGCAGCACCCTCAGCTCTTTCTTCATTTCGAGGTGGGGTCTTGCTAAGTGCCCAGGTGGCCCAGACTGGGCTTAAGCTTGGCAGCATCCTCCCTCCGCCTCCCCGAGGGCTGGGAGGACAAGTGTGCACCGTGGCGCCTGCTAAGAACTGCAGCTCCTTGGTTCCTGAAGCCTGACGCTGGTGAAGGGACAGGGATCTGAGCTAGTGTCTGAGTTAACCCTGACGGAGGGACCGGGGATCCCGAGGACCCACGCAGGAATTGATGCCCACATGTGACAGGAGGATCTGGGTGGTGATGGCAGGGAGTTGACAAAGACAGAGTTTGAAGCCCAGAAAGACAGAGAGGCGCCCCTTGTGCTTTTGGCCCTGGGCACAGGCGGACCGGGTGGAGCGATGCCAGGACGCAGTTTCCAGTTGACAGCAGCCTTCCTGCCAGGCTCCTGCTGACCCTGGGAGGCAAGGACAGCGCCCAGTTACAATAAAGCACACAGGAACTGTCCCAAACCTGAGGACCCAGGGCACCCCAGAGAAGGGCTCAGGTGACACGGGCAAGGTGCTCCTGATGTCCACTCACGTGAGCGCCTCAGCACCTCCCGGGCCAGACTAGCCGGGGACTAGAGTTCGCATGCAGTGCAAATGCCGACAACCAGACAGGAAGACCAGACAACAGGAAATCAGATCCAAGGAAAGAACAGGCCCGGCATAGCATGAGAAGGAGCACTGGGCTTTGTGGCCACCAGTGCAGAAGCACACGGGACCAGCTCTTCAGCAGTGCTGGGCAATAGACCAGCCTGAGTGAGGGGGAGCTTCACCGCCTCTGTCCCTGCCGGGCACTGGGAAGATGCCGCCACCATGCAGCTTTGCCTCACGATGGCAGCAGGGCTGTCCTTCAGGAAGTCCATGCTGGGGACTTTGCCTCTGGCTCTGATCAGTGCAGTGGGTGCCCAGGGGTGGTTCTGGCAGGGAGTCTGACAGCCCAAGTAAGGGCCTCCCTCTGCAGCCTGCAGGATCTGGAAGAGCGGTAAAGGCATGGGTTTGGGTCTTGAAGGACGGGGAGGACCCAGCGCACCCCGAGTTAGCTGAGCAAGCCCAGGTGGAAACAAGGGGAGACCGCTGGCAGGGGGTACACGGCCTACTCCAGCCCTCACACCAAAAGTGACGGAGCAGGGCACGGCTTGGGCCCCCAGGAGTCACCACCGACTTGCTTTCCTCTTCATGGGCCTTCGTGGGCCTTGTGGTATGAATGGTCTTTCTCTGTAGAGCTGTTTAGGTTATCCGTTTTGTCCTGAGTAAGTTCAGCGTTTATGGTTTTGAGCAGCATCGGCTCCAACCACACTCATGGCTTCGTCTCTTCCTTCAACTCGCGCTGTGTTTGAGCTCTGTCGTTAGGTGCCTGCCGGTGACAGCCGCGATGTCCTCCTAATGAGCTGGCCCTCTTGTTCCTGTGTGAGTGCCTCTTCCTCCTGCCCGGGAGCTTTTTCTCCCCTGGAGTCTTCTTGGTTGGAATATAGATACTTTTGATTTGTGTTTTCATAGTACCTCTTTTCCAGTTCTTTACTTTAGCTTATCAATCATATTTGAAATCAGTTTCTTTTAGGTAACTTGAAATAGGGTATTGTGAGGGGTTTTTTCTTTTTTAAAAATCAATCTGACAATCTGTGTTTTTAATTGATGTATTTGGACCATTTTAACCTACAGTATTAGTATATTCAGATCTAGATCTACCACTTTATTATTTTTTATTTGTCCCTTTTGGGCCTGGGGGTCTTTTTTGGGGGGTTTTTTAGTTGCTGTTTGCTGGTTTGGCTGGTTGGGTTTTTGTCTGATTTTCTTTTTCTGCCTTCTTTGTGGTGTTTGAACATTTTCTAATATTCCTTTCCAACTTCTCTATTGCATTTTACCACATTCTGCATTTTCTGTAGTGCTTGTTCTGGGTTTGGAGATTTGGTCAAATTCACAGTGAATTATTACGTTTTAAAATTTGCATTGCAGTAAACGTCGCCTTGCCCCCATCCCCTCACTTTAGACACACTCCGCCTGCCTTAGAGCTGCCCTCTGAAGTGCCCCTGAAGTCCGAGTCCCCACTGGGTGGCAAGAGAGAGCCAAAGCTGCAGGTCAGCCCAGAACTGAGGGACCCCAGCCGCACCCTCAGCATAGGGGCCGCTGAACCGAAGTTTCAGGGAGGTGACAGGTCTCCCCTACTGTCCTGTCACCACAGGGCGCGCTCCCTTTGCAGCAGGCTCACCAGGCTGCGCGCTGGGTTTTAACTGTGGCTGTGTCTCATGGGGCTCTGGAAGGGTGTTCATACTCACCTGCGCTCTACATTCCTGCCGCTCTTTCTTCATCCCCCATTCCAGCTCACCTTTATTCCGAGGCTCGATTGGATACAGTTTCCCTTGTGCAGGAAGCAGTTCCTTTTAGAGAGCAGTGATCCTTTTAGAGCCATTTTTCCGGCAACAAAGTTTCCTAAAATGTCTTCCTTCTGCCTTCACACTGAAGGCCCTTGTTGCAGGATGTACCTTTGGGTTAACAGTTCTTCTTTATCATTTTAAAGCTGCCGGTTCCCTTCTCCCTTCCCTCTGTGGCTGCTGGTGAGAAACCCGCCGGCCTCCTCTGGGTGCTGCTCCTCACCTTGGTCGGCTGTTGGGTGGCGGCCACCCTGTCTCCGGCTCCGGTTTCCTGGTTCGATGCTGTTGTGTCTGTGTGGATATCTTTGAGTTTGGCCTGTTGAAGGAAACCCAAAGAAATTTTGAGGTTCTAACCTGCACATCCGTGCCTTTTAACCAAAGGCACATTTTCAGCCATTATTTTTGCAAATATTTTGTCCACTTCTCCCGGGAACTTCAATGACTTCAAGGCCAGCCTTGTCCCCCAGATCCCTAACATTCTGCTGGTTGTTTCCCATTTTCTTCTCTGCTCTTCAGAGTGGGTGACATCTGCCAGCCCCCACAAGTCCCGGCTCCTCTGCCTTCTCGTCTGCCCCGGAGCCCATGCTGCTGGTGCATCTGCTTCCCTTGGGTTTTCAGCTCTAAAATTCTCCTCTGATCTCTGTCCCTGCGGTGTTTCCTTTCTGAGCTGTTCTCTTTCTGCTGGGTCAGGATAGTTCACCTTGGCTTTGGTAGTGTTCCCACGACAGCTTCTGCCAGGCTTTGTCAGATGGTCTGGGTCTCCGCTGTGTGGATGTCTGTGTGACCCGAGGTGGGAACTCATCTGGCCCCTCACACACCGAGGGCGGTTTCTAGTTGTATCCCGGCCACGTCCTGCATTTGCAGTGTGAGGCTCAGCCCTTTGAGTTCTGTGGAGAGTGTGGGTGTTTTTATTGCTTTGGGCTGAGTTCTGAGTCCCCATCCTCTGCACCTGGGGTTCCTGTGTTGGGCCCATTTCACAGCCCTTGTGGTGCTGTTTGCTGTCCCCTTTGTGACACCCAGTGACCAGCCACTCCCTGACTCCGTCCTCAAAGGCTGCATGCGCTGCTCAGATCCATGCATCAGCAGGCTTAGGCACCAGGGTTAATAGATCTCTCCACGCACCTCCCTCTCAGCCACATCCTGGTGCTTTCTGGTCCCCTGAGGGCCTCTCTTCCAGTGTGCTTTGTGCAGGGACCACTTGGGGGGCGCAGGTTGGGCCAGCACCCATCCTCTGGAGCCCCAGCTTCTCCGCTTGAGGGCGAGGCCCCTTCTCTCCACGGTTCAGGCTCCTGCCAGCCCCAGTGCCACCACCACCACCAACACCACCACGCAGTTGTTTGGGACTGGAGCGTAAGAGGATACAGAAGAAAAAAGGGGGAAATGAAATAGGGCATCTCTGCCCTGGGGGTTTCTCACTGGCACTGATGCCTGCTGCTGAGTTTCGGGCCAGTGAAGAACAGCGGGGGCACTCTGGTGATGTCACTGTCAACGTGGATGTCTTCACTGACAGGCCTGCTGCTGCTTCCCCTTGAGACAGCTGCCCTGCCCTCCCGGGGAAACAGAAGATGGACAGCACCCGAGTGCTGTGACCCACAGCCAGGCAGGAGGGTTGGCACTCAGAGTTCAGGCTGAGCTGGGACTGTGGGGCGGATTAGAAGGGGGCGCTAAGCCTTGGCGGGGCCTGCTGCAGGGAAGAAAAGGGAGGGTACAAAGGGGTTCTTTGGGACAAAGAAAGGAGCTGCACGAGAGATTTCCCTTGCACGCATCACACCCATGGTAACTTAGCCTTGCACACAACACACCCATGGGTAACACACCCATGGATACCACCCCAACTCCCAGACAGAGAGAGGCTGATCAGAAGATCAGAGCCGCCCTGACCTCAGAGATCCCAGTGATCGATCAGCTAAGATGGCGCCTGATTGACATTCAACACTCAGACACCTAACAGCTCCCGAGGTGCAATGTTCCACGCATCACAGTGTGCATACTCTGTGGGGTTTGGTCTGTTCGCAGAGTGGTGAAATCACCCTTGTAATATAATTTCAAAACATTTTCATCCCTCCAAAGAGAAATCTCATGCATTAGAAAACTCTCTCGTTCTCCACCTCTGCCTCAGATGCCCCTCCCACCAGCACAGGCAACGACTGATACTTTGCTGCTATCTGTGGATTTGCCTGTTCTGGGTATTTGTACATCAGTGGATCATAAAATACATTCTGTTTAGCTGACAGCTTCTTTAACTTAGAAGTCTCTAATTGTATAGATACCAGCAACTCAGTTTTTTTTCTGAAGCTATCCCATTGCACAGATCTACCGTAGCTTGTTCATTCATTAGTTGATGGACATTTGGTTGCTTTCACTTTGGAGGTCACAGGAATGATGCTGCTACCAACAACTTTGTAGAAGTTTTTGTGTGGACACGTTTTCAGTTCTGGCTATATATCCAGGAGTGAATTGCTGGGTATATTACTCAGCTTTCAGTTACTGTAATAAAATACCAGAGACAGTGAACTCACACAGAAGAAAAATCCTGACTCAGCTCACACACGGTTCTGGAAGATGACTGGGTCTGAAACCTGTGCCTCTTAACTCATAACCCATGATAATTAGTGACACAAATAGAAATGGGAACCCAGGCAGCTGAAAGAAGTCTCCTTCTAGTTGCGATTTTTCTACCCATTCAGGAAAATAATTAATTCTTTTAGATCTATATAAGTCTTCAAGTATCAGTGTTTCATAATATATTTTACAACTCCCCTTTGACAGTTTCTGCAGCCATGTTCTCCACTCAGACGCCCCAAGTCTCAAGCCTTAGTGGTGGTGAAGCTCACCCTGGCCCCCACCATGGAGCTTGGACCGTGGATGCCAAGCTTCACTCCCTAGTCACCCCAGGCTGCACATGGGGACTGCTGGGCCTGTTCCTAAGCTCTGTGACCCTGCTGTCCTGCAGGACTCGGGGGGCCAGCCCTGCCCTGAGTGTCTGCTGCCCCTTGGCTGCCCCACAGATGCAACATCAGCTACCTGGAGGAGTGGCTGAAAGACAAGAACCTGCAGGCCAGCGCAGCCAAGGACACCTTGGAGCCGCTTTCTCAGGTGGCCTGGCTGCTGCAGGTCAAGAAGACCACGGACAGTGATGCCCAGGAGATCGCCGAGCGCTGCACCTCGCTGTCCACCGTGCAGGTGACCAGGTGGCTGAGGGCCCTGGGTCCTCCAGGACAGATGGCTGCAATGGCCATGGCTTTCTGGGCTGAGCCAGCTAGGGTGGTGCTGGCTGCATGTTCCCTGCAGAGAAGACATGTATCCTGTGGTCCCTTTCACCTGATCAGCACCTAGCACACCCCAACTCCAGGCCTTTACATGCAGCACTCATGTGCCCTGCTGGCACAGTCATAGATGTGTGCTTGTGAGGGTTGCTCGCTCCCCCTGGGGTCACAGGTCTTTGCTGTCTTCCGTCGCCCTCCCCTGGTCTCCTCCCTGTGGCTGGAGCAGTCTGACTCCGCACTGTGTCCTGTTCCAGATCATCAAGATCCTCAACTCCTACACACCCATAGATGACTTTGAGAAGAGAGTGACCCTGTCCTTCGTGCGCAAAGTGCAGGTGAGGCCCGAGCTGAGTCTCACCGTCAGAGCGTGGGTTGAGCCATGGATCAGAATCCGTGCAATCATCCCACCACCAAAGTCCATTTGCAAATCTGCAAATGAAACCCACCTGGTGCATAGGCAGCTGAAATGGGCCATTTCCAGAATCTATTTCCATCTCAATGGAAAAGATCGGGAGGCCCAAACCAGGATGGGCACTGTTGGTGGCCCGGTTCCAGCCCATCTGGAGCGTAGGGACCTAGGCAGGGCCAGTTGAGCATGGCACTTCAGGGCCAGTCCATGCTCTAATCTCAGGTTTCTCCCTGAGTTCATTCAGGGATTCCCCAGAGGTCCTCAAGACCATCCTGGGCATCTGCAAAGCCCCTGCTTTGTCCAAAGACACATCTATGCCAAATGAAACCAAGATAGAGATAAACCACATTGCAGCTGGGTGACCATGAGGCAGCCTGGGTCTTGTCGGATGCCGAGGAGGTTTGTAGAGCAGCAGCATCGCCTCCCCGGTCTGGTTATTGGAGAATGTTGTGCCTGACATGTGTGGGCTTATTATTTTAGTGACTTAGTAATTCAGAAAGAATCTGGTTTTAGTTACTAATACGATAAAACGTCCTCCCGCACACACAGATGCCCCTGAGTGTCCACATAATTTTCAGAATAGAAAAAGGACCCTGAGGCCGGAGTGTGAGGCTCTTGGGTGAAGAGGAAAAGGGCGCAGAGTGAGCGCAGCACAGAGCTCTGTGCCCTGTGCATTAGAACTGAGCCCAGGAGTCCCCAGGAGAGAGCTGGGCAGGACCTGGCCAGGCCCGGCCCCGGCAGTGCCATGCAACCAGGCACCCCAGAGAGCCCCCTGTCCCGGGGACCCCGAAAGGCTCTCGGGCTGGAGGGGGAGCTGCCACGTCCCCTGCTCCTGGCCACGGCAGCGGCCACAGGTGCTGGCCTCGTCCTCTCCGGACCCCTCTGTCATTTCAGGCCCTGCTGAGTGGCCGGGAGGACTCTGTGCAGCTGATGCTGGACACCAAGTACCTGTTCCCTGCCACCTTTCCCTTCAGCGCCTCGCCGCATGCACTGGAGCAGCTGCAAATCCCCAGCAGCCTCAAGCTGGGCTTCCTGCGTCGTCTTTAGGGAGGGCGGATGGGAGAGAGCTCAGCTCCCTGAGCTGGTGGCGGTCCTGTACCGCGGGAGCCACAAAGGACCTCTCTGGGACTCCAGAGCTCTCCCTGTTCTCCCAGGTGCCCTAGGCTAGTCTGCAGGCCACAGAGTCACCATGATTGTTTGTAATTTAATATTTTCTGCACACAAAAAAAGATTTTTTTTTTTTTTTTTTTTGGCCCTGGGGTTCAAACTCATGACCAGACACAAAAACTTCTTTAAAAACCAAATTTACAAAGGCAACCTAAGGCAGGCCTATGATCCCAACACTAAGGAGGCTGAGGCAGGAGAATCACCAGAAAGTTCAAGGCCACCCTGGGCTACATAGTTAATTCAAGACCAGTCTGAATTTTTTGTCTCAAAAAACAAAACAAAGCAAAGAAACAAATAAAATAAACCTAAGTGAGTTTGTCTGTCTGCATCTAATCTATTTTTAATTTTCTCATAAAAGTAACTGAAGACTTACATCAGTGCCTTCTTTTAAGAAATCCATGTTCCCAAGTTTTACAGGGAATGGCTGCTGCTTGTACCCCAAACCTTCCCTTCAGGTCACAGAAAGTAACTTGATGACCCTGCTGGCTGTGTCTGGGGCGCATCTAGCCCTGCCAAGCCGGAGCAGGTCTTTCCACTGTGTGAGCGACCTGCCTTCGTTCATCCCGACACACTGCGCATGGCAGAGCGCAGTCAAATGCTGTCGTCCTCCAACCAGTGAAACACAGGAGTCCAGGGGGCCAGCCAGACTGTCTCCATGGGAAAGGTTGGTCCCTCCAGAGCCGGTTTTAGGGCTGTGCTGGGCAGTGCTGGACACCTAGGAGATCCGTTCCCGCTCATTGACAGCGTATGGAAATGTGGCGACAGGAAACGACATGGTGGTGCCCTTGGCTGTGACCTGTGGGCTCCTAGACTGCATCACCAGGTGGGGCGGGCTGGGTCCCCACCCCAACGTGAGGGACCCGAGTTCTATTCAGACTATGGGACCAGGGCTGCCTCACCTCATTCTCACGCCTGCACCAGCTGTCACACTGACCGGTCCTGGCCTGTGGGGTCTCAGAGGGCCCAGTCCCAGGTCTCTGTCTGCCCTGACCCTTGGCTGTGGGAGGGCACTGAGCCAGGAGAAAATGTCTCACTGGAGGTGGCGGGGTTTTGGTGGGGGAGAGTTGGAGGATGGGGAGTCCTGAAGAGCCAGCGGTGAGCTCATGGGTAGGCCAGGGACAGGGACGGTGCGACCCCTTGGGGTCATTCAGGTCTGTGCAGACCCCAGGGGAGGGTGGCCCCACAAAGAGATGCTGGCTACAGGAAGTCACAGGGCTGGAAGGGCTGTTCGCCAGGCATCATGGGTTCATGGCGCACGGGACTGTGGGCTGCGCATGGGCAAAAGTGTCCAGGCTGAGCAGAGATGCAGGGGTAGTGACACGGGGTGGGGGGAGGAGGGAATGCTGAGCCGGACACCGGGTAAGGAGATCAGACAGCGCTGCTCTACCACCTGCACACTGCAGCACCACCACTACCCAGAGCTGACCCCGGCCAGGTACGTGCTGCCCGCCCAGAGCTTGGGCTCTGAGCATCCCCAGCCCCTGGGCCCTCCTGTGCAGCAGGCCCTGGGCAGGGGCTCGGCCTTGCTAATGTTTATCTTCTCATTCGTCTGAGGTCACATGAATGTGTTCTGAAAGAAGGAGTGTTTGTTTTGAATTGTTCGTTTTGGCATCAGGAAATAAGTTAAGCATCTTTAAAATCATTTAGTCCTGTTTTGTTTTGTTTTGTTTTGTTTTTGTTTCAGTATTGGGGATTGGACCCTGGGCCTTTGCACTGAGCTACATTCCCAGCCCTTTTCTCCTTTTTAATTTGTAGACAAGGTCTTGTTAAATTGCTAATTTGCCAGATTAGCCTCTAATTTGTGATCCTCCTGCCTCAGCCTCCGTGTGTGTGTGTGGACTCACGGGTGTGTACCACTCACCCAATTTATGAATTGGCTGAAGAAGTGGATGCAGCTGGCTGTTCCCTGAGGCCCATGGCCTCAGGCACAGCTGGTGGACAGGAAGCATGTGGATGGCACTGTCTCATATCACAGTGGGGTGCAGCCGTGCCTGCGGGGCTACAGTGGCACTGATTGAACCTGCTTCTCAGACATGTGTCGTGGGCGCATGGATTCCTATGGCGTGGGCTGTTGTGAGCAAAGCTGTCTGGTGTCCCTGTGTCGGCCCGTGCCCAGGAGCAGACAAGCTGGGCTGCAGGACACGTGCTGCCCACCCTTAGCAGAGGCCACCCCCACCCAGAGTGCCTGCCTGCTCTTCCCACTCCCCATGGCCTGCCCACTCTGTTCTCGTGAGTGGCCTTGTCAAATCTTTCCCATTCCCGGGATGGAGTTTGGCCAGCGCTGGACACCGAGCTGTGCCAGCCTATAATGCTCCTGTCCTGTGGGTAGGAAGTAGGGGCAGCTGTGACTTTAGTCTGTAGCTGGTGTGATGAACACCGCTGAGACAGTTTTATGGGGTTTTGATCCCAAGGAAATGGCCCGTTCAGTTCTTTTCCCCATATACCTAACAAAAAGCTCAGATTAGTCGGTTATGATGTCCCATCCTGTAGAACAGCACCAACGCGCTCACCCCAAAGGCAGATCTGTAAGTGCTGACCGTGCAAGCGAGGCGGAAAAGAAAGTAGCCAGATGACCTCATTTACATAATTAACAAAGCTGTATTCCAAAAAATCAGGAGGAATCAACACCAAACTAAATGTGGGGGTGGACACTCGGGGCACAGGACAGGACTTTCTCCTCTTGGCATTGCTTATTGATTGTTGTAAAGAGAGAAGTTTCTAGTGCTGTCTAAGCTGCTTACTGAGGCAAACCACGTGTCGAAGACGGTGCCTGGCATCAGGTGACTCCGGGGGTCTTGGGTGCTGTGGGTCCCGCTGCAGAGAAACTTCTAAGTCATTACAACCAAAGCCTACGGTACACAATGGCAGGGGAGGCTAAGCTTGCTGTATGAAGGAATTTTTATCTTTTTCTTCTTAAAATGCTCACTAAAGCATGTGCTGTAGCAGTGAAAATTTCTCTCGTGTTAAAAAGTACTGTTGACAGGACAGTAAGCAGACGAGCGCGTAGTGGGCCTGGTGACATAAACCAAGCGTCACCACAAGGCAGAAGGCCAGCACAGTATGTGGGGTGTTCGATGGGCCAGTCGGTTGGTGTGACCGATGGAGGAAAGAGCTAGGCTGGGGATTCCGTGATAATTTATTGCTTGCACCTTGTTTATCTCTTCTCTTCTACAGCAAACACGTGCAACACTCCTAGCTTTAAATGCACTAGATCGCTTTGTGCATGCCTGTGGCCGCAGTGGTCTGCAGCCCTGGCCTGCAACGTCACGTGAGCAGGTCCGCTCACAGGGTTGGGGTCTCCGCTGAACACTATGGAGCTGCTGGGGCCTGCTCAAAACCCTGGGTTTGATCCCTGAAAACAGGCGGTACCAAGGCTTGTTTAGCGAGTAACACACTAAATGAAAAGCAAAGGCCAAAGCAGCCGTTGGCACAGGATTTCAATCATCAAACTCTGGCCTGCGAGTGACACACCAGGGCCAGGCAGAGCTGGGGCAGCCACCCCGATTCCCCATCCTTCCATCTCCACATTCAGAGTGGACACCCAAGCAGCCTTTAGAGTTGGAAAAGCCTTAAAATTCAGACCGGGATGAGAGGAGAGCGCTTCTCTGTGCACACATGTGGAGTTCCAGGGTTTCTGCTTTTTCCTTCTCCCGTCACCCCCAGCCCACCCCTTTCCTTGCCCCTTGGTCCCCGGGCTGCTATGGCTCCCTCCCCAGCTGCCGTCTGTCCTAAGCTGTTTCTGCTCCTCTTCCCTCAGCAGCCCTCCCCGGCCTACTTCTGTGAGCACACGCTGGCCTAATCCCCAGCTGGCCTGGAGCCTGCTAATCGGCTTCTGGGTGTCCTCCGCCTGACCTTGAAACCCACCAGGCTGGCAGGGTGAGCGAGGGGACAGCACTGACGGCTCCCACGGCTGACCCTGACCTGTGCTTTTTAAAAATTCTAATTCTAACTATGAAGTTTATCAATACACGAAGTATGATCATACAGAATAGGGACCACTTCCTTTAAAAAATGTGTTGGGGGCTAGGGATTTAGCTCAGCAGCATAAGCACCTGCCTTGCAAGCAGGTGGTCATGAGTTCGATTCCCGGTACCGATAAAAAAGAAAAAGACAAAAAAAAAAATGTGTTGGGTAAAGGCTCAAGGCTGGGAGTCCCCTCCAGCTCCTCCCATTGATTCAGATAGGCTTCTCCCGTGCCACTGGCCACGTCCTGCAGTGGCACTGGAGGCCTCTCCTGAGGGTCTTTGTTACACTGCTGCATGGTTGTCACTGCATTGGTGTCCTGAATTGATTCAAAAAGTTTCTCCTCTCTATCACTGTGACTTTGGGGAAGAGTCTGAAGTCTCACAGTGCCAGACCCAGTGAGTAAGGCAGATGGGGACACGGCGGCATCTTGGGTTTACGAGCTGCCTTTCTGTGCCACTGCATGTGGCAACAGTACCCTCATCACACATCGTAAAGGCCCTTGGGAGAGGGCACTGCAGAGCTGCTTCAGAAAGTGGCAAGGACCAGGGATGAGTGCGTTGGCAGCGTGGGGAGGCTATTGGGGGGCTTCGGGGCGATACCCAGTGTCATTTTTAAACTGAAATGACCACTGCGTATTTTGGTCACTGCTTTTGAATGTGTAAATATGGGCCACGAGTTGCAACCTGTAAATACTTCATTTAACCATCCCGGGAGAGGCTGAGAGCGAAGAGCACCGTCTGCACAGCCTCCCCGCTCCTGCACTCTGTGTCTCCCTTGGCAAAAGGCTCAGATTCAAAACCAAGAAAGTCCCACTTGAGACCCAGGTGACTGCTGCCCTGGAGTCCTCTGTGGCCCCTGATACGATTTTGGGTGTAAGCCCGAATCTGCAGGAAAATTCCACCGCACAGATGCTGTGATAGTACGGCCTCGGTATGGCACACAATTGGTACAGCAGGCACCAGTGCCAAGGGAAGACTTAATACACTGCCTCCGCGGCAGAGCCTAGGCAAAACGCCAGCATCCAGAAAACCTACACTGGGGTAACTGCAGAAGGCATGCGTTAATAAATGGCCTCCTGCGCTAAGAAATAAGTAAGTTCTGCTCTTTCTGAGGCAGCAGGGACTGCTGCGGGAGGACGACTTTCCCTCTTTAGGGAGGAGTCCCTGAAACCACCAGCCGGGCCAGGTGGAGCCTCAAGCAGGAGAGCTCTGTGAAAGCTCCACATTGCTTTCCTGTTTCCTGCAGCCCCTTCCCTGCAAATTCTGCCTCATCCACTCTCGATCGGCCCCTTCCTAAATGCACACCATGAATTGCCCCACTTCCTAGGACGGAGCTTTTGTTTCATTTATGTTTTGGGTTTGTCCTAGAAAACAAACCACACTGTGTTGAACTCGAGCATCTGATTTATTCCAGTTCTATGGTCTCAGGAGGTGCCCATCTGCCCACAAGCGTCTCCAGCCTGTCTTTGATGACGGCAGAGTAGGATTCCATTGTGAGCCAGTCCCACCTCAGGGTGAACAGCTAGGCTGCTTCTGACCTACTGATGTTTAATCTGTGCTCTTCAGTATGTTTGTGCCTGGCCTTCCACACCACAGTACAGCACACTGAAACATTTTTGGTTCAAATTTTTTATGTTATTATTACTAGCTTTTTTGGTCTTTTTGAGACAGGGTCTTGCTACGCAGTTCAGGCTGGCTTTGAGCTTACTTCATAGTCCAGGCTGGTCTCAAATTTGCAACGATCCTCCTGCCTCAGCCTCCTGATGTAGAGATCACAGGCATGTGCCACCACACCCAACCTCTATTCAAATTCTTGTTCCTTGAATTTGTAGGAATATTGTGTATGAATTTCATGCCAAAATCCAAAACATTATGAGCCCCGGCATAAAACATGTGTGTACACTTCTCGCTGTGTGTGCTGTGATGTCTTTCCATCTTTGGGGAAGATTCCCAGGTAGCAGGAAGAGACCTGCCTTGACTGTGATTTCTAGCTGTAGCTCTCTGAGGCTCCATCCTGGTCTCCACAGAGGCTGCACTGATTTACATTCCCACCAACAGTGGGGGCCACCGGCCTTCGCTAGGATCTGATTTCTTGATGACAGCCACCTTGTATTTCTTCCATGATGGGTCTATCCACTGCAGGCCCAAGGCTTGGGGTAGGCCTTTTCACTGGTGGGTCCGTTTTCTTGAGATCTTCACAGTGTAGGGGTATCAGGCCTCTGTCTGAGGCATGGGGGTGAAAACATTGCCCATTCTGTAGGTGGGCTTTTCCCTCTGAGGGTTGTTTCTCTGGCTGTGCAGAAGCTTCGTGATGTGATAGGATTTCATGGTAAGCCAAGGGAGTGTATGGATCCTGCTGCAGAGACCCCGAGATGAGATACGCCCAAAGTGTGAGCGTCACCAGAGCACGAACTTCAGCACGGTCAGTGCAGAGGATAAGAACCAATAAATGGCGTTCTGTGCTGAATAC